TGCTTACATCCACTAAAAGACTGAAAATAAATATTTTAAATCAATTAATTGAACATATGCACATCCTAAAAAGCAATACAAATCATTACCGTAAGCTAGAGTAATAGAACAGGCAGGGAAACTGTTATCTACATTTTCTCTTGAATGTGTTTCTAAACAGTTTTCTTGTCCAGCAAGCATACATTACAGTTATTGAGAGGTCTAGAAATAATATGCCACACTTTGCAAAAGACAGCAGGAGGCACTGTGCATGAGAACTAAATAATGGTCATCCATTATTTATGCTGAGATGCTGAGCCAAAAGTAACAACAACTTAGGACAAAATAGACTCATCCCTCCCATTCCTCCAATGAATTTCCCAGTATTCTATTCCATGAATATCTTCACTGAATGCTCTTATCTTCAGATAAAATCCTCATTCAAAAGTGGATCATACAGATCCCAATAAGCCTTACACACACACTGTAAGGATCAGTAAGGTAAGAGCCCGAGATCTTTCAGTCCAAAAGTCTATGACTAAGGTCAACAAGACGAACTAAAATTCTATATCTTAGCAGTTTTAAACCATTGTTAATCTAAATGGAATATACCCATTTTAATCTCTTCTCGTCTTTGCAGCCAATGGGAAGAAGAAACTTCATTCATTGGAGGCTGCCTTTCCTGTGCACTACAGCAAGACTTGTTTCCCAAGCTTCTGTTTTTCACCGTATAGAGCAGAATAGATTATTGCCTAGTTCTTTTGGAGTTCAGTTACATTCCCATTGTAAGGTACAAGGAACCTTACAATTACTTGCAGCATCATGATAAAAACTCTACTACCAAGATCACAGTATTCTGAGTTTCAAAAATAGTGAATCTACCTCATTCTTCCAGGGGCTTAACAAGAGTTTGTGTATGGAATCTAGGAACTCTAAGAGATTCCTACTGTATATGCAGGACTATGTTACCTTATGTCCACATGAAGTCTTTGGTGTTTCAACATATTCTCATATTAATGACATTAAGGAAATACCTAAGGCAAACACACTGACTATCAACAAAGTATAAGGACAGTGAGGAGCTACAAGCAGGTAATTAAATCATTTTTAATAAGGTAGTAAATTAATGATTGAGATCAAATCAAGCAAATCAAGCCTGGGTGTGTAGGCAATGCATTGTATGCATTACATGCATTAATTTAAGCTAGCTTTGTAACATGGTGAGTGCCATAGAGTAGTTGCAGTGGATAGTTTGCTTAAGGCTGATAGAACATCTACATGGCAGATGCTATGGTGACTTCTGAAGTTACTACTTCTATTGATTCCACTTCCTTTCCTTTCTATGTTGACCTTGTGGCTTATGACTCCCATAGCTATTTGTACACTGCTTGTCTTTTGTACCAAGTAAAATGAATGGAATAAAAATCCCAGGCCAGCAAGTCATGAAAACAAATCTTTACATATTAATAGTAAAAGCTTTTAGAAGGTTTTCTGCGTTCTCAGATAAGTGGTTAACATGAAAACGACTTATCTATCTAACTCTGCAAGCATTGCAAAAATAATAGTGGGAGTTCTGTGGTCAAATGACATTTATATATACACATACGTATGACACAGAAGCATTACAAATCTAAAGTTTTGTACCTGGCTTCAACTTCTCATGAGGTAGGCAGTTGTAAAGGTTTAGTTTGAATACACTACTGAAAACAAATGCCAAGTGGATGCAGATTTTTGATCAAAGCAAGATCTAGATATACTTGTAAATAAATGAGGTAAGCATTTGTTTCTTTCACGCTACAGGCTTTTAAACAGACTACTGAGCAGGTAAAAATGCAGTGAATAAAACATACTAAAAAACTGCTTTTATTTCCACTGCAAAGGATTCAGTATCTTCCAATACTACTACTAGCATGCTCCACTGGAAGTCGCTCAAGTGGAATTAGAGATAACTGCCACAGAATCTCTCTTCCCACTTCCTGGGCAATCAATAGTCAAAAACAGAATGATTGCTTGGGACATAATTGAGAGTACAAAGTGCAGCTCCAATATAATTATTACAATCTGATCAAAAAAAGTATCTCTCCAGGCAGAAAAGTTTATTGGTGGTATGCAGGCTTGGGCATGGTTGCCAGCAAATATGTTGGACACATGGTGGGCATCTTCACCCACTCAAGAAGGACTAAGGATAACTCTCAGAGAAACTCTCTCCTCACTTTCTTCAATGATAGAAGACATATATATGTGCCATCGAGGCACTTACCAGTGCTACTTCAGTGCATGGAGGTACATGCAGACCTCCCTCCACTCCAATCTCACAGATAGGTTAACTCGAAATTTGCCTGTACTCAAACTGCAACAGGGACTAGGAATAACTGTCTAGGCTATTACTGTTCACTTTTATTATTTAAGGACACTGTCTTCAGTGGCAGAGGTGGCAGAAAGTGCCCAGTCCTTAGTAAACAGCTACAGAGTTAGTGTGCCATACCAGAGGTACATACCCTTCCACAAAAAGAAGGCAAGGCACGTACAAAGCAACTCTATAGCTTCTATATTGCTCTGCAAAGAATACTGTCACTCTGCCAGGGGCTTAAGATCTGCTCTTCATATCCCATTAGGATCTGGAGTTTTGGTTCAATCCCCATGTCTCACTACTCCCCAGATGAAAAGATGAGAAAACAGCTCTCTTTCCTTGTCTCTAAATAGTTGTCCCTATTTGCAGCACAGTCTCAATTTAGGTCACTTGAGAGGACAATCATCACTGCTGTTTTCTGATTTATGTGAAACTCTGTATTACACCAACTGTGAAATAAATTCTGGGCAATCAATAAGTAATTAAAACAGAACTATTGGTTGGGACATAACTGAGAATACAAAGTGCAGCTCCAATCTAATTATTACAATCTGATCCAAAAAAAGTAGCCCTCCAGGCAACAAAGTTCATTGGTGATGATGCAGGCTTGGGCATGGTTGCCAACAAACATGTTGGACACATGCTGAGCATCCTCACCACTCCCAAAAGCTGAACGCTGTTAATCTGCCCTCCAGTCAGAGGAACAAAGCTGGCTCTACTAATTCCTTCAGCATCTCTCATGTTCAGCTGCATGCAGACTCTCACTGAGGGGGGTTTGTATTTCCCCAAATAAAACACAGTAAGCAACAAGAAAATGACAAAGTCTGTCTATCCACATCCAAGCTGCAGAAATAAATAGTCAGACCTGCTTTTACAAAGCCACACAGTACATGAAGACTGAAACTATAATCTGAAACACAATATTTATTTGAAAATTTAGACCTGCTATAAGCAGCTGCTGGGGTCTTAGCAGGTTCATGATGCCAGGGCCAGATGCATGACAAAGGCAGATGTCAAAATGCACACATTTTATTTGAGCAGGCTAATCAGTGTAGAGAAAGAGGAGCACAGGAGATGATTTGATGCTCCGGTTGACTAGTTTTGGGAGATCTATTACAAGAGAGAGCGTTTTTCCCCTTTGCTGAAGCAAGACAGAGAGCCTACATTTTCTTTCCATCCCCTAATTAACACACCACGGCATGCACCTGATGCATCATGAATCTGCCAGAAGCCATTAATCGGTATTGTTAACTATACATCCCATTTTGTTTTCAGAGCAATTTCTCACTATATTTAACTTGCCTTTCCCTGAGAAATTATGTTTTAGAGGATTGCACAAAAGTTACAGCATTAACTTGATTAAGCACCTGGTAGAGGACTGTGCCCACTGTGCAACTGAATACTAAATGCAAAGAAATTATGTTACTCATCCACCTGTCTGCATAATACTGTACATTTTGAGACTGTCTTGATCAAAGAAAGATTAATTATTTCTTGGATATAAATCATTATTTTAATTTACTTGAAAAGGGACTCTATGCACATATACAGGGGAATCTTGAGCTCGATTTTGAAATAGAAGACAACTGGTACTTCTAGCTTGGTCTCTGCATAGGTTATTATAGGATATGGAAACTAATTAGCTGTACTGCCATCTGTATCAGAAGGGATTCGTTTGAGGCACTCTGACCTTCTCCCTGCAGGGACAGCTTGCTCTCTCTCAGGTATTTCCTACCTCTTTGCTGGAGAACAGGAGAATTGGGTGAGATCTTAACCACTGGAACTGAACTCATCCAGCATCATTTTGATTTACTGTTAATTCTTGCAGCATTCAAGCAACATTATAGGATATTTCTTGTATATTTCAACTCTTACAGAGGAGCAAAATAGGAAGTGAAATCAAAAAGCAGACAGTGATATCATCCTTCCTTCTTTTCCCTCACTCCTGATCAAATTCTCCATCTGCTTCTAGTCATCAGCACACTAGAGTTATATTAAATGCATTCAGCATTGCTGACTTTCAGCCAAACTCTCCCGTCTCTGAGAGACAGAGCACTGTTGCCTCCTCCTTTGATGGCCAAAAGCAGAACCCTGTCATTCTCTTTTGACTGGCACTCCTACTCACTTCAGATTCCATTTAGAGGCATTCCATTTGGTTTGACCAGTTTCATGAAAATTACAAATCCCATCCTAGATTAGAATCTTTGTCATTTGGCCTGACCACTCTGTCTCTCAATTACTTAACAGCATTGCCTGTACCTTCTTCAGTATCATCATGTCTCAGCTTAATTTCATAAATGATTCTGACACACACCCTGATCACACGATTCAACTCCTCTGAGCTCTGTAGAGATCCCAGAGAGAATCATGGAAGCACAGTAATACTGCACAACACATCGAACTGCAATACTGGAGCATGTGCAGACAGAATAAATTGAGGTGGAATGTCCTTAGAGATGCAAACAGGAATCTATATAGGCTATACTATGACAAAGAGATAGAAAAAGAGAAAGAGGTTGGTGGAGAAAGAAAAAGTGAGAATTGGGGGAAAAAAGGGAGAAAGGGAGAGAAAAAGAGGAAAAATATTTAATTAGTAAAACAGCACGAACAGCCTTTAGTAATTAAAAAAGATTGCAGCTTAATTAGTATCATTCTTAACATTGCAACTCACCATCTATAGCCAACTTGAGATCAATCAGTGTGGCTCGAACACTTGATATAACATGCTGCATGCGGTCAATTTCTTGACGGAGAAATATATTCATGGGTTGAATCGCTCCCATCTTTTGAAGCTGGGCTTTCACCTAAACAGGAATAGTGAGATTCAATCTCCTGTTTCCCATGCAGTAACTTTTGAAAGCAAAAGATTGTTGTTCTTTTCAACACTATCCCATAATTCAAGAAAAAATAATTCTTTATGTAACAGATGGCCAGGCAAGGCATGTGCCAGCAGTAAGATTTAGCACAACCTGACTCATCAGCTTACCAAAAGGAGATGCTCCATCAGTCTAATGAAGGAAAGTCTAATGGAAGGAACACAGCAGTTCCTTCAGTCCTTGCTAGGCCACAGAGTCTTAGATCTTAGATCTTTAAAAAAGAAAATCACAAATGGGTGTTTTACTGATAATTTTGTGTTTCCAAATAATGCTATAGGTGAGCTTTCTCAGCTCTACTTGCCCTGCTGGGTTGAAATAATGCTACAGAGTGATATATAAAAACAGAACAATATAAAAACTAGTGCAGTATGTGCACCATTTTGTAGGTAGAAGCTTCTGGCCTTCTTAATTTTCAAGGATTATGGTATCACACTGTGTTCAGAGAATATTCTCAACATTGAATTGTCTATGTTACCTAAAGACATATCACAGAAAAAGTAGCAAAAGCCAGAAAATCTCCACAATGAGGACAGGCTGAGAGAGCTGGGGCTGTTCATCCTGGAGAAGGCTTCAGATAGACCAGATAGCAGCCTCTCAGCATCTAAAGGGGAGTTACAGGAAAGAAGGGGACACACTCTTTAGCAAGGTCTTTTGTGATTGGATAAAGGGAAATTGTCTCAAACTAAAAGAGGGGAGATTTAGATTGGGCATAAGGAAGAATTTTTTTACAAGAAGGGTAGTGAAGTACTGGCACAGCCTGCTAGAGAGGTGGTGGAAGCCTCATCTTTGGAGACACTCAAAGTCAGGTCCAGGCTCTGAGCACTCTGACCTAGCTGTAGGTGCCTCTTGTCATTGCAGGGTTATAAAGGTCCCTTCCAACTCAAATGATTCTGTGATTCAGTGATTCTAAATCACATCTTCTACAGGTCATACAGCATAATGTTTTTTAGAGAATTCTTGACTGTAAGACTCTCAAGTGTTTTCCCCCCTGTTGTAACTCATCTTTCCGAAAGGCATTGACCTGCTGTCTGGACTTGCTGAGCTTATTTTGAGCTTACTAACAAAAGATGACGAAGAAGGAAAGTTTATTACTTTGAAAGAACAGAATATAATTGGAATTCTACTGCAGCCAAATAGATACCACAAAATTCGGTCATAAGTCCTCTGGATTTTGCTTTGTATTTTCCCAGATACAGTCATATATCTATGTGAAATACTCATAGGAAACACTATTGGAGCGTACCTTATTATTATACCAAGTAGCAAATCTCTGCAGGATAAATATAATGCAGTAGTTGAGTAGTTATAACTGCTAGTATAAATGAGTAAATGCTTTGACAGTTTCCATTCTGCAAGTTTCAACCTTAAGCCAAAGAAAATACATTTTTAACTTTGTATGCTATTCTCCTTGGGAGACAGTTATCAGCAAGGCTATTCATTATATTTTAATCACAAAGTCCCATGAGTTTGTCAGACAAAATGTCCAAGAAGTAGTTGCCAGCCAATTATACTAATGCTTTGCAGTCTGACAGTTCATTTTAGTGACTGGGTTAATGTATTTCTTCCTAAAAAAAAAATCCTAAAATCAGCTATCATGAGACTAGACTAGGGACAATAAACTTTTGGGAGGATAGTTTATATAACTAGCTTTACCAATTTTTTCAGACAAAATTCAGGGAAAGCTGCTTCCTGACAGTTTCACAGACAAATTTATCACACTCACACACCAAAAAAAAAGTTTGATTTTTTTTTTTCTGAAATATTTAGAAGATCTCTACTGCATAACACTAATAAGAGTGGGATTATACAGAGTACAATTCTGTGCTTTAAATAAGAAATAAACTTCTTCTAGCCTGCAAAGTGTGTGTTTGTTTGGGGCATAATTTAGAATAGAAACTTTTCCTGTCTGAAGGAAAACTGTATAAAACAACCTGTTAAAGGTATTATTTTTCAAAATGCAGTAATTTAAGAAATTACAAAGAGAAGATCAAATAAGCATTCTAATATATTACTATATTGATAACAGCACAGTTTAACTAATGAATTCTCAGGGAAAAACAAAAACATCTGATTTTTTTAATGTACCTAAAAATACCTGCAATGTTTTGAAAAATGGAATGACCCAATAATGCAAAAAATTTTTAATCCATCCTAGATAAATTCACAGCACTCAGCCTGGAGCACTAAGCATAACTAGATATTAAAACTGAAATAATGACATACTTATGACCCTGTTGCGTACAAATCAGTCTTGATCTGCACTGAGATTTACTAGGTGTAAGATAGTGCTTTTCTTGGAAATCTTGCTGGTAAGATTAGTTTTAAATACCAGCTTGGAGGTATGATTGACTATTTTGTATTAGGATTCTTATCAAGCAATCAGATGAGTTACTGCCAGTGCTGTATTTATTATGACATAAAGAGACAGATCCTGACTGACAGAAAAAAAACTTCAAGACAAAACTCAGTAACCAAAATAGCCTTTCTGAGATTAATATACTAATTCCATAAAGCCCACTTACATCTCCTTCTCAACATGAAATCAGCTGTCAGCTAACATAAAACTGAGGTGATATAAAGAAAGAAGGAAATAAAATCATAGTCTTAATAGTTCGCCCTGTAAGATTTTGCAGAGCATATTTCTACTGTATGAGCCTTCTCTATGCACATTTTGTATCTGACCTCAGGTTACCAACTCCTTTGCCACTGCATACTGTGTCAGATGACCACTGTACCTGAGAGGGCTGGTAACTAAATCAAAGGTACCTTAGTTCAGATGAGGAATGTACTGCATTTGTTTATTTTTGTTGTTTTAGCCAAAGTACTTCACTGATAAGTAGATCCCAGGCATACAAACTAGATTGACTTCAAATTAAATTAACCCAAAAGATATGCTATCAGTGAGTCTGATGTAGTTCAGCCAATGGTAAGACCCAGACAAGAGTCAGACCAAAGCAAACTTCCAAGTAAAACACTTAATGCAGGCTGGGATCCTCAGATGAACTCCAGCTGCCATACAGTAGTTCCTAATGTAGTCTTAGCCTTAGTGGAGGGTAAGGTAAAATGATGACTATGAAAACATTTAAGGAAGAAAACATTGTTACTGGGGTTAAAAGCCAATAAAGTGCAGTATCTCTGGAATGTCTCCATGTCTATTCCCTAGTAAGCTGCTTTTCAAAGCTTCAAGAAAATGCTTTCCTTATAAATTTCTGCATGTGACAGGCTGATGCTTACTCTTGCATCCATCTTCACTTGCATGGATTGATCAGACATAATAATTTTAGCACTGATCTCTCTAAGAAGCAAAATCCAGATGCAAAAATAGTTATGAAAGCAGAAACTTCATCCTGCCTCTGCCTTTGGAATGAGAAAACAGTTGCCTTTGGAAAGAGAAGACAGTTTTAGGTCAGGTGGAAGGTTTATTTTGCTTTAGCTTCACATGGGTCGTATTGGAGTCTGATAAAGCATGCAAAAGTGACTTGTTTATAGGCTTTTGAGCTGACATTTGGTCAGTAGTGAGATTGTGGAGAGGAATCACTACAAGAATATAACAAAAGAAACTCCAAATGTCATGCACATCAAAGGCTAATACTTGGGAAATGAAAGCCCTGGTGTGGCAGCCTGTATTTCACACTGTATCAAGAGAAGGTACATCCAGCTCTCAGTGTCAGCAGACAATTGGCTTCACTACCATCCATCACTAACCTACAACGTTGGGGCTTTCACTCCAAACAAATGAACTCTACACTTTCTTACAGGAGTCACAAGAACTGGACATAGACTGCAGAGGCACCTACCACTTTCTCTGAAGAGAAATTGCTTTTACTTACTTTCATTTGTTTCCTAATTCTTTCATTTCCTCACTTCTTTTCTGCATTGACAGTATATCTATAACAAGATTTTGGAAGATTACCACATAATGGCCTTTCTGGAACTCAATATTCTGCTAAAAGAAACCAAATGGCACTGTTAGGACTACTAAATGTTTTTCCTTTGCTGCTTTTATCCAATGAGGCGTGCGTAAGAACTCTTTTTGACACATTCCCTCAGTCTCTTAGCATTTAGTAGATCATTTTTATTTGTTTCAGGATTGTTAAACTGATTTAGTAGGTAGTAATGTCCTGAATGGCCAAATGTTGACTTAAACTGACAAACAACAGAATTTGTCTCAATCTCTTTTTTTCAAATATCACAGAAAGAAACTGCATCATTCATTTAACTTCTTATACTTGTGAGCATAATTTCACTTTTCTCCTTCACTTATTATATTCCAGGTTCTGCTAAAATCTGTAGCTTCTTCCCTCAAAGAACATTTGAAATCTCTCCCTTCCCTTCTGCTCTGACTAACAAAATTATTGGCTGTATGTTAGAGAACATTCTTTTTTTACTTTTGGTATTCTATTCTATGTGGTATCTTGGTATTTTGTTTAGCTTGGAGAAGAGAAGGCATCAGGGAGACCTTATTGTGGCCTTTCAGTACTTGTAGGGAACATATAAACAGGAGAGGAAACAGCTGTTTACAAGGGTGGATAGTGATAGGACAAGGGGGAGTGGTTTTAAACTGAGACAGGGGAGGTTTAGGTTTATTAGATGAAGTTTTTCACACAGAGGGTGGTGACACACTGGAACAGGTTGCCCAAGGAGGTTGTGGATGCCCCATCCCTGGAGGCATTCAAGGCCAGGCTGGATGTGGCTCTGGGCAGCCTGGTCTGGTGGTTGGCGACCCTGCGCACTGCACAGGGGTTGAGACCAGATGATCATTGTGGTCCTTTTCAACTCAGGCCATTCTATGATTCGATTCTTTGATTTTATGTATTCTCTTTTTATCAGTTTATGCAAGCTGACACTTACAAATGCAGCTTTATTTACAGCTTACTCCTGTCCTCTCCACTCTTTCTACGAAGTTCCAGAACAATAGAACTTAACTTCAGATGAGAACGTTTGATCTTTAAAAATGGCCACACTCCAGCACCATATACTAATGCATACTGGGGACTAGCGGGAGAAAAGGCAAATTCCCTTCTGACAAAGAAAGCATTATTGAAGACCCAAAGTAGTTTTAAGATAAAAAGAATGACAAAAAAGGTAAATCTTTTAGTTAAGGGAAAAAAAGGAAATTTTGAAGAACCAGCAACTGCAAAAGAAGTATTACAAAATTCATAACACTGAAGAGGCAGAATCTAAAGCTGCATTGCCGCTGACTCAACCAAAAAGATGTACAGAAGAACACATTACTGTCAAAATAAACTTGAAGCTAATGACCAGTAATATTCTGTAGATACTTAGAGCAAAGGCATTACCACCATGATAGAGAAACTAAGTATTATTTTTGGATGGTGGAAAAGTTCTGTGTCATCCATCAGCAATGTGAAGAAACAGTGTGCAAATACAGAGATGTGATTAATCAAAGAGAAGTGCAGTTCACATATCAAGAGGTGCAGAGTCTGAGAAAACTAGAAATCACCAGGAAGAGGTAGCATCTACATTTATTAATAAGATAATGAAACAAAATTGCCCCTTGAGTTCAGAATACCTTTACAAGAAAGACAGAGGGAAAAAGCAGATCCAACTGGACATCTTCTGACTATGCTTGTTAGAAGAAATGTGAGAAAGGCTTGGGGGACATAATTTAAGAGTATTAATAACTAATATTGGCTCATCTGATACAATGTGAATCTCATTACTTGAATCAAGAGAAAATCTCTCAGCAAATTGAAGCAAGAGGTTTCCTGGAAGATTAGAAATGTCAGAGAAGAAATACAGAAGCAAAGAACTATTTAATTGTGATAATCATTATAGAGATGATTGCTTATGAGAAAATAAAATCTTGAATGTACACCTGGCAGGTCATGAAAGAAAGATAATAGTTTGTCTTATTACTGGATGATGAAATGGCACTGAAAATAATTAGTGGTTATTTTTTAATACATTCTCATGGGAAAGTATGTATTGTACCCAGATAGGGTACCAAAAGAGAGACAAGTTAAGAGTGAAGGGCTGAACTTCAAAAAAAACCCCTCCAGGCTTTGTGTCTTTCACTACCATCCATGACTCCAACGCTGGTTGACTGCAAAGCTAAGATTTGTGAGGAAGTGACAGAAAAAGGAAGGCCAATTCTATGCACACTTTGTATGGACAACCTGAGTGAATGAAACCAAGGATTTAATGAGAGTGAACGAGGCCACAATTAAACAGAATAAATGCGAGACAAAAATAGTCATTTGTTCAAACAACTTAGAAGCGAATTTTGGATGAAACAAGCATGGTGCATTTTACCATATTAAAACACTCTGCACAAATTTCCAAAGCATAGAATATGAAGACAAGAATATCCTCTGATCACAATTTCAAGCAAATTGTACATTCTAAACAACTTCTAAAGTATTACAAATTCTTCAAGAGAAGCAAAGGAAAAAAGAAATCACTATTTGGAGGATTCGGGAAATACCTTGTAAAAAATAGCTTAATATCCATATTACAAATATGGCAGAACTATATAAGCTACACACATATTCAACATTCAAATGCTATTCCAAACTGAGAATAAAATTCTAAGGAACTAAATAAAACTTGACATTAGTTCAGTGAATCCACTTAAATCTGATGTGAAGGAAAAGAGAAAAGGATGGAGAACAATCCAAGGTATAGACTATAGGCATAGATCCAAGGTGCTAATTATAAAAAGTATTAAATCAATAGTCACTAATAATAATTATATACTTGTTTAATTTTGTTTGCTATTTATCGTAGTTATTTATTTTCTTATCTGCTTCTGAACAACAACAGGAAAACTAGAAAGCTGACTTCATCCTGAAACAAGTTCTATAAATAAATGATGAATATGCTCCCACTGGGAATCACTCAATAGGCATGTGAGAGAAAAGGGATATACAAGCATGAATGGCTGGAAAAATAACTATATCGGGAAAGATGCTAGATAAACTCACAAAAGAAAAGTTGTGAATTTAAATAGTTTGCCAGGAGGGGGAGGAAAAGAGAAGTTCTAAGCCGAATTATAGCTATTTATAGAAGACATATTAAATGTAACATGAATTGTACAATAGAATACTGTAAATACTGCCAAGATCCCAAGACTATTGGACATGCCCTAAGTAAAAGCACTGGTATCTTCCTCTAATCTACTGAGGGGGAAGAGAACTTTTTGATAGCTGTTCTGTGTCAAGGTGGCTCATTCAGCAGACTGTGCTATTTACAATGTAAGTATCTGATGTAAGAATAATTTAGATGATCAACCCAAACAGTCTTCTAGAACGCTATGAATAAATTGAAGAGCTTTTTAAAACGCTTGACATTTAAATGTAAGAAAGAAGCACAATAAAACACATACACAAAACATCTGCATCAAAAGAGCATATACCTCATGGGGGTTGTAATCTGGAGGTAACTTCTCCAGCATCTCATCAGCAAGGCACTGCACCACTGCTTCTCGGGTCTCCCCTCCTCCACTGCTGCTGTCTTTGGGCTGGATGCTCACTATTGTATTCAGGGTCTCATTTGCGAGGTTGGTTTGGTAAGTTATATCTGCATTAGGGTGCAGACCAAATACCTTAAAGTAAAAGGGAAAAAAAAAAAGGGAAAAATGCATTTTTTCTTCTAAATTTTATCAGTGAAAGAACCCACTGATACTGATAAACAAGGAACAAAATCCACAACCCTATAAAATAATAGAGAATCAATGGAAATCCATCCATTTAACTGGCAAAGAAGCGAGCACAAATTATACAGAAACATTAACGTAGGTTAAATCTACAATAGCATTTTCGTTCAGATGATGAGAGTGGTTTTGAACTATCTGGTTATCGCCATATACCAGGGTTTAGATCATGCTGTGCACACACTGATTCCTTTTCACTGGATCAGACTAGAGCTTGCTGGGAATGTGCCATGTGCAAATGCTGACCCCTCTCCACTACCTTTTCCCCTCTGTAGATCTACTACTTTTGTATCAGGTCAAGTAGATGCCCCTATCAATCAGACCAAGTGCCATTTCTAATGCATTTTGTTTCACACAGTCTCTTAGGCTTACAAAGCATGGAGCTCAGAGAATAGAAAACAGCTCACAGTTTAAGGACCTAGAGATTTTATGACTGGTGATAATATTTAGGACATTTTATGTTTTGAGCTATTTTTGGTTTAACTCTCCTATTCTTTACTTCTACTTCTTTTGAAATTGAATAATTTTATTTAAGATAGAGCTAGCACAGAATTACTGCAAAGCTGCCCTTTGTTCGAATGATAATGGCTTTCTCAGAAACCTCTGCTGAAATATCAGTAGTCTGTAATTGTCAAGTTGACTGCAGCTTTTCTCCAGGAGGAATTGGATTGTGACTTATTTCACTAGCCCTCACTGAATTATAGCTATTAATTACCTCTAACAAACTGAGCCACTGATCCAGCAATGAAGAAGCTTGCCCCTAAACCAAGCACCGAAGCCAAGCAACGTGCTTCTCATGTTTTGTGTTTTTGTACATAATATTAGAACTAGCATCTTCGAAAAAGACATTCCTACTGATAAATATTTACACACTCTGAGTATGGAGGGTAAAGGGCCATGTGCAGTATTTTTATATTTAGAAATCTAAAAACTCAGAGGAGAGGAATAGAAATGGCTGCAACAGTGTCAAAGCTAGCAAAGCTGCACTGATTTACACCAGCTGTGGAACTGACCCTTACAGCAGCACAAAGAACACAGTGCAGACCTAAAGCTGCCCAAGAGAGAAAGTGGGATCATAACTAGCATATAATTATTTTCCAGGATTTAAATCCAGGCAGGATTTAACACATTTTACAGACAGCGGTACCTCAATCTGTAGATTTAGAGACACAAAAAGCAAAAATATCAATGCACTTTATTTCACTCATTTTTTATCAGCATGCAATGATACACACAGTTGAAGATACGCACTTTTCTGCTTCTGCTCTTGCAGAATAAGGCTTTGTTTGGTTGGTTTTGTTCCAGCAGATTTTATGGCAATGCTATAGCCCAAGTTAGAAACACAACACTGCTATAGTGAATGTAATTTGCTGCAGTGCTAATCCAAGGGGTCTTAAAAGCAGAAAACCCTCTGGTCCTAGGTATGCATGAGAGTGACACATGAGGTATTGAGAAATCAGAGTAGCAAACCAACGGATGGACCAGTGTCCTGTAAATTAATCAAGGAACAGAGTTTCTCATTTTTCGTGAGTCAAAATCTTGAAATTTTGATTTTAAAAGGGATGCTAGATTCTGCATTTCAATTGGTTGGTTTTTATTTAGCTTGATGAAATTCAAACCCAATTGCTAATACTCTACACCCCTCTGAAATCAAAGACATTTTCAAAGGGATTTCTGAGTTCAATAGCCCTCTTCAGAAGTCAGTGTTTATTCAGATCAGAGGTTGAAATTTCATCAAAAGAGCAAAGATGCTGTAATCAGACTTATTCAGTCTTTCTTTTTCAACCAAAAATAGAAAGGAGAGGAAATAAAAGATACACTGCTTTTTTTATTGTGCTTTGACTAGCACAATATCCTTTGTGGAACAGAAGACCAGTAGCTTAAGAGGTTAAAAGTTTCCATGAGCAATTTTGACAGATTTTGGAATGACTGAAGATAGTAGTCATGTTCCTCCTAACCTGTGACAGCTATAGGAGAAAAAGATGTTTGCATCCTTGGACTTGATCCAATTTACATAAAAGTCAATGGTAAAAGGTGCCTCTCTGTCAGCATAGATGCCCTTGCATCTGCTATCACTACCTTCAGAGATTCAAACCTTTTCAAGTTTGTTTTATGAGCATGGATTGTTCTCAGCCTCCTTTCTAGCACATTATCACTAATAGAAAATCAGTTTTTTCTATTCAATCCTGCCTATTTAATTTTAATAGAACTTACCCATAAAGGCATTTATCAACTTAATAGCAATGAGACAGAAACTCATAACATTCACTTCCATTTCAATTTTAGCTAACTGCAACACATGTAGCTGTGTTAGAGAGAGCAGGATGTCCCAGTTCTGCAATTAATGTGACCACTGCAGTATACACACACTGGGTCATGTATGTAGGTCGCTCTGAAAGCAAAATCTATTTATTTTTCATGGAAACTACAACAGATACAAAGAGCACAATAACACTATTTGAAAGCAACACTATTGAAAAGAGTCTGACTCCGTCTTCTTTATACCCTTTCAATAGGTATTTATATGTATTGATAAGATCCCCCATGAGCCTTCTCTTCTCCAGGCTAAAGGGTCCCAGCTTTCTCAGCCTTTCTTCATATGAAAGATGCTTCAGTCCATCATCTTCACAGTCCTGTGTTGAACTCACTATCTTGCCTATGCGGATCAGAGCACATGAATGTGAGGTTTTTTTCTGAGTGCTTGAAGAAAGCTTTACCTATTTTGTCTTCCTAATTAGCAGAGCTATAATAGACACCAACTACAATTGCACTCACACTGGTCTGCCTGTTAATACTGCCTATACATTCCTGGCTCCACAAAATAATTTCTCTGACAAAAACTCTCTTTAATACTTTAAAATGTTTTACCTCAGGTGTATCAATCACTGGCAATTGCTCTATGTACTGGAGATAGTCTTCAACTGTTTTCCCTTTTGGAATCACGTAATCTTTGTAGAAACAAAATTTGTCACTAAACATATGCTCTCCAAACCACACTCTCGCAAATGTATTCAGCAGAGCTTTGTCGAGGTCATCAGTTACACGGCCTCCGTACTGTACTTCTCCAAGCATGTAGCGAACACAGCTCCAGTTCACTCCGCGCTTAATGTCCATATCATCCAAATGATTCTGAACAAATTGCACACTGGCTGTGAAGTCTGCCTGATTAAATTCATAAGGAATGTTCCAGCCCAGTGGACCAAACTTTCTTCTTTCCTGTAAGATAGGTAGAGTTAAAGATAAAAGGCTGATTGTAACTTTGGAGAATATGTTGAGTGTAGAAGAATACAAAATATGCGGTATTCCACTAACTTTAAAAAATGATTCTTCACATACACACACGAATCCAAATGCTTGATTAATTACCTAGTAGTTAAATATTTTTCTTCATTTATCACCACCAGTAGAGACAGATAAACAAAGAAGAGAAATATAAACATTTTCACAGAGGAAGGAATTCCCCTTTTTAAAGTAGTCCATCTGTGAATCTAGAACTGTCATTTTTGAATTTCAGAAATGAAGGTACTGTTTTAGGATGCCCAAACCACATTGGCCACAATAATTTTTTATAGTTCTTTTTCAGTCTGGGTACATTCAGAACACTGAAGTCTCTGCATGGTGGAGATGCAGGAAGCAAAAGCTGCTTCTTACCTAATCATTTATAGATACAGCTAGCAGTGTGTGGATCATAGGGCAGTGTCTGATATTTGCACATTCTAAATTTCCACCAAGAAGATGACTCAAAGTCAAGTACACTTCAGGCTGCCATTTGGACCACAATGTTTGTATTGATTTGCTAATAAGGCTTTACATCTAAATATATTTTTCATTCACTAACAGGTGCATTCACAAATGAACATGACTTCATGACAGAAGAATACAAAATATGGTTTGAAACCTGAACAGTCGTGTGAAGAAACGCTACAGCATATAGTAAAGGTTTCCACTGTGGCATGTTGCTCACTTCTAGGTGATCCTGAGTGATAGTAGAGTAAGTTCGTTTCAAGCTAGCTTTCACACCTAGAAAGTAAGTATAAAAATGTAAAAGATGAGCAAAAAAAAAAGTATGGAACCAATAATTCCAGTTTCTGTTAAACAGGATTCACTCCTCCAATTTACAGTTTCATCTTATACATAGCTTCAAATAACCCTTCTGTAGCAACAATCTTTTCAGCTGGTCATGCCAGGCAATGTCCAACTACATTTGGTTCAGGTAGAAGACGATAGATCAAATTATATTAAATTCTGGCACACAGAAGGAATTACAATTTACACTTATTCTAAATGCTACCAGTAACAACTGAAATACAAACATAACTATTCAGCAGCAAACAATAGAAAAGACACCTAACATGTAAAATGAAATGCAGCACTGAACATCCGAGAGTCTGTTTCAATAATTACACATAAAACGAGCCTCTCATTAGCCATACAACACCAAGCATGAGTTCCTCACTCTCTCTTATGATAATTTCCATCTAACCAGCTTAACACAAGTCTAAAAAGATGGATTTCTAGTGCAGTAAATAGAATACTGAGGTCATAGTACTTCCAATGATAAAATAAAAGCCCTTATGCTTCTTTCCTACTTCACAAAGATCCCGTAGGACACTATTCAAGCAAACACATTTTCAACATGTATCAGAATAAAGCTCCAAAATTAATAGGAATTCATCAAACTAAGCGTCTTATCACAGCATGCTATGAACATAGCAGGACAGTATCAGAAAACTACAATTGTTTATATTTCATCCTGACTTAAATTGTTACCCCAGGCATATTTCTGTTATTAAATGCAAGCTGTAAATTGGCTATAGCCTGGATTATAAAACTGCCTCTTGGAGTTATAGGCTGTTATCATTTGATAGGATTTATGATTTGAATGATAAGGAGGGGTCACAGCACAATCAAAAATATGCTGAGCGCTGAATAAAAAAGGGTGGAGGAGAAGACAAAGAGATGAGAAATTTTTATCAAGAGACTGACTAACTGCTCTTGAGAGTGAAGTACGTACACTGAAAGAGGATGCCTTTCACTTTGATCAAACGCTCTGGAAAAAAACCTTACTAATATGCAAAGGATGAATACTGAAATAAGAGTTTTAAATGACTGAGGGATTAAATTTGACCTTGGATACAAATTTTCAGCCCCCACTGACTTCATTAACTGAAATCAGTGCTAACATGCATATAAATGCAGGGCAAGTTAATGCATTACGCAGTCAAAGATGAGGGAGTTACTAGACAGAGTAAGTGTTAGGATTGAGGATTTCATTCTGCTAGAGTTCAATATATGAGGGTTGCCTCGGAAGTAATGCCTCCTATTTTATTAAGTTGGGCCACTATATCAGGGATGAATGTTGGTGGTATGGCAGTAGAGGTTGAACCTTCCCACTAACACCCCAATGTTGCCATGTGACAGATGGCAGCAGAGGGGCAGTCTGACAGAATGGCAACTGACACGGAAGTGCATGTGAAGTAAAGTTGTGTCATTGAATCCTCCATGCAGAAAAAACGGCACCCATTGACATTCATCAGCTCTTGCTGAACGTTTATGGAAATCAAACAGTGGACATGATGTGAACATGGTGAGGTAGTGGTGGTGACAGAGACATGAAATACAAGCCACCTTCTGATGGTGTTGAATATGTTGAAAAATAGTGTTTTATAGTCGAGATTTTGCTCTATCAAATAATATTATTTTGCTTTTTTATCTGTTGTAGTTTCCATGGAAAAAAATAGGAGGTGTTACTTTCAGAGTGACATGTACAAATACAGCCCTTTCCAATCATACACAATTAGCAGCATGTAAGTTGCTCCTATAAATATAAAAATGACACTTGCAGATAGCAGCGTAGTTTGAGTAAGAGAGTGGCAGTCAGCAGTAGGACAGCTATAGGTTAGAGACTAAGAAAAGATGGATTATCTCATATCAGACAGAATCATGCCATACAGGTGAGGCTGCAAGGGGCCTCTGGAGGTTACCTTGCCCAACACTTCTTCTCAAAGCTGGATCAGCCAAAGCTTGTCACTCAGAACTTTGTCCAGGTGGGTTATGAGGAGGGAGCCTTTAAAAAATCTGAACAAGCTGTTCCAGTCATACAGAGACCATCCTCACACTTGTTCTTTTTTCTATACAGAAATTGCCTGAATTTCTACTTATGTCCATCATTTTTCTTCTTTCACTTGGCACCAATGCAAAGTCTTGCTATTTTCTTTACTCCCTCCCATCACATGTATATATGCATTGATGAGGTGTCTCTGAACCTTCCCTTTTCAGGGTTAAACAATCAGAGCTCCCTCAGCCTTTCCTCGTATGTCAAATGTTGTAGTTCATTCAGTATCTGAATATTACCCCTCACTAGACTTGTTCCAGTATGTCCATATGTTTTCTGCACTGAGAAGCTTAGACCTGGACAGACCACTCCAGATATTCTTTCAGCACGGTTTCAGTACAGAAGTATCACCTCCCTTAGCCTTCCTAAAGCAGTCTAGTACTGCTGCAGGCCATCTTTGCTCCAGGGGTGTATTGCTGGCTCATGTTCCACTTGATATCCATCAGGAGCTCCATGTCCTTCTCTGCAAAGCTGTGTTAGCAGCTGCATGACCTGTCCTGTGTATGTGTATTAAGTTCTTTCTCTCCAGAGGCAGCAGACGCAGTGTCTGGCATTTCCCTATGCTGAAGTTCAACAGATTTCTGTTATCTCATATCTCCAGCCTGTCAACCTCCCACTGAACAACAACATGACCATCTGGTATATCAGTGCTTTCTTACTGTTTTATATCATCTATATATACTTGTTGAGGGTGCACTCTCTCCCATTGTCCAGGTCATCAGTGAAAATGTAAAATATTAGTGGCACCAGTGTCAACCCCCTGTGTCCAGCTCTCCAGCTGGATTTGTGCAGCTGACCACAACACTTTGAGCTTAGGACTTCATACAATTGTCAGTCTACACTTGTGAAATCCCCACTTCATTAGTGTGTCTCTAAGGATATCATTGGCGTCAAAAGCCTTTTTCAAGTCAAGATAACAACACTCTTTGCTGTCCTTCATCCAGTAAACCCATCATCTCATAATAGAAAGCCAGTAGGTTGGCTACTAGTCTCAAAGATTAGTAAGTAATCAATGGCTTATGGTTTCCTGGCAGCCACTGAAAAGCCAAGTACACCAAGGACAGATATTGTTCATTATCTTCATCAGTTGCCTGAACAAGGAGACAAAAGGCAACAAATCTGCAGATAATAATAAAGAGAGGTTGACATACTAAACAGCGGAGCAGCAATTCAGATGGATCTTTAGAGCGCTGAAGACTTCACAAACAGTACCTGAGTGAAGTTCAACAAGAAGTGTAAAGTCCTGCATTTGTGAAAGAACAATCATATACATTTGTACATGCTGAGATCTGACTGCCTGAGTCCTACTGATAGGACTATAATAACCTCAAGGTTATTGCAGATGCCTGGTCTGCTAAAGGACTCACAGTAAATAAGGCAAATCAGATAGTGGGCAACCTTAGTAGGAGCACAGCCAGCAGATCAAATGAAGTCATCATCACTTTCTCCTTAGTAATGATCAGACCTCCCCCCTCAGAAACAATGTCCACTTTTGGCATGCAAAGGAGATGTGGAGAAACAGGAGAAACCTATAAATGTGGCTTGGAGCTAAGAGTGCATGACCTACAAAAACAGATACGTAAAAAACAATTTAAACTGTGAATACTGAAGGGCAGCAGTGCGTGTATACGTGAGACAGTGCTTGCCCAAAACTGAAAAGTTGAATTCTGAAGCACAAACCTGTCACTTGGTAGCTGCAATTGGTACAGGCTACAAAAACTGAGTGAGTCAGAATGATGCAAGTCAGAATGATGTAAGTAAGAACTACCAGTCAGGAAGCTGATCACACACTGTGCTTGTGCATGTGGACTAAGGCTGAGGAAATTGGCAGATTAAGGGTGCAAAAAAATGCAAGATAATCATTCTAGCTGGAGAAAACAACCCAGAATAGAGCAAGGTCCTGATGATGGTGGAGTTGCATGGATACAAATACCAGGGGATGCCCATAGACCTACGCCAGTAATGTTCAAGACTAGTTGTTGCATACAGCTACACAACATGAAGCTGACTTGACTTTCCACTGATTTTCTGTCTGAGCTTCCTGGACAGTAGCATTCTCTCAAATGGGAAGGAAAATCAAGACCAAACAAAAGAAGCATTGAGGTGTTTGGAACACAAGAAAGTGAAAGTCTAAAACAATCACATTGCGTAGAAGCTCTAACCTCGCTGGTTCTTCAGTAAACCCCTGTATTCAGATTTACCAGAAGTTCATATTTACTCTCTTGTTGGTTACAGAAGCTAAAGGGTGATCAACAAATACTTGAAGGGCAATAGCAGGGATGCTGGGATCAGACTCTTTGCAGCAGTGCCAGATGACATAAGAAAAAGCAACAAGCCACAGCCACATACTGCAGTATAGGACACTGAGGTCAAGTGTTCAGAAGTGTCCTTCAGTTTCACTGCCCAGAAGAGCACCGGATCAGTTTTCCTCTGCATCCTTGGGTAGGATCAACAGGATGGCAAGAAAAGAGTGGCAGCATGCCACTGTCAAGATCCATAGGGTCTACCCAAACAACAAAACACAATCAATTTCTGTTACAAAGCAATGTCAGTTTTCTCCCCAAAAGAATTATGCTTTACACAATGCAAGACCAACTTACAAAGTGCTGTATTTAGCACTTTGAGAGAATAAAGACTAAACCATAGTGTGGATTTCAGTGATACAGAGAGGAAATAAAATTAAGCTCCCTTTTCTACACTCCCCCAAGAAAAGATTTCCTACCTTGAGGTGGTTCATTAGTAAATTTGATAGATGCCTGTAAAAAATTAATAGGAAACTCTGGGTGAGCCTCTGTAGTTATCCAGGTTCTGAAATCTTCACTCATTGATTCTGTTGTTGTGATGGTGTCCATTAATTCATTAAGAAACACTAAGCCAAGGTGGCAGTTCTGTAGAAGAAGCCATCCTCCATCTTGCATGCATTGATTTAACAGGCGTCTTGCATGGACTTCCTGGCCCTGACCCATTGAAATGGCACGACAGGGAATGTTCTGGAAAATAAAAAAGTTTTTATTTGGAATTTTTTAAAATATAACTCTTTGCAATGATTGGCCACATGATTTACTGCTTCTTTAAGCCAGTAGGTAGTGACACTGTACCACAAGGAAAACCACTAACATCAATGATAATTTATTATATCAAAACAGAGAAAACAGAAAAGCATAAGATGAAAAAAGACCTCAGGAAGGTATTTGAAAAAGAAAAACTAGCCAGGTTGCTACTAGAGCTGTACAATTCCATAAATAAAATGCAGAAAAAACTCCCTCTTGCTTATCTCTCTTACTGCCCTTACTTGTTAATAAGCAATCCCCTGACTTAGGTTGGGTGCCTGGATTCTAACTGGGAAAATTAGAATTCCCAAATTCACTTGAGTACATTATTCTAAATACAGGTGGAGTTGGAGGCAAGAGAATTGATGAAAAGACTTAGTTTCATGAACAGTTTCCTGCCCAAGACATATAGCTGACTATCCCTCATGCCATGAGCTATGAGCTTCATAAAGACTTACCAGTCTGGGCCTATCTTCATCTGGCTAAAAGCTGCAAAGGTTAATGTTAGGTTTTCCTGCTAGGGACTGTCACTGTGAAACAAAACTTAAGGAAGAAAGTCAACCAGTCCTAAACAGTGTGGATGAGGCTGTAGGAAAGAAAGTTTAACCATATGGACACAGGGTGTGATGGGTCATTTCGCCTTAGGGTCAGAGAACAGGTCCTGACCTGATTTTACTGAATAGCATAAACACAGCTACTGTATGTGATCCTCCTGGAAAAAGATTTAAGAAGAAAACATCGAAGATTAGAAAGTAGTTATATCCTGCTCTCAGATCAGTATAAAAATGAAACCCCAGCCAAAAGAAGGAAAACTAAATAATGTGAAACAAGTAAAGCTGAATAAGCTGTGAAACCATGTGAGAAGAACAAACACTTTCTCTTTTCTAAGGAATATCCGAGTACAGCTAGCAATCCTGTAAGTCAGACACTACCACCACCCCTGCAGACTGCATAGATACTCAGCTAGTTCAGTATTCCTTAACAAAGCATCTGCTCATAATTTGCTCCTCTTAGCAATGTTACCTCTCAAATGTACACTCATTAAAGGTTATAGAAACATCAAGAGAAGGAAAAAATATTTTTTCACTACAGACTGTTCTTCTTTTATTCCTTCTAAAAGATTTTTATCAAAATGTTCGCCTACAGAATGTTTCTGTAAATAGTGAGTCATACCAGTATATCAGTGTCATCTTAATGCTGATGAAATTACTATAATTTTAGACATCCCAGTGTCCCTAACAGTTTTGCTGAAGGCTCTATGCATCAATCCCTAAATAAGAAATAAATAGTATAACAATTAAAATATCTTGTTCTAATAAAGTTAAAATACTAGGCGTTGTGAATTTCATTTTTTAATTCAGAAGGTTGAATTTTCACTCCAAGTTCAAGTGAAAGCACTGGGAACATAAATCCAACTAGTTTTAAAATAGACCTAGCTTTATAAGGGTAATTATATAGATCAGGAGTCACAGCTAATGTTTCCATTTCTTTGAGAAGTGGTCATCTGAAGAATAAAATTTTAGAGTGAAAGATAAATTCTGGTTATTAATTTGAATAGTTCCAACTGTAGATAATTGTTTTATGTTGTTCATATCATTTTCAGCCTGACATATTATTGTATCTATGCTTCCTTAAAACATGAAAACATTTTAAGACTGCCCACTGCAATACACTCTCAGAATGACAAGGAAGCCTGTTTTCTTGACAGCCAGAATTAGAGAGCACTTTCTATGAGCATTTGTCCCAGACTGACTGAGGTCTTGCTTAGGATTTGACAGCATGGGAGGGTGTTTTGTTCCCCCCACTGCTGACTTCAGTGACTCTGACTTAAGTGACTAGCTGACTTCAAAAGATTCTGTAGGGAGTTCAGCACACTTCACTCCTTACATGGCCAGTGTAATGAAAAGCTCAGCTCCTGGATGCAGGACAGTTACATTTCAATCATGTGCTCTGAAATGCTTTCAGAGGCACCACTCTTTATTGATCACAAAAAATAACTCCTATCAGAAAATGCATAAGTACCTATCTAGGAAACTGATTTGCAGGATATGCACGTTGAAGGGCAAAATAGGTGACAGAAAACACCATCACAAAAGTGATACTCAAATTGGTATTCATGCCATAGGCCATGAAAAAAAAAAAAACAAAAAAAACCACAAACAAAAACAACAAAACAAACTCCAATCAGAAACAACTAACATATAGGGGACTCAAAAGTTGTTCATTTCCAGCCTATAAATATTCTTGCAGTCACTGTTTTACAAATAGGAAAAATATTGTTCTTCCAACACACTGCTTCCACTAAGTCTAAAAATCCTGCTGAACCAACTACCTTTCTCCCCTTCCCTACAGTGATACATTGGCTGGTTCTCTGGTTTTGGGACAAAGGTCATGTCAACAACCTGACCTAAGATTCCTAACATTAAGCGCTGATGCCAGAGTTAGATCCTAACATTCCATATAACAGTCAGATAAATAAAATAAGAGAAGCCTGTTTTCAAGGATGAGCACCTGAACTTTCTAATTAATAACCCAGAGATTTGTGTGCAGTTCTCACTTTTGCAAGTGAATTTTACTATGTGTGTAAAAAAAATCTGCACCTATAAATGAAGATACATTCTGTCAAGGAGGAAGAGTTATCAGGAACAACTGTGAATAACTTATTCTCAGGACAATTATATTTGCATCTACACTGTGAATTATAAAACACAAAGTATAGAGTGCTATAAGAAATGTTGAATTTATCCTTCAAGTGAATTGATGGATGGGTCTCCAAAATCATTTTGTCTATCACTAATTTTTTATATTGTTTATTTATATTTCTGTTCTTCCTGTAGCTGTCTTTACTGTGATCTCCTGCAGTGAATGGGATGCAGCGCACATTGGTAGTAATGCTATGTTCTTATAGCTAAGTGTTTTCACTAAGTAATGAACTATACTGGTCTGCTGCATAAAGACAGAGGGCTCATTGGAATAACACACCCAGAAAGCAGGAACTAACGTTTTCATTTCCTCAGAAAATTCATTTTGGCTATTGGTCTGAAATTAACTTGCAGAAAACAATTGTATGAATAAAAATTTCACCACTAGAACAGACACAAAACATGGAAATAATATTTCTAGTTCAAGAGAGAGACATTTTAAATGTCTTTATCAGCTCTAGCAAACTCAGTTTAGGATACCTTTGACTTTGCAAGACGTTCTATATTTTCAGTGGGGTCAGACCCCACTGATAAAAAGCATGTCAGAGGTGTTCGACAGTCACTTTCTGACCACATTGCTTCCATCTCAAGTATAAATCCTTCTGCGTATTTCACACCAAGGGATTCTGCAATGTAGTTTCGAGCCTGAAAAACAAATCAAAACAAAACAAAGCTACCAAAAACATAAATATTTTATTTTTAATTTACTGGATTGGTAGATAGCCAAGTGAAAGAGCTGCTTGTTACCTCCCCCATTAGCTCTTCTAAGCAAGTATTGTTGACTCTGGATCTACAGCATAGCAGAACGGACAAATTTTTCAACTGACTGAGTTACAGTATTCCATATATATGTTGGAAGAGCAAACAGAAGTTCTCCTATCCAGTGGTTACTCAATTCAAGTTTCTTATGCTTAGTATCTATTTCTACAAAAAATAAATATACAGCTCAGACCGCAGTCTTAAAGGTCTCAGCCTTTTCTATGCCTCCATTTTCCTCTTTTCATGGACATTTTCTAAAAGGATTTCTAAGTTGTAAAGGATTTCTAAGGTGTACGAAAGACTTTTTTGAAAGCCATGATTTTCCAACTGTGCAAACAACTAATTGAGAAACATCCAAGATCAAAGGAGACTGAGCCAGATGCCAGATTCAGAAACAACACATCCATCAATAAACTTTCCACTACTGTGACTTTTGTCCTACTGAAAAGAGGTGAAATTTTATAGTGTTTGGAAAGACAGTAGGAAAAGAAGAGATAAAGAATATAATAACAGAAAAGTATCTCCTCTTTTCTCAACAATTAAAATAATTACAGTATTTGAAACCACCATCCAGAGACATTCTTTCTCAAAGGTGGTTGTGACAGACGATGTAAGTATTGCTGGATGAGCAGTAGCAGCTTTATTATTTTGTTCTGTTTAGATTGTGGAAAGTGGAGTTCCCATACTTCCCTTTGCCAGCTGAAGTGTAGGAAAGGAAGAAGGATGGAACTACGTGGATTTTGTTGAAGAAAAGGTTTCTGAAAAAAAGATAGTGCTCCTAAATACAGTGTGCTATTACAACATATAATGTGTAAAGATGAGATATAGAAGAAAATCATAGAATCAGAAATCTTAGAATCATAGAATGGCCTGGGTTGAAAAGGACCTCAAATATCACTTAGTTTCAACCCCCCTGCTATGTGCAGGGTCACCAACCACTAGATCAGAAGTGGTTGCAAAATCAGAAGTACTACTTTTCAGTGCAGCTGAAGACTAAAAAAAAAAAAAAAGAAAACAAAGAAAAGATATAATCATATTCTCAAACATCTCTTAGAAACTTATATAGAGAAGAAAATCCAAATATCACATACTGTTGAGAAATTGCAATCCTATTGCAGTTTCTCTTACAGCATGTGCCATGGGACAGTCTTAATTATTACTTCTTCAGTGTGGAGGTGCAGGTAAGTAAAAAGTTCTGTTATTTTACTGCACCTGTCATTTAAGTGAACTGTTCTCTTTCCACTTCTTGTGTGAAGAAATATGGATGCATCTTTTAATCCTCTGGAAGAATGCAACTGCTTTACAAGTGTCATGGCTCCACTTACAAAACACCACAAAAAAATGACCAGTATTCTTAAAGCTTGAATACAGTGTTAAGCAATGCCCTAATGTGTAACAATTAAATAAAATATATTTTTCCTATATATTAAAAGGACTTCAATATCTTTCTCGTTTTTCAGAATACTTACTCTGTGAGAAAACTACGATAAAAAACAAAGTCAGGGAACATAAGTTTAGAATTAGTAGTTATAGAGGAAATGCCACATATCATAAACACCATATGAAAGCATATCTTACTTGGGCAACGGTATGATCAGGGCACCAGCTACGGACAAGGAGAAGCTTACGGAATTGATCCAGTAAGCTGTCATACCCATCAGGAACAGCAGCTTTTTCAGGTGCTTCTGCATCAAACCAAGCTTTCCAGGCCTTCTCATTCCTAACAACTTGTACCAGAAGTTCATTAAAAGGGCACAAGCTAGACAACTGCACAAGATTGAGCCACGTCATGTCAAGGATCCACTTTTTTGGTTTCGGTTCCACAGAATTTAGATCCAAACTGGCACCTCCTGCAAAGCAAAATAATTATATGGGGAATACAAACAAACAAACAACAACAACAACAACAAACAGAAAAAATAACAAGTAATCCAAGATACTGATTTTTTTTTTTTTTTATTTGGGGGATAACAATCTTTGTAAAATAGGACATAGAGACCTAGAATTATGCGTAGAAGACTTATTTATTGAACAGTGAATGGTCTCAATGCCTCCCAAAGCTGATATCTCAGTATTATTTGAGTTTCTTTTCCTCTATCTGGAAAGCTAAAGCAATACTTGTTCTATGATGCTTAAAACCAAGTGTTCTGTTCAGATGTAGAAAGGATCTATGTTTAGTCCAGCCCCCTTTCACCTACACTACAGAATGACAAAGCACACAGTATATTCATTTCCAGGACTGCAACTTCAACAGCTCACCCACCACTCCAGCATCATGCCCATTCGTACTTTGAATGCAGCTGAGTCACAGTTGAATATTAAACTGGTGTTCACTGAGCAAGCTGAGATAATTGGATGCAAGAGCCTGATTGAACTTATCTTCATTTGTGACTGTGCCTAGCTTATCTCAGAGACAGTGTATGCCCCCACAAGAACATTATAAACTTAACAAAATTTTTATTTTGTCATTGTGTCTTAGCAGTGACATGCTCTGGTAGCATAATATGGAGAAAGTGGTACATAGCAATATTTTACAATGTTCAACAAATTTCTACTTTCCTTTTACAATCACACTTAAATGTGGTACAGTGTACCCATGCCTTATTATGCTGGCTCACCAGCGATCAAAACAGGTTTTGCTGACTGTCTCCAAGCTCACAGATGAAAGCATGTGGCAACACACACACACACAAAAAAAGAGGCATGCAAGGGAAAATTACATGGTCTTTTACAAAGTAACAGCCTTTTTTTCCCTGTTATCCAACACAAAACTGTTAAATAAACTCATTTTAGCATTATTTTGACAACAAATAGTCTATGTTGTTTGTTTTGCAAATTTTATATTGTAAATTTCTCTTTTGCAATATACATGTATTCACTCACCAGTTAAAAAGCACCACTCCTAATGGATAGAACATACTGCTAGTGTAAGCACTGCAAAATCTGAATTTGGCAGTCCACAGACATATGCAAATAGAGAATATTTATAGAGAAATTACCTTTGATCAGTGTCTCAAACTCACTATGTGAAATTTTCTTGGCCTGCAAGTCAATCTTCAAGGCCAGCAGCAATGTAAAGAGGAATCTGTGATTTTCATACAGCCCTCGAACTGTATACTTGAAGACTTCATAGGTGAGATGCTCGATTATATACAGCACCCTTTTTCCTGTAATCTGAGATTTCTGAGATCTTTCCACTGACAGGTCAAAAATGCCAAGAAACTGCCGTAAGGATGTTTGGTACATGACATTCACCAAGCTCATTTCCACAATTAGGAAATAAAGAATGCTGCCACGACCAGCAACTGGCCGATACTCTTCACGTGCAGTATTGATTTTCACCTCTGTCTCTGCTGCTATGCTTAATTTTTCACTGACCTTAAAATAAATTGAAAAGACAATGCAGATTTAGTCATGTCATTTGTGATTTATACTGCACAAGCAAAAGGAAAAGGTCTTGATTAAGATCACATTTGTATTTTCAGTCAAGCTTTGTTGGTGTTTCAACAGAAACAATTGTGTCTTCATGTGCTCACCAAGCACAATATGATTTGATTCAAATGAACACTTGCAAGGTATGTCTGGAATATAGGAAATTATCCAGGTAATAGTTTAATTTTGCAACATTTTTATAATGGAGAATGATACAGTTTCTACTATTTATTATGAAGTACAATGCTGCATAGAAACTCTAAATAGGAAAGCAAAAACAGAAAAAATATCTTTTCAGAGATAATCTTCAAATTACAATTACAAAATGCATTGGCAAGGTATTTAGAATTTACCTCTTCTGCTGTTGTTTTAGTGATTCTTAGGACTTCTATTAGAGACTCATCTTCAACCAAAGAGCCCTCTGTACTCGTTAGGCGAAAGAGTAGGTTATCTTCAAGCTCCTGCATTCTCCTCCTGTTAGATGTCACTTCCTCCATCAGTTTGACCCTTTCTGCCTCAAGTTCCTGTACTCAGAAAATCAAACATTTTCATTAATTAATTAAAAAAAAGCTGTAAAATGACACAGAAAATTTGATTTAATGCATGTGAAATTAGAGGGTTTCCTGCTTTTTCTATAAAATACAGAATCATTATATGCTAGAGTGATTTATATGTATACCACATTTGTTTGATTAATGATGCATACTGAGGAGTGAATATGCATCAGAATTACATGAACAAGCTTCCTCAGAGTAAGATGCACTGAAACTAGCTTCCAATGGGAAATGATAAAAGCCACCTTACATTAAGTACTTAAAATTAAATCAGACAAAGGAAAATGCCTTGTATGGACTGATTTTACATTTTAGGGAAATTGACTGGGTGGCCTATTCCATTTCTAATTTCTATCATCCTGTGACTTTGCAAGATACACTCCTCCACTGCTTAGAAAACAGAAAATACTACAACAATTATTATCTACATGATGTGGAATTTTTATGCAATTTCTACAAGACAGGTGATGGCAAGTGACAATAATAGACAAATCAACACAATGCCAAGTGAAATGAGGCATCTGCATTGCACAGTCCTACACAGCTTAGAGACACCCTTGCTAGGTGCTTTATTTAATCAATCAAGTCAACATTCCTGTAAGAAAAAGGCAGTTAATAATACCAGTCTGCCTAAACTTACGGCTTTGGTTTATTTTCATTCTTGTCAAAGTGACAAGTTAGAGAACAAGGAGATGTATGAAGTTATAGAGAACAGGGGAAGCTCTCTTGTATTTCAGAGAGGGAGTGAAAAATTTCTTCACTCTCACAAACTTCTTATTTGGAAATCTGTTTACAATATATTCTGAGGCTATAGAATGTAGCTCTGTGGAAGCTACAAATAAATGAGCCCTAAAAGAAGAGAATGACTAAAGCCTCAATCATTCAGTTTCTGCATTTTCTCCTCTTTCATTAACACACAAAAAAAGGTTAGAATTACACAATAGAACCAGTTCTGCAGAATAATTACATATGCATTTACGTATGTGCTTAAGTTCTATTTATGGCCATGCTTATTTAAGAATAGGCACGCTACCCATTCTATTTGTAAGATTTTAAAGCATATCTTTCAAAAAGTGAGCAAAATGAGCTTTTGCTTGCAAGTGGATTTCATGACCGCATTTGTAACATAAAGACTAGCTGCTCTGAACGCAAACTTTGGCAGCAATTTATTTATCAAAGTAGAAAAAGATGCTGATGATATTTTTTTTCCAAACAGAGGAGCAATCTTTAAAGTAAAAAAAACATAAATACTTCTTTGATCATATATTTCATTGATCACTGTAACAATCATTAAGAATGTCTCGGTCCCTTTAATCTATTACTTTAGCTCAGTGATCATAAATTCGTCTTCTTGTTTCTAATAGAAAACCAGCTTTTCAGATTCTCTGTTAATGCTCTGTCTTTTCTTTGAACAAAATTTATCAGAGCTCCCTTGGCTATCCATGGCAGGACATTCATTTCTTACTGAGACAGAATAACCATGATTTGTTCATATCTGCTAAATGGAATGGTTTAATAAATGTGGATCACTTGCAACAATGTCTCTGTCCAGTAATTAATGCTAATACTAAATAGTTACCCTTGCAGCTCCCTTCAGCTGATACACTGCACTGGATGAATATTTTTCAGTAAATAATTTCTAGCTTGTATTTCTATATACATTCAGTGTGAATTCTGTAATGGTTTTGTCTAGGAAAAGAAAAACAACACCAGACTAAAGGCTACTCGCACCACTTTTTATCTGAGCAATTAAAAGTAGAAGCTTCTCTGCAGGCCATGAGAAATCATTTCCGTCTTGAAAAGACATTGAAAACTCCTTCTCTCATCAGAGATCTATAATCACCAATTGCCTGATAAGGAGGAGGAAGTTGATGAGACTTTCTACCAACAGCTGAAAGTAGCTTCATGACCACAGGCACTGGTTCTCATAGGGGACTTCAATCAACCTGAATATGTGCTGGAAAAACAACATGGCCAGGCACACATAGCCCAGGATGTTCCTGCAATGCGCTGAAGATAACTTCCTGATGCAGGTGGTGGAGTGGCCAATAATGAAATGTGTGCTGCTGGACCTTGTTCTTACAAAGGACTGGCTGTGAATGTGAAGGCTGAGGGCAGCCCTGGTTGCAGTGACCATAAGATAGCATAGTTCAGGATCTGACATGGAAGAAACAAGGCAATAAGTAGGGTTGCAACCCTGGACTTCAGGAAAGCCAACAATGACTTCCTCAAGGACATACTTGAAGGTATCCCACGGGTTAAGCACTGGAGCCAACTGCTGAATAAGGTAGGTGCCTTCTCAGATAACGAAATACACTGAGAGGGAGGAGTTACTGAACACTTTTTTTTGCTTCAGTTTTTACTGCTAAGACTGCCTCTCAGAAATCCCAGGTAAGAGAGAGGTAGGTCTGGAGGTAAGAGAGAGAGTCTGGGGAAAGGAAAACTTCTTGGTTGGGAATAAACTCACTGCACAGAAATCCATAGGCCCCGATGGGACATACCCATGAGTGCTTAGGGAACTTTCAAAAGTGATTGCCAAACCACTCCCTACTATCTTTGAAAGGTTATAGAGAATGAAAGATGCCTGAGGACTGGAGGACTGCGAACGTTGCACCAGTCTTCAAAAAGGGTATCCAGGGAACTACAGGCCAGTCATCCTCACCTCCATCCCTGAGAAGGTGATGGAGCAGCTTATTCTGGATGGCATTTCCATCCAAGTGGAAGAAAAGGAGATTATCAGGAGTAGTCAACATGGATTCACCAAAGGGAAATCATACTTGACCTATCTGACAGTCTTGACCGTGCTGTGTGGTGAACTCAAAATGCCTGAAGGTCACAATGCTACTGTTTAACATCTTCATCCGTGACCTGGATGAAAGCATAGAGTCCACCCTCAGTAAGTTGGCTGATGATGCAAAGTTGGAAGGAGTGGCTGACACACCAGAAAGCTGTGCTGCCATGCAGTGAGACCTAGACAGACTGTAGAGTTGGGTGGAGAGGAACCTGATGAAATTCAACAAGCGCAAGTGCAGAGTCCTGCATCAGAGAAGGAATAATCGTATGCATCAGTACAGGTTAGGGGGTGACCTGCTGGACAGGAGCTCTGCAGAGAAGGAACCTGGATGTTCTGATAGGCAACAAGCTGACCATGAGCCAGCAATATGCCCTTGTGATCAAGAAGGCCAATGGTATCCAGAGGTGCATTAAAAAGAGCATGGCCAGCATGATGAGGGAAGTTCTCTTCCCTCTCTATTCTGCCCTGGTAAGGCTATAATGGGAGTACTGATTCCAGTTCTGGGCTTCTCAGTTCAAGAAAGACAGAAAACTTCTAAAAAGAGACCAGTGTAGAGATACAAAGATCATTAGTGGCCTGAAGCATCTCCCTTATGACTAGGCTATTACTCCCAACAGGGCAGGAGTAAAGTGGGTGGGGCCAGGATCTTTTCAGCTTTACCCAGTAACAGAACAAGGGGCGATGGGAAGAAACTGGAATATGGGAAGTTCCACATGAACTTGAGGAATTTTTTTTTTACTTTGAGGGCTACAGAGTGCTGGAACAAGGTGCCCAGAGACACTGTGGAGTCTCAGGTATTCAAAACCTACCTTGACATTTTCATGTGTAACCTGCTCTAAACTATCCTGTGAAACCAGTTGTTTGTATGTTGTGGTTTTGTTTTTTTTAATTTGAAAGCAGCAACTCTGCTAACCCAAAATTTGTTACTTTTTTTTACAAAAATACAATTATGAAATACTCATTTGGAAATATATAAGACATTCCATTTGCTACAAAATACAACTTCCATGCTTTCATTTTAATGGGAAAATAAGCAAATATTTCATGTTAGAATAACTGAACAATATAATGTATTTATTGGCTGGCTGCCACAGTAAAATAGAAAATAATAAAAATGAAAAAAACAAACCACAATCCACATTTATCCCCAGTGCCTATGATGAATTGACCTCCAAGTTTTTTGGGTAGTCAGTTAAATTAGAACATACAGAAAGAAATAGGAATGACTTAAGAACAGGAATTGTTTTTGAGGATGTCTCAGATCTTGTATTATGAAATTAAATTTCTGAGAAACACCTATGAGAAAATACTCTTTCTTATATTTGTTTCCATATAATCAATGGAAATTTGATTATAAGCAGGGTCAAGTCTGTTTTGAGGGCTCCTTAAAAATTTCATATCTTCTTGCACACTCGAGCTGACTGGCAAAAGTAGTTTGATTTCATAAGCATTTATTCATGTAATTCAAATTAAGTTTAAAAAAGAATTCAGAAATAAAGGACGTTTTTGACTGAAAGAGGAGCATTTGCTATATATGAAGGAATAAAAATGCTTTATGTAAGTCATGTATATGCCCATGATGTATTTTTAATGAATAATTTTCTTGTTTCTCTTTCCAGTGCTGGATCTTATAACAAATGTTTAGGTCCTTCAATTCAATTAAGAACCAGCTCCACACCATCCTTCAAAAAAAGCACTAAAATAAACCTAAATGGGCATTTTTGTTCTTGCATTTGATTTCAGTCAAGACACTCATGGTGCAAACAAGTCTTTCCTCTACACAAATCTTGCAAATTACTTCATACCTGTTTTTCTGTGAGGATGACACGGCCAAGGAGCTGATCTTCCAACCCCCGCACAGTAACAGTAAAGTCAATCACTGTTGTTCTTGCACTGATTTCTGGAGTATAGGCAGGATTAGCCAATTTTGTTGTCATGTAAAGGGTAAACCCTTTCATGAGATCTACCTCCTTGTCACCTACTTTCACCTGAAAATAATAATAAACAAAAACAACCTAGTTTTTAAAAGTTAAAATAAAAAAAAAGTCATTTTCTCCACGAAAAACAGACTAAATCTTTCTCATTATTATTTCATGAACACTTTTTAAAACAAATAAGAAAACTTATGAGTTCATTGCTTATCTTTTTAAGCATAGTGAAGGTATGAATCTTCATATCATCCAGATTTTCAGATACCTAGCACCTACCCTGTGTGGTTTTTTTTACTTTTATGTTCACAATTCATCTTACTTTGTGTGCTGAACCAGATTTTATGAAATTCTTTTCCAGGATGTTATCTAGAGCAGGATCAAGTTCCTCTCCAATGTTTTCTATTAACAGGGGTCGGCCAAGGGACAGGCTGTCTTCTATATGACTTCTGAAGAACTTGTGGTTCATAGCTGTAACCTAGGAAGATTGGTCACAACATAGCATGCATTTGTAAGCACATGGAAAACAGTACAAAATGTAATGCAGCTTTCAAAAAATCATACTTATCCTGGGATATCATAGAATCATAGAATGTCTTGAGTTGGAAGATGGAAGGAACCATAAAGCTTAACAGAACAGGGAATCACTCTTGTTTGTTTTCTTTACTGCTATCTGTATATTTAGTTATCTATCTACTATCTCTCTCTCTATATTATTACTGTATTTTCTTAATACCTTTTAAACAGTAGTGGATTTATGCTTGAAACGCTAATGTAAAGCAAGTATTCATAGCGTTTGGTCAAATACCAATCTTGCATGTTCCATATCAGATATTGAATTGCCAACTCAGTTTCCATTTCATTCACAATATCAAGTCTTAAACTTACTAAGAATCACATTGATAGTTTTTCATTTATTTAACAAATTTAATGCAAGCCTTTGAGATTAGAATTGAACAGCCTTGATAAGCATCTGTTATGACATGGTTTGGAGGTGCTTCTGACCAGAAAACAAACTGCGATAGATATGTTTTTTAAAATGAAGACTTCATCTTGCAGGCACTACTACTCTTTGAAAAATAATTAAGATTAAAATAATTAAATTACGATTTTTCAAAAAATTAATATATTTAGAGGCATATAGCACAGGTTTTAAACAGTGTATTATGTCACATCACACTGCATTTTTAGCTCTGCTATAAAATAGATGTATCGGTTTCAACAAAAATAGTATCTTTTTAGTCCAAGTGAAACTGAGGGATGAAGGTAGAGTCTGATTGACCAAAACTGTAATCCCAACAAGACCATATTAAATGAAGCATTTACCTGTAGTCCATTATTCTTTTCTTTATTTTTAATCCAGATCTTTCCTTGACCTTGTGGATCAATGAGCAAAGGATATCGAGACGCTTTGGTGACTATTATGCCATTCTGAATTGAAAGGTCATCATTTGGAAGACCCTGGAGGTTCCATTCACTGACTGTAGCATTGTCAACAAGCATACTGGTGAGGTTCAGGTCCTAATAGAAAATAATGTTTGTAATGACAAAATTACAACCGGTTGAAGGAATTACATTAAAATATCCAGTGGAAGGATTGCCTTCTTATTCTGATCACAATGATGGAATGCATTTGGTAGTTTACCTTTTCTTTCTTCAAGGCCTAAACATTTTAAAGTGGGGCAATAATAAAAGTGAATTCCGTTTGAACTTTGAAGTCTATTAATTCTTAAATGTAATGAATGGCACCAAAGAAAGAGAGCAATAATGTTGGAGAAACTCTGAAGACACTTCAGTATCTGAGGGCAAACTGATTTAGATCTTGTCAAATTCTATTCTTGCTACCTCATGAGGGTTATACTGGCCAGAAGAGCTTCCTCCTGACATAAAGTTATGGAGTGCCCGCCAATCATGTATATGAGTACAGGATAGCTTGTGGAGAAAGAAAAAACATGTTACAGACCAATAACATGGGCTATCATGGAAAAATATTGCTGCTATCATCAAAACTCTTCCCAGCTCGTATACTCTCCTAAAGTTTGATAGTACCTAACAACCAACTTGCTTCATTTTATTCACTAGGAACACTGACCTCTCAAAAATGTGTATGTGAGGGAAACAGTACTTAAAATCGCAAATTGAGCTCTCCAAAATATTTTTGAAGTATCATGATAATGATGTGAGCTTAGAAAGAATAAAATTGAATATTTTATATTTGTTCCTTTCATTTTTCACTCAAGAACTTTCATTTTTTAACCTTGCTCAACAAACTTGTCTAAAAAGAAAAAGCCTGTAAACCTTAAAAACAAAACCAAACCAAACCAAAAACCACAGAATTTAGCAGCTGAAGTCTAAAACAAGATTTCAGGTACTGTCAGACCTATGATAATCATAAATTAGTAATACCAGTGGCTGCAAGACTCAGAAGATTTTTTTAACTCTCTGATCTTTTTTCTACTCTCATTATTGAAAAATCTGAATGAAACAAGGAAATTTTTCTCAGAAGACAGAGAAACTTTAAGAGTTTGTTTTCCAGTTGTGAAAAGAACATAAAAGAATGTAACAGCCAAAATTTTCAGCAAGTGGAACATAAAGCCATATTTAATGTACTAAGCAGCTGAGTAGCATTCAAACAGCTTTTAGGTTTTTGTTTTGTTTTGTTTTTTGGTTTTTTTTACTGCAGTAGGGAGTTTCAGCCACTCTGCAACTCTGAAACTTAGCTTATTTAAGTGCCTAGCTACACCAACAGACAGCTAATTTGAAACAGCTCTCTTTAAATTGTTATGCCTAAATGACTCATACACCCACAGCCAGTTAGTCTGTGACAAAGTAAGGCAGATGTCAAGCCTCTCCCTTGAACTACAAAGCAGCTTTTTTTCCTGTGGTGTGAAGTATCAAGAGAGGCCCATCTGCTGCCTTTTGTGAGTACTTAATTTGCTGAAAAAAATTATAACACTCTTCCATATACTGTCATTGAAATCATAATTCTATCTTTAACAGCAGCTATCTAAACAGAATGGTAATTATGCTTTGAAACTCATGTTAATTATGACATTCTGTGTCTAGCCTGTCCATAGGAAAAAAGCATAAACATGAGCAGCACAAAAATAATCAAAAAGTATTCCTCAAATTTTGAAGGCTGAAGCTTAGTATCAATGTGGTCAAAACATCTTCAGAGGCAAAATTTTGGTTCCTTCTTGCTTGTACTTTTAGACATTATGTAGCCAAGGTCTTATTGTGAAACAGCAGGGATCTTGACAGATATTCTCCAAGGTAAGCAGCTTTTAAGAACATTTTGTACACTGGGTTTGAGAAAGAGCCTCCCTTAGATAAATGTATGTAGGATAAGTCCCATAGCACACTGGTGAAGAATCTTGCCTGAGACTGCACTGTGACTGGTACTTTATTAATAAATCCGTCCAGGCCTTACGTATTACTTTTCATCTGAAGCTCTCAAAAAGCTTTGCTGGGCAAGTCAGAATCATTAATCTTCATAAGTCATACCATACATTGGGCTGGGCTGTGAGGCTTACTCTGCCAGCTCAAAGTCAATCATTGTTATAAGAAGCACTATCCACCATATAGATAAATGAAAAAAAAAGAAAAGAAAAAAAGATTAACAAATAACTTCTACGAGATGAAGAGCATGACAAACCCCCTGTGGCTATGCAGTCCCCCTAAAATAGGTTTTAAGTGTCAAATCCCCCAAGAGGCTGACAATAAGATGCAGCAGGGATAGTAATCTACCTTTAACACATCTGTAGTGGTGCAGCCACAGGTGTACACAGGTTGCTCATTGTTTCAAGGAAAGGAGCCTGCCCTATACGGTAGTCCCAGCACAGAGGTTGCTCACTTTATTAGAGTATATGACGTGTTCAGGGAACTGAAGCTGCATGATGGTCATTACCTCAGCTGCATTTTAGGCCACCTATATTCGTGCAGACTTGGGCCACTTAAGGGGAAGCTGTATAAACTCACAAAGAACAGCCTTACTGGTGACAAGCCTACATCAGTTTAACAGTTTAAAGTGAAGCAAGCTGAACTGGTGTAAATCCAAGCTTTTAAAAACATGGGGTTGTTTTTAACCTAATCATTTCAACAAGACCCTTGAAGTTAAACTATATTAAACGGTGTGAGGAAACAGCAGAGGGTGCAACAGGAGGGTATTAATTGCTAATATATAAGGATGCAGAGGGGATATTTCTGATAAAAAAATGTGTAATAGTCCATCATATTATTGGGTGTAAGAGTATTTTTATGTTGACCAAAAATCTAGCTACACGAAGACTAAATGTGGAATGTGAAGTCTGAAAAAGGAAAAACTGTGTTTCCATTTTACACATATTTTCTAGCAAGTTAGATTATTAAAACATTGTACTTCAATAAATCTGAATGAAAATAATGGAACCTTCTATTTCTATTCTATTTTCATCTACTTACAGTTTTGCTTATTAAGAACAGTAAGTTAAAGAATGTATGATGGAATTTGTCATAAATATGAAATAGATGCAAAAAAAACCTTCTTCCAAATTCCCTCTTTATATTTTAGATTCACAGTTCAGAGTGAAAAGTGGATATCTAGAGAAAGAAAAAAATTTTAATGGCAACACATGAGACTGTACGTGGTAAAAGTGGAAACAGGGCAAATGCTGGTAGGTAGTTGACTGGGGCAAAACTCCCAACCAGCCCAGAAGCCACAGACTAATCTCTCCATCTCTTCGCTGTTCAGTGGGCCCAACTTGGGAGACTGCCTGAAAAAAATTCTAGGGGCATGGAAGTTAACCTTTTTAACAGGATAACTTAAAAAGTTGTAGGAGATGATTACAGTGGGTGTTCTCTTTGATACAGGTATTTTCTACTTTTGGTAAATGCTAGATGTAGCTGATTTATTCTATGACTGAAATCACAGATGCAACAGGGTATGTGTGAAAAACATTATTAAGAGTGAAAAATCTGACTACCTGATGGAACCCCTTATGTTGCAGTAGATCTGTTCTAAACTGCTGATTTTGACTTAATTTCCATTTTATGCAATTTCCTTCCAGGAGAGCAGATCTCAGGTAGCCTCTCTGACTTAGATTTGCCAGAGCCTTTTCCTATGCACTAATATTGCAATGCATGAAAGTATTAAGAGAATTTTTTAGAAGCTCAGTTGTCAACTGTTCAGAATTTTTATTTATTAAAATTATGATGCTATATGACAGCTCATAAATAACTTTTTAATTAAGTATTTTTTCTGGAATTGATTGCTCTTAACATTATTTCTCTGCAAGGCAATAAAGTTAAAACAAAGTATGAACACTTACATTACTGTATGGAATCTTGCTGCTGTTCATCTCTTTCTTCCACAGATGGAGCAGTAAATTCCTGTACTCCTGATTGAAAGGTCCTGAGTAGGAGAGAAATGCAGTGGCCAAAAGGACATTCCCCACTAAATGAGTAATTTGATTTTGAAAGTTTTTGCTGCTTTCAGTCCAACGAAGCTGTGTGTAAAAATATTATAAACAAGTTAGAAGAAACAGACACAAACCTAACCATGAAGATCCAATTTCAGAATCTCTCTTTCTTTCAGGTGGGTAACTGTTCTTGAACCACAAATATCCCTTTTCTTTTCTTTGCTTTGCTTTGCTTTGCTTTGCTTTGCTTTTCCTTTCTTTGCTTTTCCTTTCTTTGCTTTGCTTTGCTTTGCTTTTTTCAGAAGTAGAAGTAGAAGTTTTATTGGAAGAGATGGCAGCCACCTAAGCGGGGAATTAAGTATCTCTGCCAACAGGCTGGCCAAACGAGTAGAGGGGGCTTTAAAGAAGGAATGGAAAGGAAGGGAGAGGACAAACAACAATCAGTGAGGAACTGAAGGACCAAGTTGGCAAATAAAATGCATAGAGTGATGTATACACTAGAAACCTAAGAATCAATAAAACAGAGGACCACCTGTAGCATATCTACATAAACAAGGTACTGCCTACCAGACAGAATCCCAGGATAGTTTTCATACTGGTTCTGGGAAATCAGCACAGCCAGACTCCTCTCTGAAATGCTCATACACTAATGTGCACAGCGCAGAGAACAAACAAGGAATCAGAGGTCTGCAAGTAGCTACAGAGTCATGATCTCATGGGGATCACTGTGACACAGCAGGAAAGTTCCCACAATCAGTGCTACAACACATATATAGGCTTGTTATGAAGGACAAGCTGGAACAGTGAGTAGTTTCCCTCTATGTGAGAAAGCAGCTGGAATGCATGGAATTCTTCATCTGAGTCTCTGGATGGTCAATAGTCTTTGGAAGGTCACTATGAGACTCCTGAGGACACAGCGAATACAAATATCACTCCTGTAGGGGTAAAATGAATGACGCTTAGAAAATAGAAGAGAGTGCACTGTCAGCAAGTTGACACACTTGATAAATGGGCTGCCATCCAGAGAGCACTTAACAGGCTGGAGAAATGGACCAACAGGAATCTCCTCAAATTCAGCAGAGGAAAGTGTTGGTACTGTGTCTGAGAAAGAAAAACTCAGTGCAACAGTATGGTCCCAGCTGGGACTGACAGCTAGAGTGCAGTTGGGAAGAAAAAGGCCTGGAGGCTCTAACAGACACCACGTGGAACATGAGACAGTAACAAATGCTCATAGCAAAGATGGCCAAGAGCATCCTGGGTTACCTTCAGATGACTGCTGGAAACGCATCCAGGGAGGTGATTATTCCTGCTATCACTGGTGAGACCACTTCTGGACTACTGTGCTCAGGTCTGAGCTCACCAGATTTGGACACATTAGAGAGAGTTAAGCAAAGGGCTCAAATGGGGCCTCCATCATATGTGAATAGTCTGAGTGTACTGAGACTATTTAGGCTTGAGAGCAGACTCTTGGGGGGAATTTTGGCAATGTATTAATATGTCATGAGTGATTGCAAAGGAGATGGTACCATACTCTTTAAAATGGTACCCAGTGAAAGGACAAGTGGCAGTGGGCAGGAATTCAAATACAGGTAATTCCATTCAAATATTCAAAAAGACAGTCAGAGTGGTTGAGACTGGAATAGTTGCCAACAGAGCCTGAGGAATCTCTATCTTTGGAGATACTCCAACTTCTATTGGATAATGTCCTGAGAAATCAAAAATATGCCAAAGCATCTAATATTTTGGACTAAACATTTTGAAGCACATCTGTACAAACACTTGAGATCTGGCCTTACAGGATTTAGTGGTTGAAAGTTGAAGCTCTCATCAGTTTTGATTCTGTGTGATTACAAACAAGGACTTCTCAAAGCAAATAATCAGCCAATTACAAAAAAAGACCATCCCGCTTTTTCTGGAAACCCTCAGGTTCTATTATAAGCTGAAGCTATAAACATCTGCATAGGAGAGTAAAACTTAAAGCTCAGCACAGAGGATAAAGATTAGCCCATAATTCTGTAAAAGGTTTCAGTAGCAATCTGAACTTAAAATATAATCCAGAATATTAGTCAAGCTTCAAATTTCTATTCTTGTATAGTTGGTGAGAAAAAAAAAAGAGTAATCCTTCTTATGAATATTTTAGGGCAATTATTTAGGTTAAGCCTAATTCCTCTTCTTACTAAAGTTAAAAGGAATTTGGCTCCTTGGCTTTCATTTTGAACGTTATCCCAATACAAGCCATATGATCATTATACGTAATAATTTGGCTAACCCAATAAAGGGTTTTACTTTGTTAGATACATTGGTTTCAAGAAAAAAAGAAAAAAGCCCACATGTGTAACTAAAATATAGTGTCACATGATATCAAGACATCACCTTGCCTTGAATTTCTTGAACACTTCTAATGTTTGTTATCAGACCTGAGGACCAACTTTGTGCTAGAACTATACTCATAATGTGCCAGCACCTTTTCTCCACCTAAGCCTTCTATCAGAGCTCTGGCATTATTCATCTTCCTTCTGCAAGCCTCGGCATCATCAAGTAAGGCCTGCTTCTCTTTCATAGCAGCATCATACATGGCTTGTACTTGATCCAGTTCCATCTGCTTCTCATCCAGCTGATTTTGTGCATTATTCAGTTCAGTTTGGGCAGCTGCAAGTCTTCCCTCTTGCAAGGCTAGATTTGCCTAGAAGCATTTCAAAGTAAACAGTCATTAATACTTGTTATTTGGCAAGTCAATGATATTCATTTAGTGGCATATACTGTGCTGTATCGAGAACTTCTGAAAATAATACATACACAAGATAAAAACTTTTCTTCCTTTTTATTGTTATTCAATGCAATCTTAAAATGTTTTAATAATATTTTCGGAATGATCCATTAATCACACAACGATTAATGGTTTATAAGCACAGTACCCTTGAAATAGCTGTATACTAGATATATGAGGCACTGCATACAATATTTCCTGTGATATCTTCTCAGTGCAAAAGAAAATTAAGATTGTGCCTCACAGACTATAAAATAATAACAATGATAATGGAAACTAATCTTCTTCTTTCTTCATCATCAATTATTGCTACAATAAAAATGTAACAAACACATTTTTGGCTCCTCTGGAGACTAAATCTCTAAAGACATTTCATGTGTGTCTATGAAAATTTGAATAAGCTGACATCTTTGAAACTTGGCCTCTTCATTTCCATATTACTACTAAGAAAAATATATATATTCTGTGAATCCAGAATGTGTTTCCAAATACTTGTTTGTGAAAGATTAGAAATTGACAAAATGCTTATGAAACACTCACAGATAAACTTTGTTTTCATTTGCTCTGAATATTTAAAGCACCTAAATATTTAAATATCATGCATTTTTATTTTTCCTGCTCTAAGAGTTACAAAGATGGAAACTAAGAATCTGTAAAAATGTTTTATTAAAATTATGAACTTGAATCTAATCTCACATCACATCAGAGCAGAGCAAGGAATCTCTGGGATGACTTCTAGTAAACAGTATAACCTTGGGCTGGTTCTTAACATTAAATCTTGACTAAAGAGATAAATTTAATTCCTATCAAGCTATACTAAAATCAGCAAATTCTTGCAGTGGATAGGAAAAAAAATTAAAAGAGAGGAACCAAATCCCATTTTGAGATTAGGCGTGATAAAAAAGTGGAGCATGGAGTCCACTGTGTTTCAAGATAGGTCTGCCAGCAATTAGAGAAGCATATTTGCAATAGTAATTGAAGCAAAAATTTAACACTTCAGTGTTACACTTGCAGAGAACAGCACTATCAGCAAAACCATCATTTACTGTAGCCACTGCATTTGCTGACAGATCCTAGAGATAAACAAACATTCTATAATGGAGATAAGCCAGCAAAATGACCATTCATAAAATATCCATCATGTAAAGATGCTGAAATATTTTTATTCTACTTTTATTTCTTAAAGTGCATATTAAAGAACATCTCCTAGAGACAGACACTGTTGAATCAGCAGACCAGTGAGTCTTGATAAGACTCAGCTAAGCAGATTTCAGAATCACAGATACTACTTTTAGTGAATCTTGGGCTCTCTGGAAAAGCTTAAACGCTACAGGAGTTTTGAGTAGGTGACATGGTGTTCCTCTGTTCAACACCAGGGAAGGCAAAGAGATGGAGCAGGGCCCTTTCTAGATTCCAATAAGAAAGTAGTGACAGCAGATGTTTTAAGAAAAAAATACCCCAATAAAACAAGCATAAGTGTAGGTAGTGAGTAAATCTTATATCCCTTCAGATGCTGAGCACCCCATGTTCATGCAACATTGGACAGAACCTAGATGAATTTTCACATGGTGTGCCATGCAGAGCAGATCCTGTTCATGGAGAAAGACCGCTCTCTTTTGGCCATTAAAGCTATCATATACCCCTCTTTTTGTTCTGTCTTACTAAAGCAATTGTCTTATTAAGCCATTTGTTGTTGGATCTTTTACTGAGACCCAGAGAGGATGCTGCAGCATCCCTCTCTCTGCTACCTAGTCTCCTCCTCCTCTGATGCAGATCATCTCTAATCACTGAAGCCATGAGAGACAAGAATGAGAGTAAAACAAAGTTATGATGCATTGCTTCATCACAGCTCACAAATGGTGAGGTGACACAGGGAAAAATATCATTGGAAAGCTTGGAAGAACAGCTGAAAGAACAGGAACATTAAACCTGGCTGTGAGGATTCATATTTCACCCTGGCATTTACCATAGCAATACACAGTGAGCCACAGTGAAAAAGAATGCCCAATACATACAAGCGGTGGTGCCTTGCAAATATGAAAGGCCATATCTCCACAGAGCAATAAACTGCACAGAAAGGTACAAAATATGAATAAAACAGACTTCCTATTTTTTAAAAGCTCCTAAAAGGCTACCAGCCTTGAAGATGTAGGCACAATCAAAATAAATAAATAAATCTCACTAAGAAACACTTCAGATGAGTGCAAAGAAAAAATCTATTGCACTCTAACATGGAAAATCTCCAAATTAGTTAGGCATTACAGGGATTGCTAGCAGAAGAATTATAATAAGAAGTAATTTTATAGACAGTTTAACTAAGGTTTTCAGCTAAGTTTAGGGTAATAATAAAATATTAGTTCATTTAGGTATTGGTTTGATGCGTAGGATGCTTAATCATATGTGGTGAACGACGCTTGGTTGCACAAGACTGAATGCTAATATACCTGGGTGACCAGCATGTGTGACTCCCTAAGGCAGAGACTACTTGCTTTGGTTCTCCCTGGAAATCATCACTCTCTGCCTCTCTCTTGAATTCCATGTTTCAAAATTACATGGGTACAAACACTGCTTTCATATAGACATCACTAGCAGGTTGGCTGGCAGCTTCCTGCGCAGTTTTGCCTTGAGAGCAGAAGGAAAGTTTTCCTGCCAAGGAGGCTATTAGAGTTGCAAGAAGCTTCTTATGAAGATTTCCAGCCAATTAACAGAGGGAAGAAAATGTCTCCCAACCACAAAGAACCATTGCGGCCTTTCTAATTTTAGTGACATTGCTACGCGAACAAGATTCATACCCTTCGTTTCATCTCTCTGAGTCACGCAGCAAAGCAACGATTCAAAATTTGTTCCAGTTGGATGCAGTGTGAAAGCCTGATAAATGGATTTTATGTGAATGAATCATGAGGATTGAGGACATGTGAACCACACAGCAAGCTGTGGATAGGGGGGGTTACGTGAGAACACCTGGAGGCTTGTGCAAGAGCCATGTCTTCGGCCTTTCCTTGCTGCTGGCACTGTGAGGAACCACACAACACCCTCATGTCTGCTTCAACCAGTGCCTCATTTGCTCTTTCTTTATCCTCCATCCTGCATCTGTCTGCATAGGCCAAGTGTCATTAATTGGCACAGACTGAACTGTTGAGCTACTTTGCCTTATTCCAAGAGGCCATCTAAGATGCCTTCATAGCAAGTGGTGAGATGATTTTGCCCCTCTTAACCTTTGTAGTTTCCACATAAATACAGGAAAAATAAACAAGTAATTACAATCCACAACTATGCTGTTAAATTTAACATGTCCAGAACCTTCCTCTGGCACTGAAATCTGTAAGAGTAAAGAAGCTCATGTAAGACTCTTCCTTTCTGTAAAACATAGCACTACATGCAAACAGACCTGCAGAAGGGCTCTTTGGCCAGGCCAGCTCCTGAGAGGTGCCCAGAGATCACTCAGAAAATGCTGCCTTGTTAAGATCAAGTACACACTAGGAACCATTCTAACAATTTAACAGTGTAGATGCTCATTTTCTAGCATCTAAAGTTCAGTCACACTGTTTAACTTATCAGCATTGCCATAGCCTCAAGTTCCTCACTTATTCACTGCAAATTCAATTTTGCTAACCACTGAATATAACCGGTCTTGATCCAGGAAGGCATTTAAATAAAAATAAATAAAAATGCTTTATTTGATAAAAATCTTCATATTATTAAATGCTATCTCTGCTCATGAACTAAATGCCTAGAACAACCCTTGATCTTTATGAAGAACAGCTGTTGCTCAGTAAATACAGGAAACGTTACTAGAATGCTTTGTGGATGCGTTGGATGACCACATTGGTCTTTTTTTCCTTTTTATTTTTTTTTTCTCTTTTTGCAGTCATTCCCTGGGTACATGGTATCTGGCTGACATTACTTCATGGTAATGCAATCTCTAGCTGCTCCTGCCTCAGCTTACTGCTGATTTTTCACACAGATGGTCCACTGCTTTTGTATCATCCTGATCAGAGCCTCAATATCATGAGAAGGTTGGAATCAGAGATAATTTAGGGAAACATTATAAGAGAAGCAAGCACATACATAGGTTTTGCAGACATTAAAAAAAAAAAAATGGCTTTTCTTCATCTCTAAAATTTACTACTCACACACACACATAAAAATACATACATACATGCATATATATACATGCAAACAGATCCGTGCAGAATGACATTAATAAAATCTTGTCCTCTATTTCTTTACTATCAGTGACCATTTGGGGGAATTAAAACAACCTTTGAAAGGCATCGAGATCCTGCCTCTTATCTGCTTTATGCAGCCTCAATAGCTGTTAAAGATTCTTCACTTCTTCCTTTCCAAGTTACATGTCCTGACTCTAACCTGTTTTGTTATAGGTGATCTAATCCTCCCTTCCACCCTCTTCACATAAATGACTTCCTTGAATTCATACTTGTGGGTATCAACTTGACAAACACACTCTTATTTAAACAGTTGGCACCAAATTTTCACACTGTTCCTCCTAAGGTGAAATTCCAGTTATTGCCTCCTATGGGTTTTAGTTCCACACAGAGACAAGCAAAAGCAGAAAAAGCAGTAAAGTTCCATATTTAAAGCAGCATGTGATAGGGACAATTCCCCATATCAAACAGAATTTATAAACTACAGACAAACTTTTCTTGATCATCATAACAGCTTAAGGAGATCTTAATTAAAATCACTGGAGACATCTCCAAGGGAAATTATTTCCTTATTTTAATTGGATGCTAGCACAATCACAACTAAAGCCAGGGCTTCCTCATTCTACTGCTATTTTCTTCAACTAATGGATAAACAGATGATGTTTCAGAATTATCAGGTTAATCCAGCAGGCTTGCTGACTGGTTAACAAACTAGAGGGAAACTACTCATGGTCATGTTGAGGGTCTACAGGAAAGCAGTAAATAAATGGTGGCTGCTTTATGATAAACAACCACACTGCACTACATTTGCAGGCAATGTTTTTTGTACTGTGTTCAACTCTGAATAGTGATGCTTAGGCTGCAGGCCACATATCTGAAGAGGTAGGTAATTATTTCAAGGGAAGAATTCATTTTTGCACGCTTATACACAATAATTACTAAGATGTAAGTCATTATTAGTCAGTTTTCATAAAGTGTCACATTTAAGATTAAGGAGGCACTGAGTCCCATTTAAGATGCAACTAAAAAATACATTGGCTGGATTATGCAAGTGTTGAAGAGGCCTATCTCCTAGAATTGCAGTTAGGATAAAGTGATTTGATTACTTCATTCAGTAAACCTGCTTCTAGCACTGGATGATTTACCCTGTGCTAATCCTTTATGAAATCTGATTGTACATTTATTTTCAATTATTTTCTTAGCATCACTCCACTGCTTCCCACAATATCTTCTTTAAAACTTTCCTTCCTCTATTACCTTCAATTTTAAAATAATGGAAACTATTGCCATACCTGACAATAGGTATCACTTTGCCAAGAAATACATGCTTAGCTTTGTATCAGTTCCAGTGTGGCAAGATGTAAATATATAAATATAAAGATAAATTTATATGTAACTTTAAATAATGTATAATTAAAAACTGCAAGAGCACTTCCACAGCTTTCATAGAGTTGCATCTGAGCATTAGTCCAGTATTTGCCCTTGTTTTTTTCTTTTCTTTTATAGATCTCAGTAGGTGCATATCAGATTCTATTTTCATTAGTGAACGTTCTATTGTTTTTAAAAATATAAATCACAAAAATACAGTCAATGGTTACTTGGATCAAAAATATGTTTTAATGACTTTGAGTTAGATCAATCCAGATAAACTAAAAGCACATTTGAAGACTTTTGAATATGCAATGGATACACTGAATTACACAAAAGGAGACTGAGCACAAGTACAGTGGAAGCATAACTGATTGGTATGTATTTCTTTCAAAAGAAAAAAACCAAAATTATCCATTTAAGCAGTTACTATAAATCACTATATAAATATTCAGGTTTTTTTTAATATGCTCATATATTAAACATTTCGAAGATAATAAAACTATCTTTAGCAGTGCAGATAATGGCAGCTGATTCCTTTCTACTGTAATTTTACAATAATTTTACAGTTCCTAAAGAATTCTGTGCCAGGTGACTACATATTACATATACAATCACTTGTAGCGACTTGACAATCAAAAATTTTCTTAGATAATTCAATTCCAGCTAAATTCACTAAAGAATACTCCTTTGTCAAGAAAGGTCTCTCCCAAGACCATGACAAGCATGCTCCTTCCCAGGCCAATAAGACAGGGGAAATTTTCTTGAAACTGTGGTGCCTGGGACTAAGGTCAAGGACAGACATAGTAACTCTCACTTGCCAATAGCCAAGTTGTATAAATAATCTGTGCACTGAAGGCTCCCACTGAAAAGTGATTGCATGCAGAGGAATAACAACTGTGCAACAGTGTAGCTGTGTAAGGGGAAAAAATGGCTGGACTTCTTTGACTTTTGAGTGTTGGACTTTGAAATTGAAGAAACAAAGAAATAAGAATCTCTTGTAAATCGCTATCTTTTTTAGCCGAAATGCTGTTACACTTTTTGCCTTCAGCCGTAGTTACCTCTCAGAAAAATGAAATCAATAATATGAAATACCTTAAGAGGAAGGACTTCTTTATTAATACCATAGAAGTAAGCCATTGCTTGTGTCCATGAGCATAGGCCTGCTACGTTTCCACACACTTTTTTAGCCATCTCCAGATTATAATCCTCCATGTCCAAATAAGGCTCTAAAAGCTCCACAATTTCTCCTGTAATTGAGTCCTACACAGCAGAAGGGAAAAAATTATTTATGGGAATGAATGTTAAAATAAAATCTGCTTCACCAAAACACCTTTATTCTTAAGAACATGACTCTACCACTTCTTACAAAAGAAATGAACTAAATATTGCTCATGAACACAGACAGTGCTTTCTACTCTTGGAAAGGACAGATTAGTTGGGGTTTTTTTGTGAACTCAAGTAAAAATAGCTCCTAATTCCACCAAAAAAAAGTTGACTAGAGTTTAGATTCATACATATATTTAGAGATATTACTCACATTTGTAGCTCCTGACAGCCTAAGCTGGTCTAACTCCTATTACAGCTCTCTGCACCTTCTTCCCCTTTCAGCCTCAAGATCTGTTCTTGCCCCATCTTTGATGACATCATCAGTGCTCTCAGTGAGCTAGTATGGAAGCCAATATGATAGAAATCCAAGCCAGCACACAACAGTGTTCTGTTTTCTACTAGCAAGTTCCCTGAAGCGGCTCACCATGACATGATACAAATCATAGTGTAAACAGAGGGAGTTCAGTGTGAAGCCTGGGAAAGGGAAAAGGTGAAACTTTTCATTTCTATAGAGAAACCAACACAGACTTGATTGAAACCATCCCTTTTCCTTAACTGTAAATGTGATTTCTTTCAGCTTTTCATTTCATTATTCTAATCTTACATTTTTTTCTCCCTTCTGTAGAGAGTATGAAAAGCCAGATCTTTGATGATGGTGGTTAATCTATAATTACACAAGTGTCAGAAGAAAATGGAATTCATCTCCTTAAGCAATGTAGAGAGTAGAATAGATTATACAGGGTAATAATAGTTGCTTAACAACAGAAGCATTAAGAATCTTCCTTTTATTGGCAATGTATTAACATGTTCTTGAAATGAATATAAAAATGATCCCCCACTAATAGCATCAAGCAACATACCCTTTTTTTGGAGGTATATATCAGAAAGGACAGTCCTTAGCTACTATAATAATAACAAAGACATTAATTACATTATTCCTAAAATCATATATTATGATGTTCTAATTATGAGCATTTGCTAATATGAAGAGTAATGCTGGATAAACATTTTCATTTTTTTATTCTTCTACTCGAAATTATAAGTTAGCAAACCAGCAAGGGTGCAGCAAAGGCCAAACAGCAGTGGCCTAAGATCCTACTCAAATGTCATTCTTTTCCTTTTCAGGAACAAATTTTAAACCTAAGGAGTTTTTTTCTTCCACCGATCTTCCTCGCATAACAAAAATAAGAAAATATAAGAAATCTCACCAAAACAAAAAACAAACAACAAACAAACAAACAAACAAACAAACAAACAAAAAACAGTATAGTATACTCAGAACTCCAGACATGACAGCCTTACTTCTCACATATGGTCAATACTGGAAACAAGAAATAAGGCAAAGGGATGACACAGAAAGTACTTCATCAGGGATAGATAGAATCTGGAATTCCTTGTCACACTCATCAGTATGAGTTCCAGCAGGAATTTAGCCTCACAGAGGCTGTTCAAATTGCTCTGAATAAAGTTAAATGCGTTCCAAACTACCAGCAAGAACATGTAGTACTGATAAGTGCTAAAACTGGAAACCTCATATGCTTGAGTAAGGAGTGTATAATTGATCCCCATTATCTTTGAACTTACTTCCTCTATCTGTTCAGAGAAGGCAGCACTTGGAAAAGTGGCCAGATTGACAGCCCCAGAAGGAAACTGTCTGCAGAGATTGCACAAGTATTCCACATGCTGCCATGTCAGTATGGCTCACAGAGAGAAACAGCTCCTGGGGATAGCAAAAGTAGCAGTTTCAAGCTACATCTGCAGAACAGAAGAACTTCAGTAGCTTAAAAAGACATCAGCAAAATGCACAGCTGAAGCTGATTAAAGAATCCATGCACAAATGAACAGAGTTTTCTGCAACATTGCAGAAAACACAGGTTTTGCCAAAACCTGCTTGGTTTTCTGGGTTTTAGAGTTGGGCCCCAATTTTGTCATTCCATAATCCATCCCAGGTCTTCTTCTGGTCTAGCTACATAGAATCATAGAATCATAGAATTACTCAGGTTGGAAGGGTCCTCAAGGATCATCAAGTCCAACAGCAGCCTAACCATAGTACCCTAAGTCTAACAACCCTCTGCTAAATCATATCTCCAAGCCATGTCATGGTACATGTCTAGGTACATCTTCTCTTCCCTGGCAAGAAATTCCCCTTGCATCACAGTCTAGAGAATCTTGGTGTAAATGGGGCAAGCTTTTGCCCCTAAAAGAAGTAAAATCTGTTTGGTTTTTTTTTTTTTTCATTTGGTTGATCATTCTGCACTTTACTATTTTTCTAATAAAATAGTCCCAAAAGTTTGCAATAGCTCTGTATTTTTGCAGGATTTTCATCCTCTTTTGTATTTCCTCCCCATCAAACAATTTGGGAGATGGTGTTCTGGAGCACTTTATATGCAAACAGGTCTGGTAGATGGAAACCATCTCACTGGGGATGGGAAAACAACCAAAAAATCAACAGTGAACCCTTTTTAGCAAATTCCTACTGAGAAGAAAGAGCTGCTTGAATAAATATACGATCAAGCTTCTCAAGATTTGATTCAGTGCTTGGAATAATTGTGTCTGCCATCATAACTGTGTGGTCCAGGAGAAAGTTTACTGAAATAGGGAACCATGAAAATGGAGAGGAAAACAGTTATCAGCAACAATAGATGAAAAAAACCTAATGTTTTTCAGACTACCTATGTCCTTCTGTTCCTGTCGATGATATAACACACAAATATGAGGATGATTTTACCTGATCTCTGAGATAGCTATGGGAGTAATAATGCCATTAACAACTTCTTACCTTCTGAAAACTAAGCAACATGCCAAGAAATCCAGAGTTATTCATTAATTTCAGAGCCTCAGTCCATGATGGCTTCACACATGGGCGTTCTTGATCAATTGTTACTGAGTCTATTTTTCTTTGGAATAGAAGTAGCACACAATCCATAATTCGCATTATCAAGTGAGGAGGTTTACCCAGTTTGCGAACAGTTGCGATGTCAGAGGGCTTTATTGTCTGTAAAGAGAAGAAAATAATCAATTAATTTAAGCCATTACTTGATGGGAGAGAAAGATGTTTTGCGGAGGACTGCATGTTTAATGGCACTGTTTCAGTTTTGCAGGTGACCCAGAAGTAACACTACAGAAAGGCCAGACTGCTTGTACCACTAAGTGACTCACTTTATTACCTGACAGTAGAGGAGATACTTCTTATCTTACCACTCCGCTACCTCGTTTTTCAGTTTTTTCCTACCAGGTCAGTGCTAGCTCTTTCGTATTATTTTATTTTTTCAACCACAATATTCCACAAACAGCAATTGCAAAATACATGTATGTTCAGAGTATCTTTGATTCTGACCTGCAGGGCTGCCTCTGCTTCTTCCAAAGCAGGTCTTGCAGCTTCAAGCTTCTCTTCTGCTGCTGCTTTATCAATGGCAATGTCATCCACAATGACCTGAGCTTTGTCTTTTACCTTTTGCACCTGCATTTTCACCTTTTCAGCAGCTTGGGCTTTCATTGTTACTTCCAATAAAACTTCATCAGCTTTTTTTGAAGCTAAAGCCAGATCTTTCTCCTTCATCACCAGCTCTTTGGAAAGCTGATTTACTGAAACCTCAGCTTCCATCAGTTTTGCGAGACCTGTGTAGAATAAATTCCACGCAGTAATATGAGTACATGTGAGAAAAACCTCAGTGAAGTGATCTGGATACTGAAAATAAGTCACTCGTATTCACATTTAGAAATGCCAGTGAGTGATCCCCACCTAGATAAAGCAGGGTTAATATTCATTTAATATTTCATGTATTTTTTATTATTATTTTATGGATAAAAGTCCTCAGAATCTGTCATTGGTCACTTATTTATATTTTTATATGTGATGCTAAAAAATGCAAATGGTGCAAAATTCACAAGACTATATGAAGTACTAAACTGTTCCTAAGATCCACAGAACAGAGAAGAGGAACCTGACATCCTAAATAATGCAAGGGAAAGTGAGATTAGGCTGAGCTTCTACATTAAACATATAAAGATCCAGATGAGCAGGGAGGCTAGATTCTTGAGTAATATTTCAAAAATTTTATCAAAGGATGAAAAAATTACATGTCTCTATAAGTATAAAAATCCTTATTAGTAACTGCACGCATACAAATCACGTAAATCACTCTAACCTTCAAAAAAAAAAAAAAAAAAAGCACAAATGTTCCTTCCAGCCAGCCAGTCACCAACTATCCAAGCAGATATGTGTAAATAGCACTATTCTGAAGTTGGTGGCAGTAGGAGAAGAAATGATTTAAGTTCATGTCCAGCTCTAAACACCATTCAACTTCAGAAACCATTTGTTAACTGTGCATGCAGTGCACTATTTTAGCACTATTTTAGTTTTACACATGCTATATAATGTTTATTTAAAATAATCTTCATAGTGACTGAATCTGATTATTACATACTTTCCTTCGGATTTAATTTTAGTACGTTTAAATGTGAAAACTAGGAAGTCAGTAGCTCTGTGGCATACAGGCATATAGAAGCAGGAGTTTTAGGCATTTTAGCTGCTAACTGGTGCTATTTTAAACACTCATCTGCAATATGCAATATTCACAAAGTTCCTCAAAACAAAAGCTCCATATGTTTTTTAATCATACACAACAAAGCTGAAAATAGGACAGCCTGCTTCCAAATGAAAGTGAGCTCACAGTTCAAGTCCATAAGCTAACTCTCTAGACATGTAAGAATTAACTCTTTAACATTCTTTTATTCTGATTCTTCTCAACTTAAAAAATAAATATATATAAAAAAATACACAGCCAGAATTTACAGTACCTGTTCTCATACGTTCAGACAAACTTCCAACACTGGCAAACTTCTCTTTGTAAATAGCTTTGTAGCCTCCAATGAAGGACAGGTAAGATTTTGGAGTCACAAACGTTCGGCGTCTGTATCGTTCAAAGTATTCAACACATTTTTCAGCTACAATATCTTGAAATGTTCCCATGGTGTTAATAACACTTTGTTTCACTTCATCTGTGCACTCTATAGGGTAAGAAACTAAAAAATGTTGTGCAACTGCTACAAGAGCATCTCTAGGCCAGCGCTGGAACCAGTCCATGGTGCAGCCTGAAATCAGAGCTGGAAATTTGAGTGCACGAGTTCTGAACTTTTCCCCAACAGGAGAAAAACAAAGTACCACGTGCAAGTTATTGCGAACTCGAGTAAGAAAGTAATTATAAAGATTTTCACCAGTGGGAGTACGCTTTGGATATTCTTTCCTCATTGCTGGTATCAGATCTTGTGTGATTTCACCTATTTCATCTCGTGCAAAAAGATTTGAGACTTCACCTGAAGCCAAAACATTGTTCAGGTACTCGAGAAAAGATTCATCTCTGATTTCGTTGTCTGTGAATATAAAGACAATGCTCTTTCCTTTTTGCCCAGCAGTGCGGTACAAGATTTTCAGATCATCCAAGAGGTTATTGGTGGCATATGTTCTGGGACAGAAAAGGATTAAAGAAAGAGAGAACAAAAATGATAGATCGTTCTGGGAAATACCTTTCATACGGGTCAGTTTATTTAGGCAGGATAAAATTCTACATATGAAATAAATACTGTATGTCCATGGTTTATGGGCTGGTTCGGCCCGGTTCTGTGACTAATTGGGGAGGAGGAAAAACATGATGTTGACTACTGATAACAAAAATTCATGAAACCATGACACTTTATCTCCCACTTTCATTTTTCAGGGATTTTTTTAATTAAATATTTTCTCAAAGTGAATGATTGGTTCCATAAATCACAGAAGAGGAGGTGAAATCAATAGAATAAGGTGCTAGAAAATAAAATGTAAGAGTCATGCTATCTTTAACATATGCATGATACAGCTGTTTTGCATCCCTGCAGATTGTAGACTTAAGCTCTTTGTTCAAATTGAAGGTTAGTATAGCTGGATAAAGTTGTCAAGTAGGTTCTGTTGCCCACTGCTGTTAAACTTAAATACAGATGTATTATCTTTTGAAGATATTAAGAGAAAGTTAAATAAAATCACTAAGAGACAAGAATAACCACAACTGAGTTTTCTATTGTGTTATTTGTGTTATTATATTGTCAATATTTGTAATATTGAACATATAATCACTTGGGCTGATTCATTCCTTACACCTCTTACAGGTGGTGCATACAAGTATGATTCTGATAAATTCCATGCAAATTAATGATTCAGATTGAGAAATATCAAGAAAAGTAAACTAAAGTTAATAAAATGCCAGATTTTGTCCATTGTGTCCTTACACTATTAAATTGCTGGAATTAGGAACTTGTGTTCTTTGAAATCAGTTAATTTCCAAGGGTCCTACGTAATGTAATACAGACAATGCACTGTTCAGTATTTGAAAACAAAACACTGTTTTGAAATTAAATATACCACACAGAAAGTCTTCTAGTTCCCTAGCAGCTCCATCTTAACAGAACTCTACAAATACCTTGAATGAAAGTACTATAGAAATTGTGCAACAATCTAACTGTTCAATTTGCTAGTGTGAACTATAATTACTACAGTGATTTGTGGTATTGTGATAAGAACATGTAAGTGAAAAATTCTCAACATGTTCCGTAGTTTTCAAAGAGAAATAGAATCATAGAATGGCCTGGGTTGAAAAGGACATCGAGTTTCAAACCCGCCTGCTATGTGCAGGGTCGCCAAACACCAGACCAGGCTGCCCAGAGCCACATCCAGCCTGGCCTTGAATGCCTCCAGGGATGGGGCATCCACAACCTCCTTGGGCAACCTGTTCCAGTGTGTCACCACCGTCTGTGTGAAAACCTTCCTCCTAATATCTAACCTAAACTTCCCCTGTCTCAGTTAAAGACCATTCCCCCTTGTCCTATCACTATCCACCCTCAGAAACAGAGAAAAACACACTGTCAGTCATGGATTCTTAACCCTGTAAATGCTATTTGAAAAGATAAACAGGTGAAGGGCAGTCATTACACTCCCATTTGCTTCAGGAAGATTTAAATGAACACCTTCCAGACAATTAAATGGTATCGCTGACAAATAATTAATTGGAAAGATCTCTTCCAATTCTCTAGTCGTGAATGACAGGGACTGTTTCAAAACAACATCTACAGAATAAAGACAGAGGAAACCTTATTTCCCACTGTGTTTCTACTCATCCTCCCCCTGACTTCTTCTCCCTCTGAAAAGAAACCTAATAAATGCAACTTAAAATACAGGGCTCTAACAAATAGATTAGATAGATAGATAAAGAGTTCCCTTCTCTTCCCCTTAGTTTCCACAAATTACTAAATTTCAGTACTACCCACTATTAAGTAATAGTAACAGTTCTAAAATACGATCTGGGTCCGTAGGCATCTGTAACAAAAGTCACTATTTCCCCCAGCCATATCTTCAGTGTAAAATGATTTAGTGGGAATTTACAAGCATGCATTGCAAACTCAAATGCTGAAGGAAAGGAAGACTTAATGCTGTAAAGGCCCCAAAACAAAGACCCGGGGTCAGTCATCTACAGATTATGTATTTACACAGGTGCTTTTGGTTAAAAATGTAGTTTACATTGAGGGATAAAATGTTTGACAGGTTTGCGTTGCTTTAACGCATGCTTGCAGTTCATTTCTATAGGAAATATCTATGTACACTGTTTTGTATTACCTTGTTAAAGTAATCTGAAAGCTCTCATATCCAGCAATATATGATGCTAGCCTGGTCAGACTCTGTTTTCCAGATCCACCCACACCAACCAACAATGCATTTCCTTGTGGAGTACGAATAATCCGTGATATTTTAATCAAATGAGTGATTGCATCCTATGTATTGACAAAAAAAGGGGGGGGCAGGGGAGAGGGGGGTGTTAAGGTATAAAAAATATTACAGTGTATATTTATCTAAAAGCATATAACTGAGCAACTGCCTCACAACAGATAGAGGCCTTTGAAGCCAACTGCTGAAAACTCAGTCCTGTACTCAACAGAATCAACAAGAGATTTTCATTTTCTTCAGTGACCAGCAGACCTAGTCCAGGAGAAATGTCCCTGTTTCAAGCTCATATGACATGCTGTCAAATATGCATATTTGTACATCACAGATTCAAACATATGCCTCCTTAAGGGTTTGGAGGAAAACTAGAAAGGAAGTGGATTAACACCCTCCTCCAACTTTTTAGGTGAGCTACTTACAGTCTCTCTAAGTAGGCTGCCAAAAGTACAAGTACACTATAGAAATTTCTTATTCAACTGAAATATTCTAAAATGGCTGAAATATTCTAAAAATCAACTAAAGAACCCAATCTAAAGATAAAAGAGCACCAAGCATCAAGAGACCTTTGAGCCAAATGACTATTATGATGGGAACTGTAGAAACAAATGAGTTGTGCATTGAATTATGCAAGACAGGAGAAATAAAAAATGGAGAACTATAAAAAGATGGGATCATTTTTGAGAATTAAAGCATTTGGGAGACACAAACATGGCTTTATATATCTACAAGGATCACTGGATACATGTCTTGCCATTTGAGCTATCTCCAAGAATAATCTGATGAAAGAGTTTAAAACATATGCATCGGCAAAGTGCAAAAGACCAGGTGGTTTCATAATAACAAAACTAGAAGCACTAATACCTTGAAAAATACTAAATCCATCTTTGATCCTCTGATGCTTTCATTGTACTGTTGCATGAACATTTGTAATCTTTCAGCCAAATAATCCAAAGATGGGATAGGTTCATAAATTTTAGGAGCCTTCAATTCCACATCATCAGGTTCATCTCCGGTGGCTTCTGGGGCATCACGCAAAAAATCTGCAAAGTATAATTCTGTAGATCCATCTTCAAATAGATTTTGATTGTGTTCTGCAGCAGCAGTCTACAACAATACATTAAGGATCATTTTAATTACGAAATATTTTATTGGTCCCTCTCTGTAGCAAAGACTTTAATACTATTTGCATACCTTTTTCATCATATCTTCAAACCAGTCTTTATCACTTTGGCTGATGAACCTGTCTGCAATAACACGTCTGCATTCATGCTGGAACAAGGCTACTAAAACACTGATGCTCTGGCAGACTTCAGAAGTAACTGTTAGCATTCCTTGCCAAATACGACTAAGGTCTCGTAAATTAAAGATGTAATGAAATTTAGCTGGAGTTGGTAAGATCTGCAAAAGAACATCATAATCTATGTTCAAATAACTACTAAATAAAAATATTCCTAGTTAGACTTAAATTAATACTGTATATTTTCACAAACTTCAACATCAATATTGCATTATAGCAGAAATGAACACTTGGCATTTAAAAAGCAAAGGTAAAAAAGAAATGACAGTAGTAATAACCAGCTCTTTAATTTCACATAAATTTCACATAAGTTTCTTTGAATCTTTCAGGTTCCAGTAATACAGACTGGAGAGTAACCAAGAAAAGTTAGTTAGCAATGGCATTAAAGGCCACAGTAAGAACACCAATATTGCTTAAACTGTGGCATTTTCCTTACTCTTTCTTCCAAATCATTTCTGTCACTCTTTTTTTGTCCTTCCAAAGACTACATGAGGATAAAAAAAAGAAAAAAAAAAAAAAAGAAAAAGCACACGAAAAAAAAGAAAAAAAAAAAAAAAAAGAGAGAGAAGTTGAGGAAAGAGGATTTGGAAAAAAAAAAAAAAAGAACAGTTTACCAAAACTTACTAGTACTAAGAAGACTCAAACTAGAACTCCCTATTTCTCTGTATAAGCCAAGTTTACATCAACAGATCAGGTATCAAACCCATATCTATACTTTCCTCTACCCTCCTCCACTTTTTTCACTAAAAAACAAAAGGGCATATCTATACTGTAATTTTAACTTTCCAAATTTCATTCCATGCATGTATCCAGCTTTTCACCTGAGAAAGAAAAAAAGACAAACATTTTCCTTGCTCTAACCTCCTTTCAAGTAGTTGTTCAGAGAGAGTGATGAGGTCTCCTCTCAGCCTCCTCTTCTCCAAACTAAACAGCCCTAATTTCCTCAGGCAGTCTTCATGACTCTTGATTTCTAGTCCCTTCACCAGCTTTATTACTCTTCTCTGGACAGACTCAAGCAATTAAATATTCTTGTTATAGTGAGGGGCCCACTTGAAGCATAGTCTCACAGTGGATATGTACAAGGGACAACCACTTCCTTATTTACTCTATGTCTGGCCAGAATGACACTGGCCTTCTAGGACACCTGGGCACGCTGCTGGCTCGTGTTCAGCTAGTTGTTGACCAGCACCCTCAAGTCCTTTTCTAGTCATGCAACCGGACTCAACTTATGGGCCTAGCCCATCCATATCCCTCTGCAAAACCTTCCTACCCCCAAGCAGATCAACACTGTCAGCTTAGTGAGGGTACGCTCAAGCCCCTCATCCAGATCACTGATAAAAATGTTAAAGACAAATGGGCTCAATATCAACTCCTGCAAAACACTAGGGTGATCAGCCACCAAATGGATGAAACTCCATTCACTATGACTCTTTGAGCCCAGCCATCCAACCAATTCTTTACTTAGAGAACAATACACCTATCCAAGCTATGATCTTGGACATGAGAACACTAAGGAAACACATGTCAAATGCTTTACTACAATCCAGGTGAACAACATCCACAGCTTCTCCCTCATCTAAGTGGGTCATTTTGATAAAGAAGGTTAGTCAGGCGGGTTAATTAGGAAGGACCTGCCTTTTGTAAACACATGCAGTCTGCTTCTGATCATTTGTTTGTCCCATAATGTGCCACGTAATGACATGCAAGACAATCTTCTCCACGACATTTCCTGGTACCAACATTAGATTGACAGGCCTCTAATTTCCTGGATTCTCCTTCACTTGTAGACTGGGCCACATCTGCCAACCTCCAGTCAACAAGGACCTCCCTGGATAGCCAGGACTGCTGGTAAATTATTGAAATTGGCTTGGTCAGATCTTTAAATTTTCTCATAATTCTAAACATCCTTTTAGAAGATTCCTGTTTGATTTTCAATTTATGGTTCCTTTTGCCCTTGACATTTTCTCATACAGAAAGCATCTAAATGCTCTCAACAACTATATTCTCTGTATTATGCTTAAATTTTGTTAGACAAATAGCGAGGTACTTACATTAAAAAATTCATCATGGGAACTTCAGACAACAGTTATACCTACAGCTATCATATGAAGTATAAACACACATGGCAGTAAAAAAAGTCTGGTTCTTATTATTTTGTCATCATCAGATGCTTCAAAGACTTCATAATGGACATAAATTTACCTTTGCTTTTGTTGTTTGCCATACTTTTCGTGTTGTAGATACTAACGCAGAAGCCAGTTTACATATTTCCGCAGAAAAACCTCGTTGCTCACAGAAATAGCCTTCAGCTACTGTTCGAAATATTTTGTCAATAGATGAACTGGAAGGTAATGTGCAGTTGTAGATGGTGAACTGGCGTTTCAGGCGTTGTGGGATGTCATTCCGACCTCCCCCAGGATGAATCATTGCAGCTACAAACTGAATATCAACCACGTTCGTAAATTCACCTGGCTTCTCCAAGTTGTAGAAACCTTTCTGTTCCATCAATTGTCTTACAATCTCATTGGTGATCTAGTTATCCCCCCCAAAAAAGAAATGGAGCAGTTAAGTATGTCAGGGTTTTCCACTTAAAAAAGAAAAAAAAAAAAAAAGAAGAAGAAGAAGAAGAAGAAGAAGAAGAAGGAAAGAAAAGAAGAGAAAATCTGTAGTATAACAAATCAGTAAACAAAAGGAAACATTTCCCGTATTTCTGAATTTCAGGTATTTTGTTGGGCATTTAGCAATTTATAGCTATACAAAATAGTAAGAAGAGCCCCAGTGCAATGAATTAGCTGCATCTAAGCTCTGTGAGCTAAGTATTAGTGAACATGAGGTCTGGCATCCAATTCAGTTTCCATAATATCAATCGAAGAAAATGCATATCTTTGAAGTTACATCCAGTCAGACTATTTTTTCAGATTGCCTGGGCACATAGATGAGTGACATAGAATGGTTAGTTCAGCACAAAAAATAGTCACACTTTCTCCTGTATAGAGGTAGCGAGAGAGCAGGATTACATAAGGTGGACGAATATGACTTTCTCAGCATGTCTTTTAAAGTCAAAGTTTTGGAGTGCAGGTCAATAAGTACTCATTTATTAGTACCTCCAAACAGCTCACTAGACTTGTGTGTCAACTGTAGCATTAGATTTCACCTAATAATAACTGCATTTTAAAGTCCAGAGTGGATGGAAGGAAAGAATTTCCATTTGCTACCTGGACTTGTCTACATTCTTTCTCAAACTTGTTCTTAGTACAGATAGTTTGTAAATTCTGCAGGCTATGTATGTAGACAAAACAAAAGATTTAGAATCTATAATGTCTGTACCAAATGGCTTGGCACTGGCACTAATCCTCTGGGGTTGCACCAAAGTTTATCACCCACAGAAAAACTGGCTTGGGGAAATTGCTTTTAGGACACATATTTATCTAGTCCATATTATACTGTTTTCCTACACTTTCTTTCCTCTGAAACCTGCAGGTCACTATTTCCATCAGTAGTAACAATAAGATCATCAGTTCTCAAATGTCAGCAGTTTCCTTTTACCTGATCACCCCATTCATTAATCACAGGCATGTTGATGTCATCAATAAAGACAGTCATTTTCTTCCCTGCTGGAGGACCATAAGTGGTACCCATTCTTTTATCTACGTAACTTTCTATGCTCCTTTGGAACATATTTGGTAGAGTTGCAGAAGAAAAGTTTAGACGCTTGGACAAGTGAACATCAGGATCATACTTGCTCATGTAATCCTGTAAGATAAGCCAATTCTAAGTAAATTAAATTGGTAAGTCCAGGTTACTTCAGTTGCCAGGAGACAGAGATGCCCAGCTGCCCTGCAAAAATCAAACATCTACAAAACCTCAGTCCTGCTAGTAACTTTAAAATGTCAAGCAGCAGTTTATTTAAAATAAATATACTGTCTCCCACCTAAAATTCATACTCTCCAATCATGTTTTCTATAAAGTCTCTAAGTATAAAAGTTTTAATACTTAGACACTTACTAAGTGTCTCAACAAATAGACATATGACAACTCAGGATGCAAATAAATTTTGCATTAGTAAGTGCTGAAGGGTTTCTAAACTCAAGTTATTAATGATCATGTGTTATAGCAGTCTTCAAGAAACGAGTGAAAAAAAAACATTTTTACATTTACATCATAACACCATACCTAACGACTAAAGCAGAGTAAAAGAAGAGTAGTATAAGATTAAACACAGATAGATCAAATTTACTGATATTTATCTTCTCTTAATGAAGTAATCCTTGGGTTTTATGAATGCATACAACTCCCACAGCAGCTGCTAATGCCCTGAAACAACAAGAGATTCATTCTTCTTATTTAGAGTGGCTTTATAATGAAATTTAAAAAACAAAAAACAAAAAATAACCCTGGAGTCATACCAAGACATACATATAAAACAAGGGGAATGTTTTATTTAGTAAGAATCCTGGGACATAAATTAGTACTAAAAATTCCAGATTTCCAACATTATTTCTGTTAAAGATTTAGTTCTCCCACAACGATGACAAAGTTGAATATCCTTCACATTCTTATCTTTATAAAAGTGATGATGAGAGATGTTTGATATGTCATAAAAGTAAACCTCTATCATTGCTGATTAAGCAGCCAAGGCCAACTCACCACAACCATGAATGTATAACCATTCACAACCACTCTAAATATACACCTCTGCAAAGAAATATCTTTGAAAAATAAGTTTATTCAATTAGGTTATTTTAGTTAGTTAACTATCAGATTCTGTATGCAATTTTCAATGTTGTCACACAAGTTTCAAGTCAAATTCAGTTCTTTTGCAGTTCACCAATTAAGAATACAGAGTGCAAAGTAAAGATCTTAAAAAAGCGTTCCATTGTAAGTTCTTTATTTAATATACTGATGCCTTACTCTATCCTTCAGATTAGTACCTAAGAGTTCTATATTAAAGATTTTTACTTCTTTATGAAAGTAGATGCTTATGTCTGGAATTTTCTTCTTCACAAGCTACTGAAAAGTAAAATTCTACAGAAGGAGAAAGCAGAAGGGGAACATTTGTAAGGGTAGTTAATTTTCAGTCTTACTTTAAATAAGATCAAATATCTACTGGGACTTCCTGACACTAAACTCCCATGTGTAAGGAACATACTCTGCTCCATAGAATAGACTTTAGGTAAGCAACACCCAAGAATCAGTTCCAATTATTTTTAGGGACAGGAATGGCAGCTGAAGGATCAAGGTTGCCAGTATCTGGCCAAAATCCAGCATGCAGAATATTGAGACCACCATCCAGACCCCGCCTGTGCACTCTGCTAAAATAGTTCTCCAGCTGGTGCCAAGAACAGAAGTTGACATTACACTGGCATGCATGTTGGCATCAACAGCTGAGCTGAAAAAGTAGTATTAATGGCAACTGGCATTGGTACAATTCACTTTATGTCAGGGCTCAGAAAGCACATCCCTGGAGGACATAAAATGGTTCCAGATTTTACGAAAGCCAAAGGTCAGTTTAGGCCAGTGTTTTTCAAATATTTTTAATTTCCAAGCCTCTACAAATCCTCCAGTAGAGGCACAGATGCTTGTATAGTAAATTCAGTTGTCCTAACAGTAGGTTAGGCTTATGCAGCTATCCTTCGCTGATGAAAGAACATGCATATTTCCCTGAAAATTGTAGAAACCATGCTAAAAACAATAACATTTTGATTTTTAAAAAGGGATTTCAAATTTGATGTGAAATTTGTGTTTGCTCATTCTATTTTTTTATTGTCTTCTGTAGTAAGTTACTAATTTTTACATGTCATTAGCACATACATTAATTTAATAGCAATTGTGTTCTCATTTTCTTGCGCAGAAAGAGCAGTTTGTCTTTTCCATTGAGGAAAATAAAAGAGCAGATTTTGAGCACTAAATTTCCCCTCTGAAATATTATCCCAAGTAAAGAAGGATGTTCCTTATTTCTTTTCAGTGTGGCTTGTGAAGAAAGTCCACGCAACAAGGGTGTAAAAAAAAAAAAAATATCAATTCACATATTTCACCTCTGAGAAAGCAAATGGAAATAATAATAATTAAATCCTTCAAGAATTAATATTTCCTTAGCAAAATCAGCAGTTTGGCTTCTCCAAAGAAAGGAAAGATAAAAGAGCATTTACGAGTCACACAATCTGGTGATCATGGTTAGCAAATTTTAAATAAACCCTTTGTTCTAAAGTACAGATACTTTTGGTTTTTTGATTGTAGACTATGTGAGTATTGGAAAAATGCCTCAGTGGGAGGCATTGATCTTTCACTTCAATTTAACACTTCTGCCAATGTCAATTATTTTTATTGCAATGTTATCATACGAAGATATAACTCGTTTTTCCATTCCACCTACCTTAATCATAACTGTTTTTCCTGTTCCCTGTTCCCCAATTAGTAGAACAGCTTTTCCTTGCTTCATGATAGTGTACATTAGAAAGTCTGTTCGAACACTGTCTACATTTGGAACTAGAATGGAAGTATATTCTGGTACTGAATCTATAGGGTAAATATATTCAGGGACCTGCATGAGAAAGTTATAAAAAATGTTTAAGATTTTGTACATTGCCACACAGGCACTCTACATTAGAAAACAAAAACAAATGCACTGCATTTGCAAAATCTTTCTTCCTGAAAGCTAAGCACTGATTTATAACCAAGTAGTACCATGCCAAGCTTTTGTAAAAGGATGTGATGTTAGTATACTAACGGGATATCTGCATTTCACTATTCTCTACTACATGAATATAGTTTTTTCTTGCTGGGTGATAATCACGTTACTAGGGTGACAGATAGGAGACAAATCTAGGATAACTTTTCTGTTTCTTTTCTAAAGCTATTTTAAATGCATGTTTCCATTCTCCACTAAAAATATTTATGGAGAAAAGAAAAAAGTCTTTCAAAAAGGAAAGAAACTCTTGAGCAGTTCATAGGGTTAATCTCCTTAACTGAATTATGAAGGGCTTTAAATGATAAAATAATCTGGCTCCTATCAAATACATTTTTCTTTTATACTCATTAAGAAAGCTTATCATGTCACTCCATACGAACCTTCTTTGACCAGTGTTCCCACTGGCCACTGGTACTAATGCCAAATTCAAACATGGTTTCTACTCCATTCACAGGTGGAAGTTCTTTCACTGCAGAATGCTTTCGTAGGAACAGCTCCATTTTCAACCTGTCATCTGGTTCCAAAAGAGCTCCAATTGACCACATTACAGCAAAAATGAACAGGCGAGCAATATGTTCCTCACTGAGCTGCTTTTCATCTCGATCTGACAATAAACCCTGCAAAGCAGATGCAATATGTGACAACCACCATCCTAAGACAACATCCCAGCACAAATAACGACAGATAGAAAAACTGATGTCTTATCTACCTGTAGAAGGTCAATAGCTTGTTTGATGTACATACATTCTAAGACTGCCATTTTTGGTGTCACAGCAGAGAAAACAAAATTGATCATATCCTGGAAAGAAAAAATATCATTTTAGGAATCTGCTTCCCTGTTTCAAGTGTATGCTTCGTTCTCAGACATGGCCAAATTCTTAATTTCAACAATATTCTCAGCTATGTTCCTAACAAATGTTTTCCCCATTTCTGGAATTATGAATATGTGAACAAGAAAATTGACTAGCGAAAATATAATTTAAATTTGATTTACCACAGCATTCACATAAGCTGCACAGCAATTTTCTAAAGAGCAATTTGAAGATTGCTTTTCAGTTACATCAAAAATCTGCCATTTGTGCTCTCCACTGGAAATTTTAACCTACCATTGCCATTTGTGTAGTGGGAAGATAGAAGCACTCAAACTGCTGCAATGATATGCATGTAACATATGACCTCACCACTATAAATTTATATCTGATCTGTTCTCATTGCACCACAATGTACCTAACCCTCTCTAAACTAATACATTCTTTTCTGTAGAAGTATGACAATATCCAAAGGGAATTTTGCAAATAATTTAAATTTAATCCAGACTTTTCCAGATTATTCCATGGTGATGGCTACTGTGCCTGCCTCAAGTTTTCTGTAAGATCTTCAGCACAGTCGCAAATTGATGTAAAGTCCACTCTGAGAAGAACAGAATTGTTCTAAAACATCAGCTGCCACCTACATGCAAGCAGTCTGGGAGATTCTGTTCTAAAGTCCTTAAAAACTTGGACCTAAGTCTCTCTGAGATTCAGCTTCTTCATCTGTTTAATAGGATAACTGTCACACTGAGAACCTCAAATTGCTTAATAATTGGTTTGAGACACTCAGAATAAAGATATTTCATAAGTCAAAGTTCTCTGTACTTAAAGAAGCTCTGTTTTCACCAGATGTTTTATGTTACTTAAAATGCCAGTGAGGTTTGTGTTGTCCTTGTTCTTTGAGTTTACAGGAAAAAAAAGAAAAGCATTAGGTCTATATACACCAGTATTTTACTATTACTATTTTAAAAACTATATGACAGCAGGATGCAAGTTCTAGACAGCAATTAGCATGAGTTAGCTATGTATTAGGATATTTTGTTTGGATGGAGGACTGGAAAAATTAGTTGGGCCATGTTCAATAAACAAAAATTGCAAACAGTTTGGATCAGGAACGTGCTATCTTTCAAAAGACGAAAAAATGAAATCACATGGTAAAAGCTCGTATGAGAAAATATCCCACTGCCATTTCCAATTACAGTGGAACTCACTGGACTCTGGAATACTCTTTAGGACAAGAAGTTGGTAACATGCTCACGGGGTTTTGACAAACACAACAAAATTATGCCAGGTTATTAATATTTCTAATAGTAATTTAAGCATCAGCATTTAAATATTAAAGATAGGAAAGTGTGGGTTATGCATTCAGCTCTGTCCTCCAGAGGTAATGGCAGCTTTTACCTAGATGTGATTAGGGTGAGATCTAACGTGGATGGAGAGAGATGCCATATCTGTCTACTTTGCTATTTTGAGAACTTTAGGAGTTCCCTAGAACAGGGCAATTAGGCATCCAGGCTAACAGATTTTAAAAATAAAATTAAAAAAAAAAAAAAAAGTGAGTGTGATCAATTTTTTTTTTTTTAATGTAAATTTAATCATGTTAGTTATTTCAATTCTTTAAAACTGTCTTGGATAATTATTTCAATCAGATAAGATCTGTTGATTACAGATAGCAGCACCATTCGCAGATTTAAAAAAACAATGACACTATAACTTTAAGAGAGCAGAGACATTGGAAGGCAATGGAAGTTAGCTTGAAATCACTCTATGATTCTATGAGTGAAATTACTCTCAAGCAGGGAATGTTACTGAGAAGAAAGAACAGAGACCAGGACAATGAATGTCCAACCCCACAATCACCCTGTATAAAACATGCCATGGAAGTAGTAAGGACTCAAAAATAATCTTAACTCACAACAAGGTTGGAGCCCTGCTTCTTTTTTTGTTTTGTTTTGTTTTGTTTTGTTTTGTTTTGTTTTGTTTTGTTCTCCGCTTTATCCCTGTCTTTTACATAAAAGCTAATATCTTGCAGGAATATTTTGCTATACATGAAAAGAATTAAACTCTTTACATTTATTCATAACTATTATTCTCTGGGACTTCCTCCTACATAACTGCTATTTGCTGTACCTTTATTAGTGGTTATTTTGTCCAGTATATAGGCTTTCAGCAACAAATTCTATTTTCATTACCAAATATGATCACTGGGGATTTTTTTAAACAAACTGGAGTTACTGAAGCAAGTATCTTACTCAATTTTAGTTAATTTTTCCAATTTAGATTGTCTTCACAAGACCTCTAGTCTGACTCTCCTTAGTTACTGTATTTCCATCTACAGTCTAATCTACATTTTCTTCAAAATAAGAAAAAAAAAAAAAAAAAAGATATCTGGAAGCTGCTTATATATGAGCTTTTCTTAATACTAGCATTAAATTGACTTGGCTCTGTATTTGGGCTTTGATACCATTGTTAAAGCACCTTATTTCACAATTTTTCTTTTAGTATTTAGTTATCCATTTTTTTATACTTGGAGGGAAATATTAACTGTAAAAAGAGATATCTGAATACAAAAGTAGTGTCACCCTCATCTGTAAAATCACTGTCATCGCTTCTATTATGTGAGCAGCAAAGATAGCTCATTAGGAGTGAAAAAAAGCTGACAGCATGACAGCTCTCATTTACATTTCGATAGTTCCAAATGCAGCCTTCAGCACAGAACTAACTTCATATTTCACTGTACTTTCATCTCTCAATCTAATAAAATACGCATTTTTCAGGACTTTATTGCTATTGCTTCAGGCTTGGGTATTTTAAATGTTGTTGTTATATTTTCAGAGCAAAAAATATAAACAGAATTGTAGCAAAGAAGCAGTAAATTGACCCACATATACATCACTTCGGAAGCATATCTTAAAATTCATTATCAGAATTGATTCTCTTGCTGCTGCAGTAAATACTATGTCATATCATTATGTTTTTGAGGTAGAACAAAATGAATAGCTTGTTAAACATCAGTTATGAAGTGAATGGGCACTAAAATGAAACATATCTGTGAGAAGACATTTGTTAGCATTCTAGGCATTCCAAAACATAACACAAAAATAATCTTTCTGAAAATGTCACTCAAAGTTCATTATAAACAGCATTTTTTAAATCCAACAAAGAAAAAAAATACTACAGGAGAAGCCTTGGTGAAGTCTGACTCAACTCACACAGGAAAATTGAAGAAGAGAGCAAATGGGAAGGGAAGGGATATCAAGCTGCATTTGTTTCACAGATTTTAAGTGAGGAAATCAAAAGATTACAAAGCTGAAAGATTAAAAAGTAATTATTTCTGTAAACCTTTTCGAAGAAAAATTAGTAATTTTTTCAAAATGAAAAAAATTATACTGCTAAGATTATTCATTAGGACCATTGTCCATCATACTAATGAAAACTTTTAAAATATTCAGTATGCTAGGGTAAAACAGAGAGAAAGAATGTTCTGAATCATCCCTGTGTATCTATTGATTGAACCAAACTTAGTAAGAGAATGTTTCAAAGAGATGCCATCTCAAAAATCTCTCAAAAAACCATATATCATTTAAAAACACATAAAAAATAAATAAGGGACCAAATGCATTCTTGTTACAACTGAAATTGAGAAAGATTACAATAGCTTGAATGAAGCTTAATTTCTTTCAGATCTTAATTTTCACATTTAAAAAAAAAAACAAACATAAATTTATCCACTCCCTTGGTGTATCTTAACAAGAGCTAAAATTGCAGTAACTATTACAAAAAGAATATTTCTGTTTTGACATCACCATAAAATAATCATGAATTTAACAATTCACTGCCAAATATCCTACGCAGACAAAACAAAACATCCAGATTATTCATCAGATATAGTCTTACTTTTTCACTAATTTTAGAGATCTTTTTTTTTTTTTTTAAATCCTACATTCTTATTTTATTACATAAAAAAACCACAAGTAAATAATTGAAAAAACATTTAGGATTAAACAATGCATCATTAATAAAGAATAAGGAATGTCTTTCTTTTTTTTTTCTAAAATGATTAAGTACCTGAAATACAGCACTAAAGCAATTCCAAAGAACATCAGAGTATGTAGCAGGCAGTGTTTGCAGCCAAGCCATTAAAATAGGCTTCCAATCTAACACTGAAGAACTCATGAAGACCATGCCATTACGAGAAACTGTTGCCGGGGAAGCATTGTCAATGTTGTGAGGTTCAAAAATAATTTTGCAACTGGGGGACATTGGAATACGATCTCCATTGGCCAAAGTCAGGGTCTTATTATCATCCAGAACAGAGTTCAGGTTTTCAATCCATATCGCATCAACAGGCCCATCCAAAACTATCCAAATATGCTCACCCTAAAGAAAGAGACAAACATGCAACTTCATGTAAACTGACCAAAAATATCAAAAATAGACATTTAGTCTCAGAGGATGTACTCTTGGATATAAAATCATAATTTTCTGCTGACTGGCTCAGTATGTACTGCAGTTTTTCATGAACTGCTCAGTGGTTGAACCTTTCTTTTTTTAAACTGTGTCACATTTAAAAAAAAAAAAAATCAAAGAATCATGAAAAGCAAGATTTTGGACTGCTCTAAACATAAAGCTCTCCCTCTCTCCTACAAAAAAGCATTAGCAAATCCATCATTCATCAAGGTGGATTAAAACATTTCCAGTTAAATTAAGTCACAGACAAGGCACATGCTCCTCATGGGATGCTACTTAGTTTTCTTATATAAGGCTTCCTATTCTATAAATGAGAACTGAATAAAACTGAAACTTCTTAAGATTTGAGTGTTATATTACACAGTGAAACTTCATGTGCAGGTGCGATAAAAGAATTTGGAAATAGAGCAGTAATGACATAAAATCAGACAGGAGAATATTACCTTTCTTGTCATGTCAAAACTTGCTTTTGAATTTGAACAGTAGGACTACCTGATTACAGAAGGAAGCAAAACTCTTAAAATATATTCCAATTTAATTCTGGAACCTCTGGAGCTTGAGAAGCACATTTCTCTCTGGCATACACACATAATTCTGACTTTGGGGTACATTCAGCTATTCAGATACAAAGCAAAACTAATACTGCATTTTCCCATTTGAATTTGTAACAGAAGATTTTTTACATAAATGACAGATAATGAGATCTTATGGAAACAACAATAAATGCCCTTATTAACTATCACAATAGAATACCCATTACCTTCTTTGCTTTTAAAGTTTTTCTCCATAATGTAGAGAAAATGCCATCTGTCCAATCATTTGTGGCAACATCAAGGGTACCAAACATCTGGGAAGCTGTGATTGCCTTTGGGTTCATTCTCATCTCTTTATGAGGAGCACCACAATCTGTCATTGCTTTCATCAAAATATTAATGCATTTGGTCTTTCCTGCACCAGTTGGACCTAGAGTCATCATACCTTAAAAACAATACAAATGGTTTAAAATGAAATATCATGCTACCATTTCATGATCCTTTCCACTAGCAATCCTTGTTTTATCCAAAAGCCTATACAAAAAAGATGTTTCTCTATAAATGCCTGGCCTATTATGACAGGCAAGTCTATGTGGGTCTGCATCCTCCCTCAGGCAGTTCTGTTCCTTTTTGTAATTGGGAAACACAACTGCCTTTTGATGTTCACATACAGTGACATTGACATGACTGGTGGTAAACAAAACCAGTAATTTCTAAATGCATTTAAGGAGTAGTTCCCAATATATACTAAACCGAGCAAATCTTTCAGAGCCACACAAAATTAAAATATGCACCTGTATCTATCTACAATGACTCTTGACTATAATGATACATTTTTTCTTACAAAAGTAATGACAGTAACCACATTTTTAATTTCATCAGTATATATACATATTGTCTTAGGAAGAATCTCTTCAACAATAAATTAAGCCTACAGCTGATCTTCTTTAGTTTATTTTCTACATGAAGTATTTAAGAGTTCCAGAGTCTGTTCAAAAGCAAATGAACATTCAGCATGAATTTCCAAAGCCTTCTATGGAAGGTTGGTAAGTTCTTTTAATCTTAATGGCAACTGGACAACACAGACCTTAGCTGGCTTTATAAAAATCTTCAATAGAATGGAGGAACATCAAACCCAAGTTACAGTCCTAATCTGTACAATACAGAATGTGCACATTTCCCAACGTGAGCAAGACTGTGCAGTAAAAAAGTCCTGGCATCCAACTGTTAGGTCAATTGGAGCTGCATGACCAATGGAATAGCAGGCATATGTGGAAAGAGACATTTAGACAGAATGCCACAGTGGAGAAAGCACAGAGATCCCATGGAGCTTCTTGCTGTGGAGCTGTTCTTCAAACAGCTTCTTCCAGCAAGAGGTTTATCTAATCAAAATTTAAATCATGAAAACTTTTACAATTCCTGTATCAGAGTCATAATTTGATATGGAACACTGAATCCAGCAGTTTGGATGCAAATTATATACTCAATCAAGTATTAACTACTAGTTCCTTCATCTAATCCATACTCTGAAATAATCTTTTGAGGCATTAGCTGTCAGACTATACCTGAGCAAGTATTTCCTTCTATTTGTTCCATTTTCTTGAGTTTACTATCACACTAAAAGAATAAAAAGGATGGCTTCTTCAATATAGATTTGCTACTTTGCAACTTCATATTTTCTCCCTCACAGACTAAAATGCCTAGATTTTTAAGAGTCTTGGCAAGCACTTCAAAGGGAGAATATTTTTTTTCAACTATGAATGGCAAACTTCTTTGTACTAGCATCTTTGGTATTCTTCTTAGGACTGGGTAAGTTTTATTCAACAGCCTCTTGTAGACTATAACCATGACAAGTGTAGAAAGCCTGACAATGGAAGGGACCTGTGGAGGCCATCTTGTCCAAACTCTCTGCTCAAGCAGGTGGAAGGCTTATTTCTCCTCAGACTCACTGGCCAGATTTGAAAAAACAAGAGCACTTGGAATTATAGTGCATGCATAGTAGAATCTATAAAATTAAAGACTTGAGTGATTATTTTTGCAGTCTTCTCAGTATCACTACTTCACAGTAACATTAAACATAAGGTTCAGGACTGATCACTGAGGGCAACTGTGGTTTTCAGAACACCGAACAAATTCAGACGTCTCTGAATTGGAACAAATACTCTACATTCTAACTTGTACTACAGAAATTTCAATCATTTTGAAGGCTATCTTCTTATTTCCCATAAAAATGTAATGCTACGAAGCTAAAAATTCACTATGTGTGCATTGCACAGTGATAAAGAGTCCTAATACTTTCCTATCCACATAAGCTTTAAAAATGACATCTGTCCAATTTCAAAATACATTTTTTGTGAAAATAATCTACACTCTGCACAGATAATATAAAAAACTGTATTGCTTTTATGTAGCCTCAAAACCTCTTCTCTCATGCTAACCATGTCGGACTCGTTGAGTTTCATACAGCTGAATGAGTTTAAGAATCCATGGTGGATGATGGATAAGCCCTGCTTTTTCTGCCTGTTTCTGAATGGCTGACTGTAGTTCAGGATACACAGCTTTATCCAGAGTAATTCCAGGGAATAGGTCATTAATGAGACTCATAAATAAAGGTTCGTCTTCATCCACCTGTAAAGGATAAAGTAGGGAGGAAATACATTGTTTATTAACTGAAATTGTTATTACAGCTGTAAACACTACTAAAGAACATGCCATTTAAAAGATAGTAGTAGAAAAGTGTATATTTTCCAACATAAATATTATACATCTGATTTATTAAGTGAATTTCATACAATGCAATCACAAGTAGCAATTTCTAAATTAAATACTTAAGGCTCATAAAAATGTTAACTTTATAATACAATTTGTATCAATATAATCACACACATTTCTCAATTTGTTATGCAAGTCAGTAAGATTTATTAAAACTGTATTTTCCCATTTCTTATGATCTTTTTCATTCTGTAAATCACTGAAGCATGCCTATAGGTTTGACTGCATGTACCAAAGAGCTAAACAGATTAACATCAGAAACAGCGTAATTGGTTCCCGTCACAGGACTGGCTGCCAATGTAAATACATGGACTCTAGATATGCTATAACCTTTCAATTACAGCAATATAAATAAAGGATTAATACTTCAAAGAGTGATAACAAGATAGACTACACTATACAAGGAAGTGTTAGCTGCTTCCAGCTACTTCACTCATTGCAATTCTTATAATATTCTAAAAAGACAACAGAGTCCCAAAAAATGTTTAAATTGAAATTCAGGATTAAGAATCTTCTATGACATTATTTAAAAAGTAACACAATGTATTTTTCCTTTCTCTCAATTGATGGGGTAGAAAGAAGAAAAAACAAAAGGCAGTTAGAGTAAGAGGTCAGATCCCCTAGAACATTGGTATTTCTGATTATTTCTCCACCTGTTTTTGATGTGTTTTCCTCTCTTTAAGAAATAGTGCTCTCACTATAACTGTATTCGGATAAAAATAAATAATCTAGTAGAAAAAAATGAAACGTATCCAAGTGCTGAAGGAAAAGAGCTTTTCAAAGTGCACTGTAAACACACTTCACAAAGTCTAATAAAGTACTCTTGGAAAAGACATCAGTGTTACAATACCAGTTTGGAGAGGTTCATGTCCCGCAGAACTCTCATCACTACAGTTTTCTCTGGCTCTTTGGGATTAGATCTTTTCACTGCTCCAAGTGTTCTTAAAACAGACAGGATATTTCTTAGTCCAAAGTCATAGTGAACCTTGAAATGATATATAAGCAAAATTGGTACCACAAACACTGAAGAATTCAATATCATTAAGGGGCTGAAAAGTATATTAACTAAAGAAATCTCAGCTATTGAACTTTTAAACACTATGAATTTCACACCTTTTCATCTTTTAAACTGAAACTCTATCTCACCTTGAAAATATTTTCCAGTGTTGCATGTGAATGCCTGCCAAGTCTCCCTTTTGGTGGTACACTACCACATTCACGCATCATCTGTAGCAAAGCTGCTGCTTCTATCATTTTCCTAAATTCATAATATGTCAGATGCACAAACAGTAAACCACATGTCTTCAGACTACTTTTCATTACCTGCACACGTAAGAACTGCTATTATCTTCATATATGGTGTATTGGGATTGGTAACTAAAAGAGCCCATTCTCTGGCTGGTATAAAAAGAACGCACTGAAATTATACAGGCACAATTTATTTATACGTAAGCCTATCTTATCCTATACATAATCTCAATTCATGCTCTGATATTTTCATAGCAACTGAGGTATCTCCACAAATAAGATATCTTCTGATCTATATACAATTATTTGTAACGTTGAATTCACAATTGCTATCACTGACAAACTGGAACAACTCACTGAGCACTACTCAAAATTTCAGCAATGAGTAGCTAACTGGTTATTACTTGTTAAGTTTGTAGCAAACAATACCATAACTACAATTCAAAATGACTGAGAAAATTCAACAAATGATCAACAGAGGATGAATTTAAATAAAGAAAAGTGAAAAATACAGCAAGGAAGATAATATCCAACTGCAAAAAAAAAAAGAGAAGAACAACTTTTCTTTATTGAGATGAAAATGAATCAGATGCAGAAAGCTTTCTGAAAGAAAGTACGTGTCATGGGACTCAAACCATAGATTCACCAATCACATAAATCTACAATTATACAAGGCAATAACAATGCAAGCGATCCTTTTGGACCTTTCCATTGCAGTTGGCACTTTCATACTGTGCCCAAAAGTAGTCAAACCTATACTAGGAAATCTAGAAAATAAAGATTTCAGCCAATTATAAAACATGCTATATCATGAAGAAGGAAAAAAATGTTTGCTTTGCAAGTAGGAAGAGTAAATATGTAGCACATAGTTTGAGTTACAATTAAAGTCTTCGATGTGCAAAAAAATTCTGCAAAGAGGAAGGGAGAAGGAATAGATAGGAAAAGAAGCAATGTATTTAATTACAGCATGGGATATTTAAGTCAGCTTTATAGCTTCATGGAAAACTTTGTGACCATAAGGAAAATCAAGCTTTGGAACAGACTGCCTGGGAAAGTGCACGCTGTCTGTCAATTGAAAATGTTAAGGAGAGTCACAAATATTTACAGCAAATTATTTAGCTAAGAAAACAGTCTCAGTGGTGCCAAGTGACAGGATGACAGGCAATAGGCACAAATGGAAATCCAAGAAATCCCTCTTCAATATCAGAAGAGGTTTTTTTTTTCCACTGAGATAGCAGCTTCACCAGAGAGGTTGTGCTGTCTCTGTCCTTGGAGATACTCAAAGCCCACCTGGATGAGGTGCTGAGCAATTTGGATTCATTTAAGCCTATTTCAGCATGGATACAGGACTCCTTCCAAACTCAGATCTCCTCTGACTTTAAAATTGTATATAATGGATTTATACATGAGCACAACTGTCCAAAGGGCTTCTGACAGGCACAGGCAGATGACAAAGTAGCAGACTGTCATGGGTTTGTATAAAGCTATGCTTCTTGGCTTCTACTGCAGAGTACAGAATCATGATGCCTGAAGTAAACTGCCAGGACCAAAGATCAATGTAACAGGCTTCTCTGCTCATTACTGAAGAAATGTTAGAGGGTCCTGATGAAATTATAAATTCACACAGGAGATTGTTTTCCAGAGATATACTAGCTGCTAAAATAAGAACTATGTAATTTAAGTTATTAAGTGTGATGAAAGGGTAACATTCAAATATATCATTGTGATGTGGCTAGGTCTCAGAGCTGTGCCTGTGTGCACAGCCAGTACATTTGGTAATTATATCCATTAATTAATAGTAAGGAACTCCCTTGCTAGCATCAATGTAGATGAGACAAAGGACTGACCTAAGACAAGGCAATTGAACTAATATGAGACAACAAACCATTTGACTAATTGTTAAGGAAATTTTCCATATAAGCATTTCAGTTTCAGACTCCTTCAGGCAGTTCCCACTACAGCTAGGCCAACTGAGAGGCAGCACTTACATGACTCAGTATGTTGATTAACATGCTGAGTGGAGAATCCCACTGTCTCCAGGGCAGTTTCTGCTGCAGAAATAACTATACGCAGAAACTTTCTGCAGATGCAGCAATGGTCACATAGAAAAAAAAAAAAAATCGTACACAAACAAAACAGTCAAAGTAAATTTTATATACAGTTAAGACAGTCAGTAGCAATGGATCATGGTGTCTGAGCACAGGAATGATCACACAGGACCAGAAGACCTGTCCAGGGGAGTTTCACTCAATTCAGCTAAAGACTTCATTACGAGGACCCTTGTAAGAGAGCTACCTATTGCCATTCAGTGATTCACTGAGTGAGCGTTACGAAAAGATCTCAATGCTTGCTTGGTTGACTGTTTGGGGTTTGTTTTCAAAGAATCACAGAATTGCCAGGGTTGGAAGGGACCTCAAGGATCATGACTCTCTCCAACCCCCCTGCCACACGCAGGGCCACCAACCATCCCACCTGTTTTGTTTTGTTTTGTTTTGCAGGGGAAGGTTGGTGGTTTTGTTGTTGGTTTTGGTGGATTTGTTTTTAAGCACTCTGTCCAGGTATGCCTGTGCAACAATTCCAATGTATGTGAAGTGATGCCTGCACAAATGCCTCATCCACAGAGGAGGAAACAGTCATGTCCAAGACAAAATAAATACAAAAACTGACACAATGAGAAATTTTAATCCTACTCAAACAAGCTTCAGGGAAAAGAGAAGTCCATATTCAACATGTATAAGAAAACCTATGTTGCTAACTGCTGAAACTGTGGGCTTACACAAATTTTTCTGAACAATGTCCAAAAATTCCACTTGAGAGAGGCCTCAGAAAATTATTCTCAGAAATGCAGCCCAAAAGCCTGATAACTACTAAATGCATGAACAAGGATAGGATTGACGGAATAAGGTGGACAGCAACAAATCAACTAACACAAACAGATGCTACAATCAATATAGGGTGATTCAGATTGCCTAAAAACTAATTTGAAGGTTAAATGGAATCACCTTGGGCAATTTACAAAGATAGTAGTGAATATAAGATCCTTTAGAAGACAGTCTACGACATACAGCTGGTGAGCCAAACTCTCTCAGAAAAAAGGAAGCCAGAGAGAAATGAAAATGAGAATCTAGTTTGGTTGGCAATATATACTGACACAGTGAAATCACCAAGGGATGGAAAAAGAATGAGAAAATCCAAATCTATACTTTGTTATTTTACCTCTCAAATAATGTGGACAATTTGATGCTTTACCCTCTTATTCTGGTGTAGTTGAAGATTTCTACATAGAAGCCAACAAAGTCTTTAATAAATATGTGGTGTGGATGTGGACTAACATAATGGAGAACACAGTCGTATGTCCAGGTACATTAGGATTCAAGAAGAGCAGGCTTCTCATTCGAGCTGCAATTTACCTACTACTCATATCATTTCTCTTTGAGACCCTCTAGTGGACAGTCAGCACTCAGCATTCAAAAGATAAAAACTAGTTCTCTTAAATGCAGCTTTGTTCTTTGTTTCTACCAGGCAGTTTTCAGTTATTTAAAATTCATACACTGTCTCTCCAATACATCTAGTCTTTGTAAGTGAAAAGACTGAAAAAACTGTCCTTTACAAAGCTCTTTACAGCTCTGCACACTATTCATCCTATCTTTATCGTTATCTGCATTCTGTTTAAAAATCACAAAACAAACTTCCTTTTCCATACAAACTTGTTTGAAAACTAAAAATAACAGGATAATTTCAAATTCTGTTGCTGGAACTTGAAACTGAAAACCTTAAAAAATGACTACAGTTCTGAGAGTCAAAATAATTATATATTCCATGAAAGTATATTCTCCACATTCCCTTCCAGTGACAGCTTAGAGTTGGACAAATATTTATTTTACCTGTTTAGATAACTGCTCTTCACAGAGCTTGTAGAGTGTATAAAATTTTCGACTAAGGATTTGGTTGTCTCGGAAACCAGCACTTGCCAGCTTGACTCGCATAATAATGCCACGGTCAGGCACCATCATAGCAACTGTACGAAACTGAATCTTCAGATTTTCTGGAAGCTCTTGTCGTCCTGCGTAGCCAGGGTTCTGAGGAATGAAAAATATAAAATAAAATCTTATTTGATGACAGCAGGATAGGAAGGTTTATCTTTTTTTGTAATTATTTTGCAAACACAGGTGCACATGCCAGATCACACCAGATAACTGAAGCATGTTACAATTACACGTTACCACTAAACTGTCCAAATATTGCAGTTCATGAAGTACATGGTATCACATATGGTATTTTGAGATGCCAAAGACACACAGATCAAAACACGCAACCACTTACACATTAGATTGGAACTTTTTTTTTTTTTTAAACAGTTTTTTTTTGTTTTAAACAGTTAGCTCCTTAGGGTCTTGATAGCATCGCAGTGCTGAAGGTTACTGTCTTAACTTAAACTGACCCATCTGATCTTTCACTAAAGAAGTCTCTATGACTACTACATGGGTCAGGTCGTCAGCTCTGAGAACAGTAGTCTCTGGCTATGCAGTAATAACTTCTTAAATTCTTCCAGCAGTTGCAGTTTTCAAACTACATTTTCTCTGGACTTGGTATGTCACAAGTTAATTTGTCTTTTTTTTTTTTTTTTTTTTTTTTTTTTTTAAATTAGAAGGACAACATTAACACCATTTCAAAGATAGAAAACCTGAGAGTAAAGGAAAATGTTTTAACTTCGAATTGTGCATATGTAGCCTAAGCTAAGGAGATGGGAGTACAAAGAAGCTTTTATGGCATTCTTACACTTTCCTGTTTCTTTGCCTCCTGCACTGATAGAAACAATCCAGTCCACAGGAACCAAAGATAAATCTTTGGGAGGTCAGTGAATCAGAGTGAAGGTGACTTCCTTCATGCTGTCATAGAGAAGGATTGGAGTTAAAAGCTCTTCAGTGGTGGTGAAATACTGACTGAAATATCTAGAGTAGTCCTTCCAATGGCCAATTACTTCTGTTCAATTTTGATAGACTAAAAAAATTAGATGGCTGGATTTAATCTCAAACTGTCAAATACTGAACTAAAAAAACCCTTAAAATATGTAGTTAGGACTGCATAAATCAAGTCCTAAGAAGCAGTTAAAAACATGAGCAAGTGAAAATATCATTATTTGAGAAAATTACTATTCAAACTCACTATTTTCTAAGAGAGTTCCAATGATTTTATCAGGGATACTTTTATGGACAATGATATGTGAAAGATTTTCCACACTAACATCATTTATATACATATATACGTACCATAGTCAGAAATATGCCAAATTCTCTGTCCATGTCAACAACATCACCATCAGTGAAAATGAACTGAGGTTTCTTATTTTTCTTACACTGAAGTACAATATATATCTGCTGAGCAGCTACTGATAAAACTGGAAGTTCAATTCGGTTAAATTCATCAAAGCAACCCCATGCACCAGACTGGGCTAAACCTAAGAAAGAGAAAACAAGGAAAATATTTGATTAAACACAGCATATCACATCAAGTGAGAAGAATTTATATATAAAACATATTCTATATAAGGTAACATAACATGAGAAAAACGAGGAATATTAACGCAGAAGAAAATGAGGAATAAAAACTCAAAATAAATTAGGCTGTAATGATACTCAGAAAAAAAATTAGTCTTTCTAAGAAAGATAAATAAAACTCCTCTCAAAGAATCTTACAATTCTACAGTAATCATACGGTAGTAATCATCCAGTAATATTGTATATACAAGGGGTGCTCCAAAAGCAATCCCTCCTATTTTATTATGTTGTCCCATGATGTTAGAGACACGATGGTAGGACAGTAGGGGATGAACCTTCCCACCAGTATTACATTACATGTTGTTGCCATTTGACAGAAGGCAGCAGAGGGGCAGTCTGAGAGAATGGCATCTGACATGGAAGTGTGGATGAAGCAAAGGTGTGTCACTGAATTCCTCCATGCAGAAAAAAATGGCACCCACAGACATTCATCAACATTTGCTGAATGCTTATGGAGAACAGTGGATGTGAGCACAGTGAGGCAGTGGGGTGGTGCGTTTCAGCAGTGACAACAGTGATGTGAAAGACAGTTCAGTTTTAGACAAGCGATTTTCCTTGGGGAAAGAAAAAAACACTGTAATGCCATCTGCTGTATGGAGTTGGGAAATCTGACTATCAGAAAATATGAGTATTCAATAGCTTTGAGTTAATTCAGTTCCAGTAAAACTATTTTATTCTGGTGTTGTTTAAAAAAAATAATAATTTTAAAAATAAAAATAAAAATAGAAAGAAAGAACAAAAATGTACATACACACCCCACAAACACCCAAGCAAAAAGCACAGCAAGGAAACTGTCCACTGTAAAACAGCTTCAGTTTTGTTGTGCATACAACAAATTTTCAATTTTGTTGTACATATGGGCATTAATTTCTGTCCACTCACAGAATATAATATGCTAAGCAAATATGGAAAAGGGATAAAAGTAGAATATAAAAACCAAGACCAGAGAGATTACTGCTTAAGTTTAAGAATAAAATCAGTACCAGATTTCCTGTTATCAGTATCAGACATCCCGGTCCTCAAAGTGGGTCTAAGAAATGGCACACCTTATCTTCTGTACTCTCAGGGAGACTTAAAAATGTATCTCTGCCATGCAGTGTTGCGTTCCTTTCCATCTCAGTGGCTCTCTGGCCAGTCACAGCTGGGTGGCCCAACCTCTGGATGCTACAACATCGCTATGTTGCTTAGTACATGAATTAAGAACCCACACTCAAATACTGCAGCCTGCCACAACCACCCCTGTTCTGACAGATGACCCAGCAGGCCAGGTGATCATATCCTACGTGCTGCCTCATTCATCACTCCATCTGCCTAAAAATAGGGTGATAGTGCAGTAATTAATCATGACAAAGCAACTATAAATTCTATTTTGTGCTGAAATTGCATTCTTTTAAGAGTGCAGTGCACACAGGAGTGATAAAATTCAAAGCAAACTCCACTAAAACAGAATCCTGGCTAGCCAAAGCATAGGCCATGCAGAGCTCCATATTTATGTATTCACCTTCTGAATTAAGATAAAGATCAAATCCTACATTAAATATTGCATTAACCATTAAATCACAGAAAGGCACCTCAGGTAAAACAGGAGTTATTTGACTCTATAAAAACAGAATCTAAGCAAACATGACTTTTATATTCATTCACAGACAACCACAGAAAGGTTTCTTAAAGTGTATTCACAGACACTTTTCTGCAGTAGTAATATAGTATGTCTGATTTGTAGTTCCTGGGCAATTTTAATATTGAACTTGATACAAAATAAAACTTGAAAACTCCTCTTCGCTCTTCCATAGAACCAGTTTATCAGAACCTATGATATGTTTCAAGTTTAAAAAACAAAGCTATCAAAGGTAGAAGTCCAGGTCCCAGACATCTCAGCTAGACTATCTGGCTGTGAATAGATAAGGAGAGACAGGAAGACAGAGAAACAGGGAAACCTCATTTCCGAGTCAAGAAGGTGATGGAATATAAAGGTTATCATAGACATGTTTGAGAATTCTGAAGAATTTCTCAGTGTGTACTCTTTAAAATGCAATGTATTTCACAAGAATAGTTTTGTTAGCCTGCATGAAATAACTTTTACAAATATGCATTAAAGAATCTTTCTCAAAACTGACCTTTCTCCTTCTATTAATCAAAAAATAGCTCATTTCCTTCCCAGAGATAACATATCTATCCTTCAAGAAATACCAGATATGTTAAAGACATTTCAACCCAAAAATTGTGATTCCAAGCCAGGCCCTTCCAAGCTGCAGCCATAAGCCTAAACTAACTGGTGGCTTTCAGAAATGATTTCAAAAATCACAGAAACGTCTAGGTTGTAAAAGAGCTTTAAAATCACCAAGTCCAACCATCCCCGACCCCGACCTATCACTAAACCATGTCTCTTATTGCCTTGTCCTCACATCTCTTAAATAACTACAGGGATGATGACTCCATCACTTCCCTGGGCAGCCTACTCCAATACTTGACCACACATTCTGTGTAGAAATTCTTCCTGATATCCAATCTAAACTTCTTCTGGCACAACCTGAGACCACTTTCTTACAATTTATCACTGATCAGCTGAGAAAAGCGATTGATACCTTGCTTGCTGCCATCTCCTTTCCAGTAGCTGTAGAGAGCTATAAGGTCTTCACTCAGCCTTCTCTTCTCTAGACTAAACAATCCCCTCAGTTACTCCTCATAAGCCTAGTCCCTTCCCCAGATTCTTTCCCTGCACTCAAGCAACTCAATATCCTTTTTACATTGAGGAAGCCCAAAACACACACTATTCAAAGTGCAGTCTCACAAGTATCACATACAACAGGGCAACCGCTTCCCTAGTCCTGCTGGCCACATTGTTTCTGATATAATCAAGGATGCCATTGGCCTTCTTGGTCACCTGAGTACACTGAGGGCTCATGTTCAGTTGGCTGTTGACCAGCACCAGCCAGATTCTTTTCTGCCACGCAACTTTCCAACCACTCTTCTCCAAGCCTATTTCACTGCATCAGGTTGTTCTGACCCAAGTAGGATCAATCTCATTTTTTTCCCCAAACACACAATAGCTTGATCAATGCTGAAAAGATCATTCTGTTCAGCTAGATTCATTATCAGATTTCTGGTCAATTTCTCTAAGAAGTATGCCAATGTACCACTAACAAATTGACTGAGGCACTCTGGGCTGCATTAAAAAAGGGTGGCCAGCAGGGACAGGAAGGTGATTGTCCCCCTCTACTTGGCTCTTGTGTGGCCCCATCTGGAGTACTATGTACAGGCTGGGGACACCAATACAAGAAAGACATGGAGCTCTTGGAGAGGGTCATGAGGAGAGCCAAGAAGATGATCAGAGGGCTGAAGCACCTCCCCTACAAAGACAAAGAGAGAGCTGGGCTTGTTTATTTTGGAGAAGAAAAGGCTCCGGGGAGACTTCATTGTGGCCTGCCAGTACTTGAAGGGAGCATATCAACAGGAGGAGGAACGGCTGTTTACATGGGTGGATAGTGATAGGACAAAGGGAATGGTCTTAAACTGAGACAGGGGAGGTTTAGGTTAGATATTAGGGGGAAGTTTTTCATAGAGGGTGGTGACACACTGGAACAGGTTGCCCAAGGAGGCTGTAGATGCCCCATCCCTGGAGGCATTCAAGGCCAGGCTGGATGTGGCTCTGGGCAGCCTGGTCTGGTGTTTGGCGATCCTGCACATAGCAGGGGGTTAAAACTAGATGATCATTGTGGTCCTTTTCAACCCAGGCCATTTGATGATATGATACGATTCTATGATACTCCCAGGCATCATGGTCATCTGACCACCAATTTGCTGATCCCTTGTAACTCACATTTAACATTGGCATGCCATTAAACGAGCCAGCCAGATTAACAAGGACACCTTTACAACATTACTTAGCTTAACAATATTACACAGAAAACTATCAGTTCACAGAAAAACAGCAGATGAGGGAATTAGAGCCCTAAAACTCTGCTCATTTTCTTACACATAGAAATTGTGCCCGGTTTTACTTAAAGATGACAGTGAAAAGATACAGTTGTCACTATTGCCTCAAAAGAACTGAGAGGATAAGCTACCAAACTGCTTAGGATAAGAAGACAGAAAGAACACAATGACACAAAGATTAGATTGCTGAGTGTAGAGAGATCAGTAACAGCTTAATCAACAAGGAATTGGGAAAAAATATCAAAGTATAAGAAGATAAACTCTCACAAAGGAGCAGAGAGGAAAAAGACAACATCTCAGTGATATCAAAGCTAAACTCACTTCAAGAAGAACCAAACTAACATTCCTTCTCCTGACTGATGGTTGCAGGTACAGCATGGACACAGTAAATGACTGGGCTTGGGGCTACTAACACATTTATCCTCAACCAGAAAGCATGCTGGTCCCAGTCTACTTCTGTTTATTTTCAATGAGCAAGATAATTTGGGAAAACTAAAAGCTGCGTGTAATCCTATTTGCAAGTTCTCACTTATATATACAATAAAAGTCATCCAACTAAAAGTTGGCTCAAGGATCTGGAAGTTACAAGAGAAATTTGTGACCTTGACTGAAAGTATTTATATGTGCAGGTAGTTCAATCTCTAGCTTAGAAATCTTCCTGCATTTGTTTGGCACTACATAAACGAGCAGTTTTCCACAGCTCCTGATCAGTAGGTGACTGTTTTCTATCTTCATATGCAATGATCTGGCCTTGGTTAAATACACAGTATATACCTTGGATAAGCACTATAAGAATGTAACGTACTCAACACAAAAGTCATCAGCTTCTAGGGATTTCTTAACCACATCTCTGTGTGACAATGGGATACTGTCTTCTGTTCTCCATAGGATCAGTTTCAGCCTTCTTTAAGGCAATGAATGCCTTTCTTCACCTTGAAAGAGGCTAAGACAAACTAGCATCTTTGATCTCTTTTGTCCCAGCTCATGGTTCGCAGGAATAGAAAGAGGATGGAGGCTGGCTGAGGCAGACAAAGCAAGAATGATTCTTTCTTATCTACGTTCACATTCTTGTCAACATTGCTAACGTTTTTGAATGTTCACTTATTGAGAAGGATATTCTGCAGAACACAGATAGACACAAACTTCAGAGCCATCATCAAAGGAACCTGGCAAATAGATCAATATTTTTCCTTCTTTCTCTGTTCGACCTATTTCCACTTTCCTTTCTGATACTGTCATTTCTGATACTGTCATTAAAGAAAATCAGCAAGTTAATGAGGCCAAAAAAATGTCTGTAAAGAATCAAAAGGATTAGGAGGAAAAGCAACAATGTCCAGTGAAGCGAAAACAAGTACTACTTTTACCTCAGTTCTTAAATATGGACTACTGGTCAGCTTGATTAACTCAGCCTTACACAAACCTAGTAAGACCACAGGGAAGACAGAAAAATGGAAAATCTTTTCACAATAAAATGCAAAATCATCTTAATCCAATAGTTTATGTGTTTTTTATCCCCATTAGAAAAGCTTAACTGGATACTCTTAAGCTTTTAATAAAGAAAATTAAAGAAATAAGTTACTTCAGTTAATATTTTGGCCAGCATTTCTGGCTTAACTAAAAATAGAAATGATCTCTAGGTTATATTGTAACCTTCATGAGATGTCACAATAGTGAAAATTATTTTTATGATACCTTCTGGTTTTGATTTAACTGTCCACCACTTACAGAAAATGATGGTGTTCTGGGGTCCATATAACCCACTGCAACTACGTACAAGAAAAAAGACATAATGGAATTCACAAACATCGGATCATTTGATCCAATTTTTTGCAAATTTGATTTGCAAACCTGACTTCGAAGATCTGTTTAATGTGAAAACATTGCATTGGCTGCTGTCTCATTTTCCCAGTTTCAAAAAATGTCTCGAGTTTGAAATAAAACAGTACACTACGTTTGTTTGTCTGCCTACTTTGTACAGTGTCACTGAACTGTAGATTTGTTCTCTTGTTTGACGTGAATTGGGAAAGAGAGGGCTGAATACTCTCCCTTAGGGCGGTTGGAATTGTCAATGGTTTATGGGCTGGTTTGGCTCACTTCCGTGACTAGCAGGGAGAGGGATTTCATGAATCCACACCTGCGGAAAAGGGAAACAGGGGACCCAAAAATAATTAAAAACAGAGGCAATGACCTAAGAAGAAACAAACTAATTTACTAAATATGGTAGCGGAATGCGAGATAACACACTATAGTACAATATAATTAGAATTGAAGCTAATAAATTAAATATAATGAGAGTGTCCGAAAGGTGGATAGGCCTCACCATAAAGCTGAGGTGAGATGTGCAGTCCAGTTAAGCAGCAGGGAGGAGAGCCTGACAAAGAAGAGCATGTCAGATGACCTACCAAGGCCTAATATCTGTTCCCCCTGAGCAGAAATGACAACAACACAGCAAACAGTCTTCTGGGGAATGTAGTTCTTCTTCTCTTCCGGACAGGCACCCAGAACTTGAGCATTAACACTTTAACTCCCAGTGCACTACATGATGTTATGATGTGGAATACCAATAATCAAAAATCATAAAACCATGACAGGAATTGTTGCATAAATAAAATCAGTAGAAAAGATGAAAAGGGAAAAGAAAACAAGGATGAAGCCCCCAAGAATTTAAAAAAGACTGGAAAGAGTGAAGGCAATAAATAAATAAATACAAATAGAAGAATTGATCAAACATCAAAAGAAGTGTATATGCATCTAGAAATAACAGGAAACAGAGAAGAAAATATTTGATTAATCACTTCTAAGTCACTAGTGAGGAGACAGAAACATATGATTTTAAAATGAAGAAGTCAGATTTTTTCTTACCTTTATAGATACGACCCAATCCCCTGTAGTCCATTTGGTCTGAACAATTGAAAACAACAACATACTTTCCCAGGCACTTGCCCATATCTTTAGTTGTCTCTGTTTTCCCTGTCCCTGCAGGTCCTGCAGGTGCACCACCCATACTCATGCCTAGGGCCTGTGCCAGAGTGATGTAACATCTAGAAAAAGAACAAAGACTTCTATAAATCCTTTTCTACTCTTAATTACTTGAAGTCAATTAATGTAATCACAACACTTGTATTATGTAGGGCTGAGGAAAGGGGCAAAGGAGGCATACATGAGTGTGCTTCCCTGCGGTAAATCCTGGGCTAACATCTCCAGCCTCCCCAAATAGTATGGAGACTACTCAAGGGGGAAGTATGACTGCTATTCTAACCTATAGCCCTAAAATCCCAGTAAGCCTATGTTCAATGATGTTAGCACTGTGATACTCAATAGCTTTATGATAAATCTGGGAAGAGAAAATGGGTGCCGTAAAACAAACAAATGGTACCAGTATCATTTCCTATAAAATAATACAGTGCTCATTCTAACATAATAGCAGTAATAAAACTTTATCACCTCATAAGCCAGTAAACAGTTAACAGATACTCAGTTAACACTGAAAAAATATCATTCCTAACTCTTCTGCTACTGTGGTAAGTCCATGAATAGTACAAATCCTGAGAAAGAGCCCTTGCATTTCTTTTTTGTAATTTCCATGGCATGGTCTGTGTCTGACATGATGTTTAGGAGCACTCAATTTCAGTCCTATTAATACACTGCAAGATAGCAAATGTATATTTATCATGTGATTCAGGAATGTTTCTGAACACCAGATCATTAGCCAAACAGCACTCGATTCCAAGGTGACTAATGGAAAGCTTAAATGTTACTACATGAAAATTATCATAAACCCATGTAAGTCAACATAGTGGTATTAAAGTGGGAAAATTTTCTAAGGGGAATAAATTCTATTTTCACACAACACATAAAGTTTCCCATGCCAACACTAGAAAATATCCCTGTTTCAAACACTCTTTCAGTGTATGGTAGTAGATAGTTCCAATCTCTGCAGCTCCGCTTGGATCTTGCAGGTAACCCCAGACAACTCTGGGATTTAGTTATTATAACTTAAGCTCACTTAAAAGACTCATTCTCTTCAGAAATCTGGTGAATTTTTAGTGTACATATACAGAATTTGGCAGATGTGTGTTATATTTTAAAAGCCTGGTATCCTGCTCTCTAAGCAGCTCACTGGACAAAATTTTGTTTCAGAAATTGGCAAAAATCCAAAATATCACTTGTAAATAAAATCTTCTAGTACAGAGCACAAAGGCAATTCTGCATCAATTTAGCAGTATGCAGCTATTCTTCACGTAACAAACAACTAAACACACACAGTATCTTGACATTCCTATCCACACTTAAAAGAACAAACTTTGCCATCACAAATACAACTGCTTCTTGCCTCGGTGAAGCACTACAGATCCTTCAGAAAAATATGTACATAATGGAGTTTGTACCGTACTGTATAATTCTCCAGTAATAAGAATTTCTCCTTAAATTTTATTTAAAAGTGTTGGAGGTTTTATTTATTTATTTATTTCCCCCATGTTTGCAGTTTTGCCATTCTCAGATTCTTGCTTTAAATGTATATCTGTACTGGCTGTTTGATGCAATTTCCTGAGTTACTGATTTTTCCCTAGAGCAACTTCAAATTATTTGCCATAATCCCAAATTCATATTCAACTATTAATTGACTGAAAGCAGCAACACACTGCAGATCCACTTAAGTGATCGGTATTATGTTCTGCTATATTCACCTTGAACACAGGTAAGTTTTCTATACCTACCTCAGCATAGATAGCCTAAGCAAATACTCAAAAGAAAAGTCAGGACCTCTCTATGGGGTGCCTGCTTTCCCTAACTAAATTATATATGAGCACTGGCCTCTGCTGTTCAGCATCAATACTGCAACACTGTGCTGCAAATCAGACTAAGAGCTCCAACTCACAAGAAAGTTAAAGGAAACAAGTAAGGCTCTAAGTACTAGGCATTGTAATCTTTTTATAATAACCTGTCAGTTAAAGGAGTTATAACGAGTCTGTCTGTACATCCTAAGTATTCATTGCAGTAGGTGAATTCTACATCCGTGATTTGGATAACACATTTATCCAAGTCTTCAAGAAAATAAAACCGAGATTGCTTTTGCCATTCAAAGTCAGATGGAGATTTAATGTTCATACGTACCTATGATGCAAGAGAAATAACATTAATACAGAAGTCAAACAATACAATAAATTCATTTTAAATTCTGTTCTCCGCACAGAAGAAACATCTGCTAACCATAAATTCAAGAAGTGAAAAGAATGAGCATAGAATTAGGCAGGATTCAAGACACACATTGTTCTTTTCAAATCCCTTTATAACTTAGTTTGATCATTTCAGATCCTTTCAAGCACTTTGATTTTCCTTTGAATTGCGTTTAGAAATTATTAATTGTGTCTTAAAAAGACATCAAAGAACAATGACAGGTAGCTTAATTAAAAAAACTATTTAGTAATAGTGGTTATACTGCACGGTGCCATTACTCATAAAATTTTAAATGTTGGACAAAAATGGAATGCACTGTATACATTTCTGTGCACTTATTTAGTATATTTCAGTACAAAGTTGCCACACATGTTCAGAGCTGTAGCAAATCAATAGATGTTGTTTCATTATGTGAGGCCCCATCTGGAGTACTGCATCCAGGTCTGGGGACACCAATACAAGAAAGACATGGAGCTCTTGGAGAGGGTCATGAGAGCAGCCATGAAGATGATCAGAGGGCTGAAGCACCTCCCCTACAAAGACAGGCTGAGAGAGCTGGGCTTGTTTATTTTGGAGAAGACAAGGCTCCGGGGAGGCTTCATTGTGGCCTGCCAGTACTTGAAGGGAGCATATCAACAGGAGGAGGAACGGCTGTTTACATGGGTGGATAGTGATAGGACAAGGGGAATGGTCTTAAACTGAGACCATCAAAATTATGATGAGAGGATAAAACTCCACACTTAATTTAGAAGTTGGCAGTTTTCTTTCTAACTTTTATTTTTTCTTTATAATTTTTGCTCTTTACACATGCGTTTCTTATTTTTCTGTATAATATATATGCATAAAGCAAACAATGCTGTATGGAATTACAGACTTTTGCAACAAGCAGACTTTTCAAAAGTTATTTTACTCCCAATTTTATGACTGTAATTTCATTTTCAGAAAACTTACCTAAAGGAATTCTCATGCAATTCAGTTATAAAACAAACAAAAACCATTAAAATATCTGTTTTGGGTATTGTTGCTATCTTTTTCAAGCATGCAGAATCTCACAGCTGTAATCTTTAAATAACTGTTACCTTAGATCAACACAGAGCTCAGGTTGAAAATCACATGATTGATAGTATTGCTAAGGGCATGCTTTTTCTTCTAACACTTAATTTAAATAATTTATTAAATTTTCAATTTGAAAGAATATCTTAATTTAGAAATATTAATCCCCACAATGAATCTGTGCTTGAGAATCAACAACCACTTAAAAACCTGAAGAGTGCTAAGTCTTAATCCATGAATTTATCTATTTACGCTTCATCCTTATCTTCACGTGACATCTCTATGAAATGAAACTGAATAGAATAGGTATGCTATAGCATACCTATCACAGCACTAATGTCAGAGCTATTCACAAAGAACACATTGTAAGATTTGTTTATATACTGTATGTGCAAAAGCTTGTATATAGAAAGTCTCTTAAGGGTTTCAGAAACTCACCAAATCATCAAAGATATCCTTCTGGTGTACATGAATAGTAATTAAAGTTTCATATTTTGTGCGCTCCATTCTTGTTAGATTGTGTGTAGTCATGTCAATCAAATCATTTAGAAGTTCCAAAAACTTCTGATTTGTTGCGTGCATTACCTTACACAGCAAGAACAGTCACATTAACATAAACACAATTTGTTTTCCCAATGTTTAGAAAAAAAACAAAAACCATCTGCAAACACCTTGGCCCCATGAAATCTCTGTTTTGTTTTGTATTTATTAGGTTTGGAATCCTAAATCTGGATATGTGGGCTGCCCTCCAAACATAAAGTCATAGCCCAACAAAGTGCAATAATGTTATGCCTCTGAGTGAAGATGTCACATACGATTTCATTCCTAGATTGGACACATCTTCAGCTGATTCCATCCCTGTATATTTTCAGAACCATCAACCTTTTTGTTGTGGGTAACAGTATCTTCAGAGGTGAACAGGAACCTAGACATCTATCCCGTCTTCTAACCAGAGATGATAAAAAATGTACTGTAATCTTCAATGCTAATGCTGAAATAACAATTTTTTATGTGGCACCAGATTCTGTTACAAAATCTAAAAAATAAATAATAACTACATAACAGTGACTTAGGTAGACAGCATCAGTTTCTGTCAGTGACTTTCCTGGTACACAAAAAAATCACAAAGTGCTAAGGTGTCAGAAAGAGCAGCTCATATATATTCCTGTTAAAATATGTGAGAGAAGGATCACACTAGCTTCCTGTAAATATATTCAAACCCTAAAACTCTCCCTGTTTTCTGAGAATAAGCTGTTAAAACCACCTCAAAACTAATGGAGCTAAACAATCTCCCTGCCCTCCAAACACACATAGAGATTGTCCCCGACAACAAATATTGTTTTCTAGGAAATGAAAAAGAATCTGAGTCTAGTTAGTATGTGAACTGGAGTGGACTAAAAGCAGGTCTGTGCCCTTTTTAAATTTCATACAAGAAAAGGCAGCACTAAATGGTCGTTTCCACAGTCTAGAGTCTTTGTTCTAATTAGCTATGAAAGTACAGCATAGCACCTTTCTCCTCAGTTTTCCTTTACATCAGGATGGTGCTTCTAATTCTCAGACCCACTTCATTGTTTATTCCTGATTGACAGTAATTTCCAACTTTTTTGTTCATATTCCTTCCTTCCCACTTTATAGATTCAGTGTTATTAAATTAATAACCCCTTGGTGTTAATAGTAATAAATAATTGCTTAAATAAATAAAACAAATAATTGCTTCTCTGAGCAATTGAGATTAAATCAGCAGCTCTTAAAACAGCTTGCATTCCTTCCTTTCCCTGTAAAAAAACGGCTCACTAACTGAAAATTCTAAGTCACTTTACACTAGACAAAAGCTGATGAAGTACAATTATTTCCCCAAATATGAGGAGCTCTTATTTCTTTCCAAATCTGTTCTGGGGAAAGTAATAGCATGAGAGTCACTGTATTCCCAAATAATCGCTTCTCAGTTTGACTGTGCTGACAGAACAATAGAGAAAATCACAAAATTAGAAACAACTTTAAGCCATATACTGGGCAATCTGTGAGGAGGTATGACCTTGTAACACATTTTATCATTTGCTATCCTGTTAGTTTATTTGTTATTCAGGTTATTTAATTAGTACTTTGTGCTTTTTGCTGTAAATTACTTGTAACTTTTCACAATATGTAGTGATCCAAATAACAGTCTTTAATTAATCCCCAGAGATTCATTAAATACTACCTTTTTGTCTGTTTTGGTACAGTTCAATGCATTCTCTGCATCTCTGGTCCAGATCATTTGAATTCCCAGAAGTCCTATTTGTGCAGGAAACATTGCCTGAAAGTCATACAGCTTAAATCCTGAGTCGCTAATGGCCAGTGATGCCTCTCTAATGATAGTGTGGATTGTTTTCCGAATCCCATTCAGCAGCTGACCCAACCAGATTTCCACGTTGCCCTGAAATAATAAACAAGAAAGTATTTTTAAAGAATTAGTTTATGAATAATTTACAAGGAAGAAAAGACCTATGTGACTTTTTTTCCCCACCCCCAGTCCTTCAAACTCCCATTTCCCTCTCTGCCATTCTCTTTGTTATTTTTTTTTATTCTCTAATCTAAAAAAATTCCTCTTTCCCTGCTCCACTCCCTTTCTGCATGCTTTTATGTGTGATGGATTTGGTACTTCATATCGGTGTTGCTGAAAAAACAGGTAAAGTAATTGTTACAGAATGACACAACTGTCCTGTCCTTTTCGGCCTTGATCACGCTGTTCACACTGGAACATTTTCATTCAGCTAGGCAAGTAGTAACATGATGCAACGCTGTTTGTTATTACAACACAAATCTATTCTAAATCAAGTTACGAAAAAGTGCAATATATACTGCCATTACCTGAGCTATAACTGGTTCAATAATATTGACCCGTTCTCCTTCTTGAGATTCAAACAATAAAATCTGGTCATAGTTTTTTTCATGAAATCCAACCCGGTTAACGTTGTCAAACAAACTTAATAAATGTGCCTGCAATAGAACCAGAAAATAAAAAGCTCCACAAACTGATCTGATATGGCATTCTTATTCTGCCTTTAAATTATGTATTAGAAGGTTTTGCAGATTTTCCACAGGTGAAAAAAAAATTCACTTGACTAAATAAGAAAAGTCACCACTAAAATAACAAAACTCACCACTTACTAATATCGACCATAAGAGCATTACTGCTTTATTACTTGTACCTGAATAGTGTGGGAATCAGATGCTTGACCAAGGATTTCCAGAAGAACAGGATCAGACACAAAAAAAAATCTTGGAAATTTTAACCGCTTTTTCTCCAAGTAACCAGTCAGTGATTTCTGACAGATTTCCAATTGCTCCAGCAAATGTGGTAATAGCTGTGCCAAAGTCTCATCTCCAACACAGCACTGTATTATGTTTGATGTTTCATGAGCTTTCTGCATAATTTTCTGCCATGATTTATCAATGTTCTGAAATCTTCTGGCTTCCTGAAGTACAAAACAAACAAACAAACAAACAAAAAACATGTCTTATATCTCCCTCAAATCTGTCTATTTTAAAAACTTAAAGAATTACTCTTCTGGAAGAAGTCAGAGCACTTCCTAAATCTTTCTCATGTACCATCATGGAAATTCGTAACAGTCTTTTGAAGAGACTGCAATAGTTCAGAGAAATTACCATACATACAGCTGCCCAAGTCTCACAGGATCTCTTTGTGGGACTTAGTTAGGGACTGAGTCCTAGATACACAGAATTCATACAGAAAAGCTGCCATTGCTTTATCGTGTAACTTAGAGCCTACAAACACCTGCAAAGACAGAGAAAGTCACACATATATATGAAAGACACGATAAATTAGCTTTGCATTAAGTAGTACTGAACCCTGTACTATCTATCATATGATTCACTAATATTACAAGTTGACAAGGACAGCTGAACCTGAGTTATAAACAATTATGTTCCTGTAGGTATTGCTAAGTTCTATGCAGTTCAACCAGACAGACCTCAGACTGGTGAAATTTCTACTAACCTGCCTGAGTAGAATAACTCACAGTACTTTATTATCAAACACATTTGTAAGTGAACTGTGAAGTGGATAACCTCTTGTTACAACATACTGCCTTTCACATATAGTTATCATAAATCAGCATACCTGAGGTAGTTGTTTTGCAATGTCTCCACCAACAAACACAGCTTCAAGGTAAATCCAGAGGTTTTGTACAGCAATCCAGTTTTCAATTATTTCTGCTGTATTGCCTAGCTTCTGGACCCAGTGTTGTATAGTGGATTTAAATGGTGTGTTATACCTGTACAAACAAGAGTTAAAAAAAAAAAAAAAAAAAAAGCAAAGTCAAATATTATAATTGTTTATTTTTGGTTTTCATTAGATTTAAACCATATGTGCATACATTAACTTTTGTACCTGTTGCTCATGAGTGAACCCAATATCATGAGGCTGTCTTCCACCAAAGCTATTTTCTCTAATGTATCTGATCCTTTCAGAAGGAGTTCTCCTCGTGTTTTGAATTGGCCAAAACTGAAAGCATGGGTACTCCATTCACTGATAACATGCTTTAATTTTGCTTCAATATCCTTTTCTTTAACAGCGCTGATGCAGATATCCTATGTAAGATTAAAATAGTAAATAAAGAATACTACAATATACACTTGTAAAAGCAATTAAAATTTACTAGCTAGATTCTGACTTCAGAGTGAGCTTTAGCTAATGAAAATATATGTAGGAATACCCCAAAATATAAGTTACAACACATGTTTATATTATAGAATTATTGGCAACTGAAATACTGTATGGGCTATACTCCATCATTGTTGACATTCAGTCACCTTATACTTCTGAAAATTCAATCAATAAATCTGGGTGCAGAATTTGCCTCTCTGAACAAAATAAAATTTGGAGTCCAATATATCTACTGAGGGTGTTAGGGAAAATAAACATTATCAATCAAAACCAGGCAATATCTCAAGAGCAGCGTGTGTGTGGGCAACAGGAATGTGTGCTACTTCTTGAAGACAATGAGGACAAGAATGCCGTAAAATTGGCTATTGCATCAGAAAAGGGGAAAAAAAAAAAAAGATTAGATTGAAGTACCCCAGATTCAGGCTCAGAATGTACTGACCGCCATTACAGGTTTAAAATCTTCTTTTGAATGTAAGGCTGCCACTCTGATCCTTTTGAAAGGCTTAAATTCTTGACTGGATATTGGGTTTGATTTCATGTTTTTCTCTTAGAATTGGAACAAGATAAATCAGGTCACTACTACAGAAGGACCATAGGTTTAGAAAACAGGTTCACAATAAAAATGAAGAAAGAATGAAACAATTCGGGGTTTCCTTCTTTATTTTTAGCTGTAATTTATCCTTGTAAAAGAAGACAATGGCATAAAATGAATGTGGCAATATCTTTGTGCACATTACACAACTCTTCTCATTCCTCTGTTCTCTTGAGAAGAATGTTTGAGATACAAATGAACTTTGTGTCCCTTTAATTCCATATATCCTAATGGTACTGTGTTCCAAGAATTTCAAGTATTTAGCAGGATTAGACTTACAGCTACTTTTTCTCTCTGCTGGGACATTTAAAAGGAATTTAAAAAAAAATATAAGTAAGCAGATCTTAAAACAGAAGCATGACAGAATCATACTACTCTCAGAACAACAGAATTCCTTATATGGTGGGAAGGTGTCATACCATCTATTAATTTCATCCTTCTCCAGGATAAAAGGAAGTAAATACTCTATCAATACTGATATCAGCTACCAAACTCCACGCCACAAAAGAATTCTCTAACTGAAGCCAAATTTGTTTAGGTTACAAAGCTGACTAGATAAAAGGACAGAAAAGTAAATATACCTCAATATCTTCTTTATGTTTTAATAAGGAGGCATCCGTTATGTTTTTCAAAGAGAAATTTTCAGAGTCAACTTCAAAGTGATGTCCAGTTACTTGTGCAATTCTTTCCCAGTGTCGAGACATCATTGCCTAGAAAAGTCCATAGGAATTAGGAAAGGTTTTTAAAAACTACTATTCTAGGACTAGAATGATCACATATTTTTTATTTTATCTGTTAAATAAAGGAATCTTGATTTCCATTCCACTGAAAGCATTAACAGTTGTTCCTCATCTCATTATGAAGCTTTTTGTTTTACTTTTCTGCAACCAATCCCAGCTAGATTTTTGTCATAAATAAAGCTGCTTTAATCTATAAAAAAGAATTACAGAAAGCATCTTACAGTCAGACAGTACAGTCATAAATAGTTTTTCAAATTAATGTAATCTCCAAATCATTATGCTGAACATGCCTTGTTTGCCATCATTTCAAGCAGAGGACAGCTCTCTGTGAAATCATCAATTTTCTTCTTTAGGTCTCGAAATGCTTGCCATTCCTTCAGAGCTTTTGGTAACTTACGAATTCTTTAAAAAGAACAAAAAAGAACAAGTATTTGATTCCCCATAAGCACAATTCAACATTTAATAGTACAATATACTCCCATTTTCTGACCAGTTTTTAAAAATATCCAGTTACAAGCTGGCAACATAAAATATAGCTGATTATTTCTGACTGCAGGCATGAAACACTGCTAAAGACAGAAAAAACTTACACTAGATTGGGTTGGTTTCCATTTCAGTTAAATTAAAGAATGATAATTTTACTTGCAAACTCATGCTTGAACTTAAGCCTTTACGGTATTGTTAATTTATTTAAAAATTGGAAATGCACTCTGTTTTATAAAGGGGAAAATCATTGAGAAGCATGTATTTTTTTTCAATAAAGTACAACTTAAATCAAAACTGATCTGCCTGTAGGCTGAAAAAAATCCTTCTGTTTCAATCAAGTAAGTCGTATTTTACACCTAGTTTGTATGAAATATGTTTAAAGACCAGTCTTCCTCCCTCTATGAATGATTTCAATATGAAAAATAAATGAAAATGAAGAATGTCTAGCACTGTGAATTGTCACTGCTCCGTTTACTTCCACAAGTTATGACACTTTTCATCTGGAAAAGATATGGACCAGAGACTGACGGCAGTTCTTTTACACTTTGGCATAAATCCAATCAGTAACAAAAAGATCCTCCAATGACATTTTTCATTTTTCACAGCTCAAAATCAGACAGATCTGTTACACAACATTGGAGCACATGTGAATTCTTCACTGCTTGCAGCTACGAGGTAGATAAAATACACATACTGTCATAGCACTGCAATGATCTCTGTACTCTTTCATCTTGAATCCAACAATAGACAATATCAAATGTGCTAAAGTACTGCAGATGGAAAATTATATTCAGATGTGTGGATAAAGCTTTGAGAAGCTATTTCTATGCTGAGACACAACAACAAACTTTCTTACAATGGTTTTCTTAGGCTAGCAATTGGAAAAGAAATCTCTTCACTTGGTAATGAAAATTGATGATCATTTAAATACATTTTCCTTTGTTTTGATCTCAGTAATAACTTCCAAGAACAAGTTCCACAAAATATGTACTACATTAACAAACTATTCCATTAATCAAAATAAAATAAAAATGTTTAAATTACATTCTGAGAATTACTTGACATTCTCTTTAAGTTATACCACAGTAAAAGATAAAGGGAAATTTCCATATAGTTATTAATTGTAAATTTCATTAGTTTCTTACCACATTCCTTTTCTAATTTTTTTCCTTTTTATATCAAAGTATTTGTTATTTATTACTATTTAAATTATTTAAAGTGGAATTATTTGTACCTACAGTCATCTTTAAGATTCTTCTTCCCATAGTAATCTTTTCTGTTATACTATTCTTAAAAGAATTAGCAAACATTAAACTGAAGAACTACGCAGATATTTAGAATTATGTGAAAACACTAACTGCATTTCCAGTATTCCTGCTCATTTCATAACACAACATACCATCTCACTACCCTCTCAGTTAGTTCTGTGGGTTGTTTAAAGCTCTCCAGAATTAAAGACAATAGCTTGATTCAATACGCTAACAAGTCTGCCAAAGGAAGAACAGCACTGGGTTAAACCTCTGTTATAAAAGATGTTTATTGCTTCTTCGTAGTCTCCCTGCTCCAAAGATGGCTCAGCATTTGAGAGGGTTAAAAAAAAAAAAAAAAAAAGGACATGTGAAGCAAAGAAAACACATAACTTTCACAAATGTTGTCATGCAGTGGCTTCCTTCAGTAGTTCCAGTAAAAGAAAACAAAAAATCATGCCACTCCACGAAAAATAAGTAACTGTAGAAAAGAAGATGATGTAGATTGCAGAATTCTACTGAAACAAAACCAAGACTTCTAGGTATTATTGAAATGCAGAAGTATATATATTTTACATACATACATTTTTACTATTATTTAAAAAAAACAAACCCACACACAAAAAAAGTTGAGTTGTTTTTGCCCCAAAACTGAAAAGCAGTTCACTCTTTTTTTCCAAAAGAGGAAAAAAATCTTCACCCCACCCCTTCAATGTCTACACAAATGGCCCTTGATAAAAGGGTCACATGCTCAAAATACCATACAACTAAAAAGTCTGACCACACACACACACACACACAAAAAAAAGTTTCCATTCTTTTCAAAGACTTGGGATGAGATAAAAAGCACAGATTTGATCTCTTGAATAATACACCTGAAGTTACTCAAGTGTCTCTCAGGTCAAATTTCGAACACAAAACCAAAAGCTGATCTGAACTGTGCATGTTCCAGAAGAAAGGAACTGCAGAAAAGAAGGGTCTTTATCTTGAGTATGAACTTGTCTTGACAGAATTCACTGAGAAAGTGATCAGAGCCACTGTGTAAAAAGATAAAGAAAAGGCTTATACAAACTTAACAAAAGGCTGAAAATGGTTAATCCACTAGAATTTTCCACTAGAAGAAAACCATAACATCTTTTTTTCCCATTAGATGATATGATAAAAATATTGCATAATTGTTTTTGACATATCTGTTTCTGATGTACAGTTTATAATTCCCATTAAGAGCAGAAGAGAGACTGTTCTCAGGGAATGGATGCTTAAGGCCTTCATAACTATTCTCTACTTTTGCATGTAACAAAAATCTTTCTTTTTCTAGCAACTCTATACATATTCTAGGGACAGAAATCAGAATACAAAGGAAGTTGTCCAAGGGAAAACAAGCCAAATCCTGTTGGTTCAGGAGTCTTTGCCTCTGAATGAACAGTGGAGTAGTAAGTTGGATCAAAGACATCTTGCAGACCCAGCCAGGGCTGTTCAAAACTGAATGTGTCTTCACCAAAAGAGTAGAAAAAAATCCATTGTGCTGAGCACTTAAGCAACCCTGAGTTTTAAGTAAATCAAAATAGTTCTTCCAGCCAGGATAATTCTCACAAGAAAATTAACAAAAAAAATGAGAAAAAATAACACTATGTACATCACCAAACAGCAACTTACTTGTTTTGAAAATCCAGAAGTTCGTTGTTAATTTTTTCAATATTCAAATCACTCCAAAGCATTTCATTGTATCCGTTGATGCTAGCAATAACTGAATTATAAAGACTGTAAAGTTTCTGAAGCAATGAAAGCTCACGTTTAATTTTGTGCAGTTCAGGATACTCTGTTTCAGATTTTAGAAGGTGAAAATCATTAATGTTAAGTACAACTATATACATGAACACAAAAATCCACATATTTCTAAAATGGATAATTAATTGTATGAAATCAGACTTGCAGTTTTTTAGTGTCTATAAAGGCAAACTTTTGTAGTTGCATTATGTAAGTACACCAGATTTTAAAGCACAGCAATTATTTAAATTGTTTTTCTTAATTTATATTCCTTCCAACTGTATAATATAATCTTACAAGGAAGGTACTGCACATACCTATATGGAGACAATGTTGAAAAAGTAGATGAAAAGGTAAAAGAACATACTGTGGTTTTATCCAAGAACTAAAATATCCCCCATCTCAGTTTGCACTATTTAATTAAGAGGAAGAGATTAAACGGGGGTGGGGGAGAGGAATTCTTTCAAAACAGATACTTGACATATGTTAGGCAATAGAAGTATTTAAAAAGATCTCCCCAACTGAAACATTTTGCTCCATTTCTATTGTATCTGTGGGGCTTTCTAGTTAAATATATCATGCTTCTGTCTTCAGACAAGAAAACACTGAATTCAGTATGTACAAATTGAAGTACTTATCACACTTTAATTCATATGGTAGCATCCAAAACTGGAAGTGTGCCTGATTAGGAATCATAAGAATATTATAGACAAGATGTACAATCCTAGTGAATTAATTATATATCCAAGGATGGGACAATCTGAATACTTCATCAACATATTCCCAAAAACTGGATATGAAGGAAAGCAGAGAGGAAATGTGTTTGACTCTAGACAGAAAAAGCAAGAAAGCTAAGCAGATAGACCCTTCCTGGGATGCATGGAACAGTGCATTTGTATGTGCAGGCTGACAGACACTGTTTCACATAACTCATAAGGAATACAACTATAATTTACTGCAAAGATTTTTTTTTTTTTTTTTTTTTTTTTTTTTTTTTTTTGTAATGAATTTGGCACTGAATCCATTACACAGGTCCCAAACAAAAAAATATTCACACACACATATATATATGTAAAAATAGCCTATTGAACCAGGTGTCTATATTCTCTGAGAAAGTACCTGTAACAGGAAGACCAAATAATTCTTCCCCACCAGAAAGAGAGATATACTTTGTCCACAGTTCATCAAATCTAGCTTGAAAGAGCTGTAATCTCTCACTTGCTTCATGGGGAGGAACATTTTCTTCACTGGGGCCTCTGCAAAAATAAAATAAAAAATGAAAAAACTGCAATAAGTACAAGTATCAGCCATGCAGGTTTCATGAAGAAGTGCAAGAGAACACAGGCATAATTTACTGGATAGTATTTAACATTTTCTAATGTTTTGGGTTGTTTTTTTTTCTAGAAATTTTTACAATAGTTACCAGAAGAGAAAATGCATGCCCACACAATATATTGAGTTTTATTTGAACACAATACATTTTGTAATAATATATATGCTCCAGCTTACCAATACATATAAAAAACAGCAAAAAGAGCTACAAATGTTTTGTTTTCCATTTCTTTCTCTTTCTTCTGTAAAACAAATTTATATTCTTAAAAAGGAAAAGATGGCAGGTACAGAACACACAACTGGCATGACTTCAAGCAGCGCATGCCCAGACTCAGACATTAATTTCCTTGTCAAAACACACAAAGAGTGTGTGTGTTATCACACATAATCACAACAGATCACCAAATTTTGGTCCCTTCCTTCTTTGTGCCACACTAGCTGCTAACACGGAAGTGTCCAATGAAGCACAGGTACTCCACGATTTAAATTTAAAAAGTCCAAGTAAACATTCCTGTAAAGAACAATCAGTGAACTTTGAAACATTAGGAATTGGAATCTCTGCTAACTTCCAAGGCACTATCTACATATTTAAATATATGCTTTAGTGCTTTGTTGTGTCTGGAACACCTTAAAGACTTCAAATTTGGATCTGTATTGAGAATCAACTCTAGCACTGAAATCATGCAAACTGATCTATGGCTGCGAGAATATCTTGTATTATTCTGAAATCTGGGTCTTTTTAATCAGTTCTCATATCAGCATTGATGCTGTGTTGTGTTTAACTCTTTCAATGCACCATTCTGAACAATCACTAATTAAGCATAATTGTACTGTACCACAGTTCACCTACTTTTCATTATAGTCTTTGCAAAATTCTGTAGTATCAGCCTGGAATCTCTGAACACCTCTCAGCAAATCTGTTTTCATGATTGGCTGTAACTTCAGTAGCAAATTCTCAACCTGCAGTGCCTAAATGCAGACAAAGAGAAAAAACAGGCATAAAAGAAAAGGAGAAAAACCACAGAATTTTCCAGTATTTCAACATAAATTGTCTGGCAATAATTGCTATAGCTGTTATTTGAGAAACAAACAATACACCAATGATACCAGTGTGTTTAGGTTCTTCCAAGCATAAGCCAATCCATCAACTCTTTCCATGTTTCCATCCTGAAAAAGCAGATTGTATCTCTGAAGCACAGAATAAGATTCTTCGATAGGTCCAACTGTCATGTCAATTTTAACTTCATTCTCTCGAATTTCCTTTAGTGCTTCCATTGCTCCCCGTACATCATCAAGGTCACGGATAGGCCTGCTTAATTTCTTGCTAAGATTTTCAATGAATGAATAAATTTCATCCATGTCTGCGGCAGATCTTTCATTCAAAGCTAATCCAAATGTTCTTTGTCTTGAGTGGCACTCCTGAATAAGGGCTATTTTCAATGACTCTGTCGCAATATCCACTGATTCCAGAACAAAGTGATTTGGCAGGTCTCTGATTTGCAGTTCTAATTGCTAAGAAAACACAAATGATCAACTTTTAATTTCACTACAATTATTTGAACAGTTCCTTCTTATGAAAGACATGATACTTACAGAAAAGTATCCAATTTGAGTCTGGAATTCAGCCACTGTTGGGATAGTCTCTATGAATTCCTTCACTTTTTCCTCTGGATCCTATATAAAAGTTTATTTTAATTATTACTTAGCACTGGTATTGCAATAATCTAGCCAAGACTCAGCTGTCTGATGTACTATGCAAACACAAATAATCCCTCTTAACAGAGTTCAAAGTATAAGCATTAAGCTCCAACTGTTTCACTTGATCTGCTTTTCCTGATTCTTATTCTTTTTACAGCACTCGTTATTAAAGCATTTGAAATCTATCCATAATTCAAATGCAGACACTGATGAGGATATCCCTTAGTCTCTGCAAAGGTAAAAGCTTCAGTGCCATCTGGGTCTCAATAAATGGGCTAAATAAAGGGTTCAATTACAGCAAAATTAATCTTCATCCAGCTCAGCGACGCTCACCTACAGTAACTACAAGTAATGCTTCCCAAAGAGCAGTCTCCTCATGAAACCCGCAAGAGCATTTAAAAGATTTCACAATACAGCTACATATTTCATTAAATATATATTTAACCTTATTCCAGATGCCTGAAAATTCAGAAAAGCTGTTCAGAAGATCCGATGCTCTAGCTTTGAGAGACAAAATAACTGTACTTAGTTGAATCACCACTTTGTTTACATCCTTATGCTCGACGATCTGCTTGTCTAAAGGTTTCAGTGCCAACATCCTGGTGAATTTATTCTCATCACCTAGCTCTATGGCAACAGATTGTTCAGCCTAGCATAATTAAACAAGAATAAACATATATACATTAGTTTTATTTTACATTATTGAATGCACAATAAGACACATACAGTGGGTACATCTATGAGTGGATAGAAAAGTGCAAAGGAAGAATCCACAAGGAGACTCCCTGCTTTTAGCTTTCATTTTTACAGAGCTATAGTTCTAGTGCTAATGATAATTTTTAAAAATTAATTGCCACGTGGAGTTCCTTGTTAACTACAGGTGTGCTGATTCCACCTCCTATACAAATGTTCAGGTATTCCTTTCTTTGGTAGAGGATCACAATCAGGCTGAGGGGGCAGGCGCTCTTCAGTCTAAAGAGACACTCTGGGAGAAACTTAAAACAGCTTTCCAAGACCTGAAGAGGGCCAACAGGAAAGTTGGGGTGGGACTTTTTATAAGGGCATATAGGGACAGGATGAGGGGAAATGGTTTTAAACTGAAAGAGGGGAGATCTAGACTAGATATCAGGAAGAAATTCTTTACTGTGAGGATGGTGAGACACTGGAACAGGTTGCCCAGAGAGGTTGTGGATCACCCCTCCCTGAAAGCATTGAAGGCTAGGCTGGATGGAGCTCTGAGCAACGTGGCCTAGAGGAAGGTGTTCTTGCCTACAGCAGGGGGTTGGAACTAAGTGATCTTAAAGGTCCCTTCCAACCCAAACCACTCTATGGTTCTGTGATCTCTATTCTTGGCCAAAAAAAAAAGTGTGGAAGGTAATCTCGTGTAGGCTACTTAGAAATAAGCAAGCAATTCCTGAAAGAACTTGTGTCAACTCACTCTCTTCTAGTTGCTTTTTATCATTTGCAGGACTCAAAAGGTTCTTTTAATGCAAATGAACTGATTTGTATTTGTTTTTTAATGTCAGATTGACAAAAGAAGAATTATTTTTTTTTAAGACACTTTTCAGTACAGACCCACATGTATTTCATTACCATAAGACAGAATTAATGCCATCTGATTACCATTACTGTCCATTTCTAAACATGAATAAATTTTATTATCTATTTGTATCTCAGACCTTCCCAAGGTTTTAGTGCTTATTTTAATACTGATAATACATACATATAGCAATTACTTTAACACTGTAGCCTTTGTATGTAGCCTGAAAGTTTAACTAACTTTTTGGCTGGGAAAACTAATAAGTTGTGTTAGTAGCACACTGTATAATGCTGGTTTTCATACATTGTCCACACTGTCATCATACTTTAACAGTATTTTAAAAATATTTTTATTAAAGCTATTGTTGATTTTAATAATAAAAAACTTCAACATTAGCTTTATTAATTGTTATTCTTTGCTCTTCTGTTCAATTACTTGATCTGGAGATTAAAAACTAGGCTTAAACTAGTAAGGAAACCTTCCAAATTACAAATCAATGTATTACTGTAGAATACATTCATATGAAATTGAGAAATGTTAACCAAAATATTGAAATTTTAAAATAATAAAATAAAACACTCACCTGCTGCTGCTTATGATGTAAGTAAGCAAATTTCCAGAGTGGGATATCTTTGGCTATTGATAATATTATATTTACTGCTTTGTTTACAGCACTCTGAAAATAACAAAACATCTACTTTGAGCACACAGAGAGATCAGAACAAGTGTGTGGGGGGGAAAGGGGAGGAGGAAGGAATGAAGGAAAAAAACAGATCCTCTGAACAATACCAAAATGGAAAAGTTGTACCTCTATCTTTATCAGAACTGTTCTAATAAGCATGGAGTAGAATCATGCAAAATAGATTTTGTTAGAGGAAAGAGTACCCCATAAAGCTTTGTCAGTCAGACATTCTATTTTTATGTGCTCTTCAAACAAGAATATAGGAGAGAAAGAGAGATCTATGAGCTTCTGAGGAATCATAAATTAAGTATTATTTCACTTTACATTGGTTATAAATATAAAATAATATTAATACTATATTTCACATTCACATCAGAATGTCTGAATAAATTTGTCTGAATTTATACAGGCAGCTATATAAATTATCATATAACTTTTCTACCTATGGTATTTAAAAATTACACTTTATGGTGTGATTTCTTACTGACAATATCAAAAGGCTGCAAATGAAATCTGAGAAAGAATTCAGCAACTGATTTTGATGGCGACAATTCCAGCTGAAAAATCTTCAAGTTAACCACATAAACAACTAATACTTTTCAAATAACTTCAGAGATCATAGCAGATGGTAAATACAAACGTAAGAATTTAGCTGAATTAGTGTAGGTAAGCTTAAATATTTAAACTCTTTAAACTCTTCCACAGTTCAGGGCTCCAGGCTTTTAATATTTCTCTTTGTATTTCACTACTGCACAAATCTGATTACTGAATATTTCAAAACAATCATGTCTTCTTAAACTCTGAAAGTGTTTAAGGAGATAAGGAAGTCAAATCAATGTATCAAGGGCATTCTATTTTTTTTCTTGCACTTGCTTTGAAAACAATCGTAGTGGACTGTGAACAGGAGTTGATAAGCTTGTAGGAAAATGGTTGATTCTACTGCATAACAAACCTAACTCGTGGTTTTGTTCTTAGCATCCAGTGATGTCATATGAACTCAAGTGACTTCTAATCTTTTCTTCCACTTCCTTTATTGCTAATACCAGATTAAACTTGCAAATCTGGTTTTAAAATAATGCATTAATACATATTTTTAACAAAAATGACTGAGACATGCAGTTATTCAGTTACCTGAATATCTTCGAGACTTGGTCGCAAGACAACATTAGGAATAGCCAGCTGAAAATCAGTTTTGAACAAAGGAATTCTCTTTGTTTCTACAGACCTGATCATCTGATACCTAGAGTCAACAACACGCAATTGATGTCTCAAGGACTCTAAGGAAATCTTCGTGCCTAAATAAATGCAATATTTATGTTATATTTTTTACCACAATAAACCTGCAATAAAATCTTCAAATGATATTAAAAAACTAAACAAATCTGAAAACAAAAGACTCACATCTGACTAAAGAATCAGTATTCCTCTGGCAAAGCTGTCCCATGAGATAATAACAACAACAAGACATGCATTCTTGGCAGCGTGTTTTCTGTTTCATGTCAAGATGCGTACAGGAGTATGAATCCTGAAGAGTTAAAGGGAAACTCTTAGACAAGTAATGGTATTATCCACTGTACAAGTGAAATATCAAGTTTCTGACTACATTATAGCAGGTTACTTTTAATACTGTAGAGGCCTTACCTCCAGAGTTCTTCCAGTATTTGCTTTCAGCCTGTGCATAAGAGTGTCTACCAGTTCATACACAGAGCATTCCACTTGCTGACTCTGTCTGCAAAAACAACCTTAGAGTCATCCACATCAAGTCAAACATAAGGAATAATTTTTAACTTGTTTATAGACGCATTCTCAGCTCCATTGCACTCTGAAGTGCCGAATGTGCAGGGAGACACCCTTCTACTTTTCCCTTTGCTCCTACTGCTTAGACACACATAGAATGTAAGGCATTAAGATATGCAGACCATCGGGAAACGCATTCATCAGACTCTCATATCTTATTCAACTGGACTTCATAATAATCAAAGAAAAATAAGTTCTTTTTCTGGCTGTAGTTAAGAAAGAAAAAGCAGGCTTATCAAGACAATTCAGTAAGAAAATGTTAGTTATCTTCTTGACCTATTTTCTAGCTCTGAAATCAAAAATAGTAAAAAAATAAATACAAAGCCAGTATCATGTTTTGCAAAATGCACATAGACATTTTTTTGAGAAGAACAGAGCAATTACTCTTCTATATCCTGGAAAATAAGCATAAACTAAAAGATTTTCAGCTCTGGGTAAATTAGAAGTCTTACATTACTGAGCTAGCATTAAGAATCAAGCAGTTAGCACTGAGGTGACTTTTCAAGTTTAATCCAGTTCCATTTTCCTTGCTATTCAGTAGAATGCCATAAGAAAAAAAAACACAAAATGCTAAATACTGTAAATGCAATTTTAATATGCTGTATTCAAGTTACTTGGGAGTTCCTGCTCTGTAATCTGAGACTATCATTTTGCTTTTCACTAGTAGTCAGTAACAGTAAGAATATTTTTTTTTAGAAGTACATTCTCTGTGCATAAAAAGTAATACATAAATATTTGCTCCCAAATTGAGCCTTCAAATCTATGCAATAATACACCTACTGAGAAAGTTTGCGAGCAGTAGAGACAGCAAGATTTTCTGTCTGTTCCAAGAATGTAGATACATCTATAGGTTCATCTTCTGGTAAAATTATCAGAGCAGTGTTTGACATATCCTCCAGAACTCTTTCAATTCTGCACTCCAGGGTATCAGCAGCTTCTTTGACTATAAAGTCCAATTCCCTCATGGTACTATAGACATTCTCAATAACTAAGCAAAGAAAACAGAATGAAAACAAATCATGTGAAATACAAAGCAAAGAAAACAGAATGAAAACAAATCATGTGAAATACAAACCTCTTAAATCTCCCCAACCTGCCCCAAATTATTACAATTAAATGATGATTTAACAACAATGGAATATGGAATTAAGGCACGAAACCAAAGCATGATGGACTTCCTGTCCTTTGGAGTCTTTAAATGAAACCATTTTACAATAAGTAACAGAAGAATCTTCGAAGTATTTCTTCTCTATTAATACTGGAATGAGTAGGATTAACAAAAATCATTGGAAAAAAAGAGAGGAACAAACGTACTAAAAATATTCTGGTTCTCCTAAGAACCTACAGTGTGAAAGTCAGCATTGTGGATTGAGCAACTAAAATTCCTCAAGACTGCACAGAGGTTAAACCACTAGATTTTTTCTTTCTTGTATATGACCTAATTTAATTTGGAAAGAGACAAAGCCAGTCCCTTAGCAGATGTGTTTACTAAGCTGAGTAAAAATGATTGTTTCTGAATAGAGTGGATAAATTCTTTTGCTGTCTTTTATACTTTATATAAAAAGAAAGAAATAACTCATCTGGCACATTTTGGTTATTAGCAGACAGTATAATTTGAATTATCAGTACTTTGTCTAACTGTTGAATGTTTAAAATAGAAGATACCATTTATTGCTATTAGGAGGTTAATGATTGAATCTTGTCTTTTTTATTGACTAGAATGAACGAATAATCCAACCAATTCCCTAGACACTTTTCCTTTTTTAATACATAAATTAGGTACTTCTAAATCCATTTATTTCTCATTTTCTAAGTTTTAGTCTAGAAGGCTACCACAGGCCCTTGTGCTTTCAAACAGAGGAAAACCTTGTCTTTCTTTTTTTTGTTTTCCAGTCAGGTAAAGATCAATAATTGGCTAAAAGGTGGCCAGCTCTGCCTTAAGAAATGGCCAGAGCCCTTTGCACTAATGTCACATGGAACAGTCACAAATGTTGCACAAACCCACGCCCACATCTGTTCTTGTTTATCTTGCTTTTCATTTTGAAGAAAAAAGTGGGAGCCCAACACCAGTTTGGATCAAGTGAGAACAGATTTAGAAGCATGAGCTACTGTTTTCTCACAGAATCAAACTACAAAATTCTTGCTAAGAGCTTTACGTATGTCATTTCAATGACACTATTATAGAGTTAACTTTTTGCTGTACTTCATGAGGATAACATTCTGTCCTAATAGCTGTGTTGGGAAAAGTCCATGCATAGTTCAGAATTTTTAAAGTTTTCTTAGAAAAAAATAGAATTAGAAATAGAAATAGAAAAAATAGAATAGAAATCTGTCCCTTACTCTTTTCAACTTTGAATTTGTCATGTCTATTTCAAGATATTCAGAAAGGTCAGTTAAAAAGACCTTTCTATAGAAAAGTTAAGAGACATTATTACAGCACCAAATGTTTGTTCTCTTATCTCTCACTCTTGTATCATTCAGGGTACAGTTATCTACCTACAGCAAAGAGGTCAGTCCACAAACCATTTTTTTCACAGAGAAATAAAAACAGAATGCAGGCATAAGAAGAGTTCTACATTTTTTCCTTATGTGGACACTTAACTTGGAAACAGATCAGAGAGATACTGATAGGGGAAAAAGTAAAAATGCACAATAATTTAAGAAGCGTGATGTGACAGTTTAAAATCAGTAAATGAAAAGGTATGTAATTCAGAAACACAATGCAACACAAGCCCTAATAATATGATGTAATGTTACTCACTCAAGTTTGCAAGACAGCTAGAGAGTTGAGGCTTTACAGACCCTCCCATCAAAACATTACCACCAAACAATATTATCAACAGCTTACCACTACTTCTCTTCCTACATACATTTATTGATATTTAAAGAAGTCCAGGACAGCTGTGTCATGCCTGGAGCAAGGGCATCCTCAACTTGTTCTATGAATGGCTTCATTAGTGGTTTCAGCACAACAGGAATTCTATTCAGATGCTCTTTGTAATTGATCAATAGATTCTCGAGACTGTAAGACATGGTCGTGTTTAGAATGTGTTTATTTCAGATATAAGAAACAGACAGAAATTTGGTCACATTTTCTATTAATAAGAGTTGCAAGTCCTGATCCCATGTTAAAAATTAAAGTTCCTCCCAGTTCTAACAAGGTCTCTTTCTCCTCCCAAACACTGGAACCAGACTGGAGAAATAATTATTTCCAGGGAGCTATCTATTTAGGGCTACTTTCTTCCAAGGAAAATGCATTACAGACAAAAATAAGGAAATTGAAAACACTATTTTTCTTCCCTTCCTCATATATCCCCCCAAAAAAAAGAAAAGAAAAAAAGAAGAAAAAAAAAAGAAAAAGAAAAAGCCTGTATGAAAAGACACTACTTATAAGGAAATCTAGATTCATAGTACTCAGGGCACAAAATGCCAAAGGAGCCAAATTCGGAATCCATATTTTTATGAAAATGGAGCTCCATAACCAAGCTCCATAAAAAAGAACTGGAAGTCAATGCAGCTCAGAAGTCAAAGATACAAAACAGATTATTTACAAGAGCTGCTGCAGAAAAATGATAACTGTGCTCTATGCCAGATTAAAACCATAACACTAAATATTGTTACAAACAGTGTACTGAGAGAGTCTATTCACAGAATGCAGAGTATTTTTCCAATGTTACTTAAGGCAAAATTAGTGTCTGAATATTCCTTCTTTGCTTAGGGAGTTGGTCTGAAATCTCTTTCACAATAGAAAATAAATTTGGATTTTCTTTTATTGCAAACACTTTCTGTACATTTTTGTTTCCCTTGGATGGCAAATATTAAAACTATTGCTTTTCAGAAGACTGAAGCACATAGAGTTTGATTTGCATGTTAGAAATTTTAGGTTTGTTCTGAAACACTCCATGGATAATTCATGAAAAATGTGTCATTTCAAGAGTGAAAGACTGAAAATTTTAACAGTAGAAAGGAGGGCTGAGAGGATTTCAATTCAGTTATGAAAATCTTTGAACTTTGTCCTTTTCTGTCCACTTCTTTATAAAAACTACTTTAAGTACACTCCTTACAAAAAGGACTCTTTTTAGACCTATCACCCTTACTTAAAGAACTAATAATCAGGATCCCAAAGAACTGAAAAGAACTCCTACAGCACAAAATTTAGCTGTTACAATGACAAAAGAAACTATTTAAAAACAACATAGGTTATTTCAGATATTTAGCATGAGAGAAAAAAAAAACATGAATATTTGCATATAATAACTTAGTTGATGTATTACCCATACCAACATTTGGGTTGTGTCTCAATCAAGTGATAAATTCCAACTTAATATCAAAAGCATTATTCTGTTACAAAAGTAAATGTGATACTTTGGAATGCAACCCATATGTTATAGTGTGGAGAGATGCCTTAGTACCTAGAAATTCCACTTACAGAGTAGCTGTTATAGTAACAAAATAAAAGCATGTAGACATTATCTAGCTACAGTAATTTTGTGGAGAGAGGAATAATTGCATATTAACAGTTCTACTATGGAATGGCAGGGGAAAAGAATAAAATTTCAGTTAAATTCCATCACAGTGAAAAGTTACAACAAATCAGAAGTACATACAACAGACTCAAAGCTAAGGATTCCTATCTGCAGATGAGAATCACATCCAGAAAGTGTTCACTCACTCCATTTGATGTTTTTTAATCTGTTCTTCGTCTGCACACAAGCTGAGGACAACATCTGGAACGTTAAAATGCATTTTTTTCAGGTACTTTGTTTCATAAAGTACTTCCAGGACCACTGGATCCAAGTTTACAACCAATTCCTTCATATAGTGGTAGTGGGGAGAAAAGGGGCAGGGAGAGAAAATAATAAAGCAGTATTTTAGTAGTTTAGTGATTACATGCAGTATGTTACATCTGGAAGATATGGCAAGATATAGAGGACTAGTCAAAATTTTTTAAATTGATCCCTATGTTGCAATTTCTACAAAGAACTCCAGGCTCCTGTACAAGTATTTTTCCAGATTTTCCAGAATATTAATCATCCAATAGCTTCCACTGATTTCATTTTCCCATGATTTCCTCACTGGCCCTAAACCCTTGGCTGCTGTGACTTCCCAAGTCTGATTCTAGTTCTGCACCTGTCTCTGTGAAAGCTGATTTGCCTTCTCATCTCAGTTTCTCCATATGTAGACTGCAGAGAAATGTTGTGTCTCTGTTTAGCCTCTGTATGTTTCTTAGGGCATAAAATGCTAATAAGGTGATGAATTAAGCTGAAAATCAGGTTCTAGCTTTCCATTATGGAATCAGTAATTCAAAAAATGTCCATTTTAACTGTAATTTCTCTGCAGTACAGCAGAGTAAGTCAATTTTAAAGAATGGTAGGATTTTCTGTCTCAGCTAGCAATATTGAAAGCAAATTAGTGACTGCAATATAGGCAACACATTGATGTTGAACACTATAGAAAAGCCTACAATCTAATTAAAAACTCTTTGTTTGACTAATATTTTGGTTAACAAAGAAAAAAATACATGAAATAATACATTAAAAGATGTAGACAAATCTATACTGAGCATGTGTTTGCTGGGCACTGCCTCTTACATGTCCTGAATAAGGCAAGGGGCTTATGAAGAAGAGAGATGATTATGTCTGTATCGTAGCATAAAAAGGAAAAAAATACAGTTTCATCAATTAAAGTAGTTCATTTTCTATCCTTATTAAGATTACATTAATACTGTGCTTGTCTTTGCATGACATGAGTGAAGTATCATAGGTAATACTAAACAGCGCAGCAGTAATACAAAATAAATCCTACTTACTTTGGTTTCTGGGTGCCTGACAAGTAAGAAAGCATGCAGAGCATTTCTAGCCTGGTCAGCAAACCTGCACCAGGCTCTATAATAAATAAGTTCAAATTCCAAAAGAACCGCAGCCATTTTATTGTAGTTCTTAGCAACCTTTTTCATTTCCAATGTCTGCAAATAAAATAAAATAAAAAAAATAAAAAATAACAAAATTAGAAAAGCCAACACCATTTAATCAATTTGATGAGCCTAACATAATAGAAACGTCCTCCAGTAAGGTTTTCCTCACTACCATTAGGAAAACAAAACAAAGTTTCATGTTACACAATTTAAGAGAGGGTAAAACAAAGAACAAAAGAACAACCTCATCTAGAGTACTGCATCCAGATGTGGAGACCTCAGCATAGGTGAAACACAGACCTGTTGTAGCACATCCAGAGGAGGGCCACAGAAATGATCTGATGGATAGAATACCTACCTAGAAGGAAGGGCTGAGAGAGCTGGGGCTGTTCAGCCTGAGGAAGAGAAGGCTCCAGGGAGACCTGAGAGCAGCCTTTCAGTATCTAAACAGGGCTGTAAGAAGGAAGGGGACAGACTCTTTAGCAGAGTCTGTTGTGGTAGGATAAGGGGAAATGGTTTCAAATCAAATGAGGGGAGATTTAGACTGGGTACAAGGAAAACATTTTTTACAGTAAGGGTGGTGAGGTACTGGAACAGGTTGACCAGGAAGGTGGTGGAAGTCACATCCCTGCAGACACTCAATGTCAGGCTGGACCAGGACCTAAGCAGTCTGATTGAGCTGTAGATGCCCTTGCATCTACAGCAGGACTAGATGACTTTTAAAGGTCTCAGAGTTCAAGCAGCATTTAGACAGTGCTCTCAGACATAGGATTTGAATTTGAGGTGGTCCTGTGGGGAGCCAGGAGTTGGGCTTAATAATCCTTGTGGGTCTCATTCAACTCAGGAAATTCTATGGTTATGTGAAGCATTCGAAGTTTAATATCTCAGTCCTCTACATTGTAAAGCACTGCATTGAGAAGGCTCTAAGCATAGGTCCATGGCCAACAATGGTGTGATGAGGAATAACACAAGTCCCAGTAGGGACAAAAGAATTTGCAGAAGTCATCAGCTTAACATCTCAAGGGAAGTAACTGTCCTGAGCCACAGAATAACAATGTTGCAAAAAGAAATTGAGATCCTGGAGCAAATAATAATACTATCCAGTTAGATAAGCTTGAATAGAATTGTTAGAAAAGTGAACTTAGGAAAAAAATAATTTCTGTCTGTTAATAATTTGGATTAGAATTTAGCATAAACCATCCTCTGCTCATTTCCAACCTTCAGAAGTGTAGTTTTCTTTTTAAAGAATCTCATTGGATGGTCAATTTTTCTGTACAACTGCTGGGCCCACATAATCTTCCCTGTTACCTAAAATACAAAACAGATGAAGCTATATTTCCATTAACTTAAAAAGCCAAGACAAAAAGATCTTTCTCTCTCTCTCATTTATTTCATTCTTACTGGTGGTATATTACGTGGTATAGGTGGATTTTCTTTTTGCTCCTGGTAGAGTTTTTGCACAAAGTCTAAGTCTTGACTGTATTGCTGAAGGACAACGGTATACTTCTCATTAAGATCAATTTGATTTTCTCCTATTTGTTCAAGCTTCATCAGAAGTCTCAGCATCTGTTCAGTCTAAAAAGGAAGAGGGAATACTGCAAAAAATGTTCATAGTTTAGACAGTCATGGTTCATAAAGCCTGGTTATTTCTATTTATAACATAAGTTATATAAATTTGTAAGCAATTTTCTAAGAAGCAAGAAAATGCTTCCAGACAAATTAGTGAACTTCAATATTTTGTGCTGTCCAAAATATACTTACCATAGACTTAAAAAAGAAACTTCCACCACCACGGAATGTTGCACACTTACTTTGTTCTGACCCTCCAAACCTTACTCTTTTTTTTTCTGTAAATAGTTGTAGTGGAACACCTACCCTGCATTATTCTCCAGTAAGTGAATACCTAAGAGTTTAAGAAACGGAATTTTGCATCGAACTCGCCTGTTCTGACTAGTGTTATATATCTGCATACATAAATACGGGCAACCTATGAAAGACCTTCCAGCCTGAAGTCTTACATCTGATGAGGCAACGAACTGAGGTCTTCCCTCTGCACTTTCAACTTCTCTTTCATTTCTATACTGACATACAACAAAAGAGGATCAGTAGCTTGGCTTTACCTCTGATTTGTCCAGCAGTAGGAGACAGGGCTGCAGTAGAAGAGCTGCTGAATTCTACCACCAAACCGCATGTACTGTTTAATTATCTACAACAATCCTACCACAAAGCTTGGAAATTCTGACAAACATGAGTTGTTTCCTTTCACTGGCCTCAAGAAAATTATGTTGTATGACCCTATAACAGCTTTTTGGTTTTGCTTTTTTTTTTTTTTTTAAAGGAGAAAAGCAGATACCTATTCTTTGGGAGGAAAGAGGGAAATCACCACAGAAGTGAACATTACTAATGGACTTCTGCAAGTGAGTATACAGAACACAGGACAAGGAACACTGAAAGAGAGCAGAGTAAGAAAGAAACAGAAAGTCAGTCCAAAGATAATGGAAGAAGATAGAGCCACATAAATATGACAGTCCAAAACACAGTGAGAGAAAGAAGGACCTATCCTAGTGTGTCAATATCAATATCAGGGTGGAAGAGGGATGGAGAATACTAGATTGAGGAAAGAAAATAAACCAGAAAGAAAAAATAGGGCTATATAGAGTTAGTAAGGAAAGATGGTACATGCAACTAGCAGTAACTATTAACGAATGTTAACTTTCAGCACTTTTAAACATATTCTGACAGTAGCTTGTAGTAGGCTTATCTTGGACAGTAGGCTTATCTTGTAGTTGTCCTTATCTTGGACAGCCCCAGTACAGCACAAAGCAATACCAATAAAAATGGAGTACAACAGGAATTATGGATATTCAGCCTTTCTGAACACCAGAACAGGAGCTTGCATTTGTAAAATTACTTTTGTAAAATTACTTACAGTTACAGTCTTCTCGAAACAGGAATCCACAAATTCTTGTATGGACTCATACAGTGTTGCAATTTGGTTCTTAAACTCAAGGTAATCTTTATCAAACTAGAAAATTGTAAAAGGAAAAAAAAAATATTAAACTGTACTGTTGCTTTTACTTTATGCAATTTTTTTTACATAAGGTTTCTTGGAAATTTGCATTATCTGCCTAGCATATAAGTTAGAGAACAGAGATGAGACCAATAATGAAGGCGTAAAAAGTCTAAGCAAAGCAAACAAAAAGTTAAGAATTATTAGGCTATATAATTACAGCCCCATCTTTATAAACACAGTGGACTGCAGAGGAAAAAGGACAGGCAGAGAAAAGCTAACAACCTCATCAGAGAGAACATGGTACACTTAATCAGCTCCCTATATGGGTATGAAACTCATCAAGATTAGCAAACTGGGTGGCCTCTCTAGAGCACTTTACAGATTATGGTGGGTTATTATTATAAGAAAGTCAGAAGTCCTCTGGACTTAAAAGATTTAAGCACACTTGCAAGCAATAGTTCAGGAAGGCAGGAGAGCAAGTCAACATTTCTAGCACTTCTATTGAGAGGCTGTCGATCCAATAAAGCAAGTGAGCTACATTTCCAAAAAAGTAGCTCAATTCTAGGATATGCAGTATGTATTTAAATCTGAATTTGAGTCTGAAGCTCTTCAAAAATCACTTTAGTTTTCATCCACATGACTCAGTACTGGAGATGATGTCATTCATTTCTCCTTCTGAAACAGTCATTATTTGGTATTGATACTGCCTTTATTATTCCATTAAGTAACACTGAGTAACCCTTGCACTTGCTAAACTGAATTTAATGCACCGACTTGTCTAAATTAGTTTTCAGTCTGCAGTTCAAAATATATCTATCTCAGAAACAAACAAGTTTAGGAAATGTAGTTTGCACCATTACTTATCACACAAAATCTAGCTTATCAAAAAAATAAAAAAGTATATGAAATAAAAAGCAAAATACACCCAAATTATTTCAAACTGCATTAAACTATGGAAAAATATTATTACTGCAACAAAATGCTATAATCATAGTTATAAAATGTGATCTTCCCTGCATAACTTCAATGAATAGCACAGGATTAAGGGATTGATCATCAGACAAGCGTTGAGTGCATGTACCTCTTTTTTTCTGTGATCCAGAACATCATACTCTTTTGATTTGGTATTTGTAGCAATGGTCTGGAAGTGAGTATTGATCTCTTCAATTCCTTCTATTTTTATGCACTGGAGCTCTAGTAGGCTTTCCATAATATTGCTCATATCTGAAATCTTCTCCAAACGTTTACAGAATGTGTCGAATTTTCCAAAAATATAGTTTTCACTGATGAACAAGAAGCAACAGGATTATTATGTATATCTATTTGTATCTTTTTTTCCTATTCTTATCTCCTATATTCTTCCAGAACTAATATCAAGTTCACCATTAAAGCACTGATGCTGCAATAATTACAAATCAAGTAAAAACCATTTTGAAATAATGAATACAACACAGAAAATGCTTAATTCTCATATCTGTCAAATAAAACCTCTTCCATATTTCACAGGAGCTATTCTTGAAACAAAAACATGCAAAAAGAGATAAGAATATGAATGTACAATACACTAAGGCACGTTCCATGGTTGAAGTACCAATACAGGTAAAATTCCCCCTTGGCATTGTGATTGACAACCCAGACCAATGCTGACTAAATATAACTAGAGTCTTTTCATTTGATTCACGGCTCAATGCATTAATCCAGCACATGCATAAATTCCCTGAGATCCTTTAAACATCTGTTAAATCAACAAGCAACTGGCAAAAACATGTGATTGCTTATATCTTGGGGAAAAAAAGAAAAAAAAAACATAACTCCACAAGTTTTGTTCTGAGTATAATAAAGATTATATTTTAATTCAGCATTCAACTTCTCAGGAAGCCAGGAGATATGACACCTCATTTATAAATCTTATAAGGGAATGTGATTCAATATTAGAGTAAATTGCTTACCTGAAATCAAACTGCCTGTCACTTGGATTTTCCTTTAGCTTCTCCCTAGTGCTCTGAAACGATATTTGGTACTGTTCTTTCAGGAAAATGCATTGCTGTATCCTCTTCAGCAATTCTTCCCTGGACAAAAAAAAACCCAAAACAAAAACAAACAAACAAAAAAAAACCCCACAAAAGATAAAATCGTCGTGAGGGAGCTGTACAGGAGCATAAATTAAAACAGAATATTTCAGTCAGGTGGCAAAATAAGAATACAAAATTATAAATACTTAATTGATTGTAGACAATTTCTGAAAACTGCCCTTTACCCACAATAAAATACAAAAGGAATCCAAATATTTTCTGTCAGATTTATTTTTTGTCTCCCAGCCTGTTACCTTAGTGTCTTCTTTGAGTTGGTTACACAACTACATACATCTTGACTACCTATGCATTGATGAAGTTTGTAGCATCTCTTTCTTCTCACCTCAGTAACCATAATCTTGATTGAGTTTTCAAGAGATAGTTTTAATCATCACTTTTCCAGCTGCTAACTTGAGATGTCATGTTCATTTTTACCCTCCTCTGTGGTTTAATACATGCTTAATATTTGCTCTAATGCATGGGTGTTTGCTATACCAATAGTTCTACCTACCACAACAGAAAGGAAGTACAAAATTAGTCTCAGAACATGTCTAAATAGCAAGCTTATTGTATATCTATCTTTTTAAATTTAAGGTGCCTCTTTGGCAACATTAATACTCCTCATGTTCTTGTACATGTAGCACCATCCATAGATACATAGTAAATACAAGTCTGAATGACATTCTGTCACCCACATACCTCAGTCCAGAGTACAGCTGAATTGTAATTAAGATCCTAGTATATATTGTACCCTTTCTCAAAATGACTTTACTGTTCACAGAAGGCAAAACATAAATCTCAGATGGAACTTTGTCAGTCTGTCCTTGGAGTTTATTTCTGAAGAATCTCAGCTCCAAGTTCTAACAGCTAAAGTATGTTTTGGTCGAAAAAATCCACCAGCACAATATATTGAGTATTGTATACTGATATACATTACATGCCTTTCAGCAACACATTTTTCATAACACATAGTAAGTATGATTTGGCAGAATAGTTAATTCTACATAAAATGAGTAGTCACAAATTTAAAATTAACATGGGAATGAGGGCCTAGTAGGAGAACCAGCAGCTATAAAATTTACCTTTAATAATTTTGATGCCTCATCTGTGATTTTACTTCTAATTTTAACAAAAGAAGATGAAATTATTAAAACTGTCACCTGTCCAGATCCCAGATTTTAGAAACACCTTCACGTAGATACGCCTTGCACATGTTAATCATTTGATTAGTGATTTTAAGAAGAAGAGATGTCATGCACTCTGATGTGTTGTAGTGCGGTGATGTACAGTAGATCATACAGACTGCATTCATTAAACTGGGTATGTGTTCCACCACTGTAACCTATATCAGGAAAAAATGAGAAAGTCAATAATTCAAATTTCCTAAAAACATAACCTATAATGTCATCACTCTGGGAATACTTTTCTCAGTAATAAACATCTTTTTGATTGTTTTTGTAGACATCAGTATGAATTGAAACATGTAAGTCACACATAGAAACTTAACGTACTCTGTCCAACAGAAAAGAGTGGGGAATTGGCTAAGCATAAATGAACAGGCTTTCTTCCAGAGCTGGATTTTCCAGAGGAAAAACAGAGGCTGCGCTCTTTTTGAATATGATCTGCAGTATGTGAAGGCATTGTAGTCTGATTTGCAAAAAGTAAGCTACCTGAGGAAAAAAGGTGTATGCTGGTACAAAAAAGTTAGCCTGCTGAAGGAAGTTCAAGAAGAAAGCTGGTCTTTGCTCATTTTGCCTACACCCGAAAATAAAGAAATCTGGAAGGAGAAGGAAAGTCGATAGTCTGTATTTTCCTGAGCATACTGGACCATAGAGTTCTCTGTTCCACAGAAAGATTCCACAGAAAATCAGCGAGTCAGATATATTAAGAACCCATCACAAGAGATAATGACTGCCCTAAAACAAGATAAAAGATTACTGCATCTAAAAGTCAAATCCAGTATGGTGAAACAGTGACTATCTGCAGAATAACAGCAGTAGAAAACATGAACTATTGCTTATTTTCTCACACCTTTCAGTTATCTTCTGAAATGACAACTTGCTGCACAAAAAAACTAATATTACTTCTGGCTTATTCAAAATTTCTTAATTCACAAATGCCATAGAAGTAAAGTTCTCTACTACCCATTTAGCATAAGAGTTAAATATTGAACAAAAAGATATCTGTCTTTCATTGGCAAAAGCCCTTTCTTGTCTAAATTTCATGTTAACTGTTTTTATTTAGAGTACTACTTACAGGAGAAGCTTTGGCCAGTAGAGCAAAAAATTTATCCAATGTATACAGATATCTTACATTGTCTTTAGCTTCATTGGCAGCAATCGTTATACTACTATCCTGAAGGGGGAAAAAAAAAAAAGAAGAAAAGAATACTAGTAAAATTTAGAGAAGAGGTTCTTGTACTTTTACAGTCCATGCTGCAATTCCAAAACTTGATGGAAGCACAATAGCATAGCTTTGATAATCCAATTTAATTTTCAGAATTGTTTAGAATGATTTTAACGTGGTACTACTGTTTTTTAAATTACCAGTTCCACAGAACTAAAAACTGACAAGTTCCCTAGAATATATCAGGGTGTTTCCATCTCAAGCATCTCTTTTTAATAAGCACTTGTTAGGGCAAATGAGACATGACTATTTTCCTAAACTATTTCCGAAACAGGGGAATACTTTTATAAGTGGTAGAAGATCTACATTCTGGCATTTTCAGGTGTCAAATTGCATGTACACTGCTTACAGGTTTTTTTCTGGCCTGTCTACAGTTCTGACTGCTAATTTTAGATAACAGATATCCACTCCACTGAAGAAGTAGTTATGCTACAAGAAGCAGCCAGTTTTCAATAATTCTAGAAACAATATGATGAACTTTCAGACATCACAACTGTTGAACTGTATAGGGTACAGCTGGAGAGACAAAATATTGAATTTCTCTGTTGTTTTACTTTTGCACCATTCAACCCAGTATCTTTAAGACTGACTTCCTTTCAAGTTATCTATTTAACTTCAGGATCACTGGTGTTACATATTTCAACAAAGGGAGAATAAACCACGGTATAAAAAGAGCATAAAAAGAGCCACAACTATTCTTAGCATTGTGTGCTCATTTCTGTGTGTATAACAAATGCAGTACTAAATTAGTTTTAAAAAACTTTTATTAAAACATAGTAATTACCAACTCTTTCCACTGCTTTAATGTCTTCGATCTTGCAGCCTGAAGAATACTTAAAGTTTTCTTTACTCTTGAACTCTTTATGTCATCTAAAAGGCTTTGAAGAAGGAAACACACTTAAATCTCTGTTGGAATCAGAGTTTACATTTATTTATAATAAAAAAATAAAAAAAGAAAGCTTCTTTCTTAACCTATTAAATAATGACATTCTTGACTTCCAATGTTCCAGCTCTGCAGATGGACCAATGTCATCAGCTTCCCTTCTCATTTGCTCACTCTCCACTAACACTTGTCTGATCTGTTTGATCCAAATCATTAACACCTCTTCAAGTTTCTCAGTGATCTCTGTGTTACTTCCTTCAAAATCAAAAAAGAACACAGTCTCATGAGTACCAAAAAGTCTTAAATTACGTTTTTAACTACAGAGATGAAATGTTTTTGGCAAATTTATACTAAGACTCCATGCAAACTGAGTATATTCAAATCACTGCCAGCAACAGGAAAAGATTAAGATTATAACAAGATGCACATGTATATGTCTTACCTCTTAAGAGCCAACAGTTCTCTTCTGGAAGTTGTTCTACCTAGGCTAATACAGGGCAGAAGTATTGAGTAGTTTGGTATGACTTCACTCTGAAATTCCTTGCAGTGATAAGAAATGGTGGAAGGCTACTGTTCAAAGAGATATAACCACCCATTTTCTCACATATTTATATATACGTGTGTGTGTGTGTGTGTGTGTCCTTTTTTTACTCACAGTCTTTGGATTTAATATTGGATAAGATTTCCCTAGTGTCAAAGAAAGCAAAGAATATACACAAGTCTTCACTTGGCAATTGCTTAGCTAGCAAACCAGGAAGAACGGAGGCCAGTCTCTACGTGATCCGGCAAGGAACTTCCTAATAAAGATAAATGAGCTAAAGGACAGAATTGATGATTTGATGATTAGACAGTTTTAAATCTGACAAGAATTAACAGAAAAATGTATATAGGTCATGGAAGCTGAATTAATTCTTCAAAATAAAATTTTAATAATGACATAACATTTATTTTCTTAGGAATAGCAGCACTATCCAAGTGTTTGCTTTGCTGTAGGAATTACTTACCTGCAGTTATGTAGTCAGACGGGTTCTGTAAATTACTGACATAAGTATCAATATCCACTTCTGCAAGCTGAATTCTATCTTCCAGATTCTGTCTTGATGATGACAAGGTGTCCACAAATCTATCGACGGAATATAGAAAATCTTGTATCTGGCTGTTCTTCAGACCTTCTTTCACAGCTCCCCAGTGCTAGTTGTTTAACAATTAATGAAAGAAAAAGAAAAGAAAAAAAGTAATCATGCATTCCTATGTTCCTTAAATTATTTATTTATTAGAAAGCTATTTCTTATTTATGGCAGTATATTAAGGTTTATCAGTAAACCTCTCTAAATGTGCTCATCAGTACTATGGCATAAACATTTCAAAGTGTGCACTGATTTAGTTATTCTGTTACATAACATCTATAGTAGGATGGAATCATTTTCTTCAGAGTGTCTGGTATGATGTTATGTTTCGGTTTTAGGAGAAAAACAGTGTTGATAACACACTGATGTTTCTGTTAAACAGTGTTGCATAGAGCCAAGGCCGTTCACAGTGAAGGGCCCAAGGAGCTCGGAGGGGCAGAAGTGGGATAACTGACTTAAATTGGCCAAAGGGATAGTCAATACCATATGACACCATGTGAAAGGCGTTTTGAACAGGGCGGGAGTTCACTTCGCTCTCTTCCACTGTTCAGGGGACTAGCTGGGCACTGGTTGGGGGTTGGTGAGCAATTTACATGTGCATAACATACATACATACATACGTATTTGTCATAATTATTATCCTTTTCTTTTTCTCTATCTTAGTAAATAATTTTATCTCAACTCATGAGTTCTACTTTGTTTTCTTTTCAATTCTCTCCTCCATCCCACTGGAAAGGAGGAGAGTTAGCAAACGACTGTGCTGCTGAGCCACCTGATGAGTTAAATCAGAGAAGAAGACACAAATTAGCATGAGGCTCTCAAAAAGTAAAAGACATCTCCATGTTCTCACACTCAATTTTCTTTATTGTTTTTTCTCCACTCTGATTTGGCAACTTCCAAACAGAGAAAATAGATTCTAATCTCCCTTATTACTCCAGGTTTTGGGAAAATGGGAAAATAAACTAATAGGATTTGCCACTACCATTCTCAAAAGACACTGAGGTTTATTACATTTTTTACTTCTGAACATGTACTTCTAGAAGAAATAGAACTAGCTGTGATGCTTTGCAAGCTCCATAAAACAAAGGACAACTAAACGATGCTGGATAACCTGGCTGTGACAGCAGCACCTTCTGTCTACGCTCTAGAATAAAACTATGGGCAGATCTTTAACTCTATCAGAAGGACTTGGCACTTCTTTCAATCCAAGCTTAAGACAGTTAGAATTAAATGATCACAGTTTTGCCTTAGAACAGAATGGCTGTTATGCCATTTTCTTCTTTGACATGAGCATTGCAACTGCTGCTATTACTTGAAAATAAGCAATAACTATATGAATTTCAAACACTTAAATACGAATTGCATGACTCTCATAAAGGCCTATATTAGACTTGCATATGTTTATGGCCAGCTTTTTGTTCATCAGATGCACAACATACAACAGTCACTTACTTTAATTCCAAAAGTTCTTGAGAAAAACAAAAAACTATCTATTTGATTACCTGCTGGGATTTAAGCGCTGGTATCATGATCTGGGACAAGAACAATTCCAGACCCTGAAGGATATTTCCATTAGAACAATCGAAGATGCCAAAATTCACCTCCTTTGGGAAGAAATAAAAGGTAATAAAATGTATGTAAACTTTTACATTATACTATTTCAGTAAAATTCAATACAGATATAGCTCATAACTTCCTAGATTTCATGAGGACACTGCCCCAGATACAGAATTTGCTTTTGCGATTGACTAAAATTCAGCAGTAAATTCCAGGACTTGCCATACTCACCAGAAAAATCTGTCTCATATTGTAGCAATACTTTAGTAACCAGTCAAGATTAACCACTTAATATCAATACATTAGTCTTAAGACAATTTTATATCTATATTTCTCCAGTAGAGGAACAGCTTCCATCTATCATAAGCGTCTAAAAATTGCATCCCTTCCAAGTGTTATTCATTTATGGACTAGTTGGCTATTTTGTTACTGCCATTTTGCCTATAAATGTAAATACATTCTGAACCCAGACCATGTGCTCTTTACCACCCATACTGTCTAGCTACTGTGGCTCTGTGTGTATTTCTTGTTAGCAGAAAGGGAGTCACATTCATAACTTCTGAACTGCACATACACTGAATTTTTTTGGCATCATCATAATGAAAGCTTCATTGATCTGGAGTGCGTATTCAATAGTCTTAGAAGCTTCTACTCCCAACTTTTTCCTGTGAAAAGACAGCCATTCTTAAGTGTTTTTGGAATGGCAAGTGCAAATTTCTGGAGAGGATTTGAAAAAAAAGATTCAGCTATTTATCTCGAGAATTATAAAATGGCCTGGGTTGAAAAGGACCACAATGATCATCTAGTTTCAATCCCTTGCTATGCAGGGACGCCAACCACCAGACCAGGCTGCCCAGAGCCACATTCAGCCTGGCCTTGAATGCCTCCAGGGATGGGGCATCCACAACCTCCTTGGGCAACATGAATGGACCTCCTTCATGAAAAAGTACAGCAAGTATTTCCCATGCAAACATGGGTATTTCAGAAAGCAAGAAAAGGTTGTTCTGGTACTTTTCTTATACCCTAATAATGCTATTAGGGACAGAAAAACCTTGCTTTAATTTCAAGGATGAACATTATTTTAAATATTTTAGAAGAGAGCTATTTAAACACACCATGTCCAAAATTCAGGTTTGTCCATTATCAGAAAATGTCTGTGTCAAGGACTGTATTCCTTGCCTCTACTAAATTTATTTTTCATGGTACATTAATAATGAATTTTTATTATTTAAATTTTTGTTTTTAATAATATCACAGATAGCTACTTTTGTAATTATTAGAATATTACTTAATCACAAATATACTTTGATGAAAAGAAACTTTTGTTAAAAACACAACTAAACATTTTCATGAAAACACTCCCCATTTCCTTTTCTGATTCCAGTAGAACTAGTTGAGTGAGTAAAGGTTTAAGAATTTTAAGTGCACTGCAAACACTGCAAGATTTTTGACTGACCTGGCAAACATTTGATGTGGTTATAACTTTATCTGACATCCTTAGGAAAAATGCACAGATTCCTGTAAAGTTCTGTGAAAAGCACAAAATACATAAAGATAAAAAGAATGCACATTTACAGTAAAAATAATCTACTTAATAACATGTTGAAAACAAAATTTAGAATATATGTATTACTGAAAAAAAGTAGTGAACTGTTTGTAAGATATTTAAGCACATCAGAAACACCCCTCTGGACCGAGCAGTCTAATATCACATCTCTGACATGAAAATGCAGTTTAGGGAAAGCTTGTGTTACTTCCTGTGCTCTGTTCCTTCACATTCACATTCCCTCACCACCTGCAATACATGTCTGAGAGCTGCTGGATAACATGTTCCTGTCTAGTCCATTTATGGACCTATCCACAACGCTGTCTAATCCTTTTTTGATTCTGTTGACATAAGTTCAGTGAAAAAAACTAAATATATACTCAGCTTTCAAATATTTAGAATTCATTTCATATATATTTAGACCAGAATGAATCATCTTAAAAGGATGTTTTTCTTTTTCTTTTTATTAACTGAAAGATTATTCCAAACTTCTGATTCAAGTATTTTAAACAGAAATTTTCATCCTTTTTTTTTTATGGACTGCAGTAATGTAAGTTTCTTTCCAGATCAGATTCACTGGTAATGAATTGGTAAATTCCAATCTCAATTCAAGATATGTGGGGAGAACATGGACTAACTTCTTGACAGGAAGTTTTAAAAAGTTGCTTTAACACTGCACAACTGTTACAGTACTCTTTTCTTCCCCTACATTTTCCTTTGCAAATGTCAACTATGAAATTTTTCAACCATACCTCTGTAGAACCCATGGTAAGAAATAACTTCTTCTGAAGGAAACTGTTGGTTGATCCATCTGACCTCAATGAAGCATTTGATGTTTGCTAGCAATTGAATTATAAATACAAGGTTAATACAATAAAAACTACCCTTGTAAACATACATTATCATATTCGAATATGTGAATAACAACTAAGCACATTGTGAATCAGTAATATCCAGGTAGAAATTGTGCAGTTGGGTTTATTTGGGGAATAAGCCAATTAATAAATTTGACTGTACCTAGTAAACAGTTTCCTTATCTTGTTATTTCAGAAGAAAATCGAAGAATAATGAAAAAAAAAAAATCAGAAAATATGTAATGGAAGTGAATATGAAGTGCTTAATGGAGCAATTTCCTCCATGGAAGCAAACTAGATGTCTCACAGAAAGAGTCATTGAATAGTCTGAAAAGTACAAGTGTGAGCAAGGTTTTAAAGGAACTCCATCAGTTGGATCCTGCCAACAACATGGATAAATTTTGTTTTATGCCCATATCTCTAATCATGTATCACACTGAAAAACTTTCTTTCAAAGAAGTCTTGCCTCTCACTCCCCTCCACTGAGACATCCCTCTTCATTAGAGCCTCCTCTCTCTGAAGCAACAAAAAAATGTGAGCCTGATCAAGACTACTTCCCTCTCATTTTCTGACACAGACATAAATAGAAAATAATTTGTGGAACCTTCCAAGAATAGAAGAGAAAATTATGTGGAAATGGCTTGTGAACACCTCTCTTCCAAGTTCGAGGAGAGAACCTTCCTAAAAAGTCAAACTTTCAGTTCCTGCTGGACCAAATTACATGAGGTAGGACATACATCACCCTCCACACCAAATCATATTTTCTTACCACTATGCATAGTCTCAAAAATAAAAAAAATAAAAAATAAAAACTATTAAATGCAGAAATGAAAATTTCATTTAAGCCAAGTTGGACACTTATTTCTGCCTTGTCAGTTATGGAAAACGCTTTCAAGATCTTAGTTTCATCTTGACTCAAGTCAGAAGAACGTGTTCATCCCAGAAACATGCATATGTAGTCCCAGTGAAAAGAAAAACTGTTCTGACAGCTGAGCTGATTCTGTGCTTTGCAAAGTCTCTAAGCAATTCCAGTAATACTCAGAAATATAGCTTACAATGAATGTGTAATTCCTTCTTGCACTTAAGAGAATCAAGCACTAACCATCAGTTTTTCTCCCCAACAAGCCTAAAATATCATCTTCGCCCATTAGTCCATCATAACAGAGTTCCTCAGTGGCATAACCAAAAAGAATTGTGGTAGGACTTCTGCAGTTCAGGGAGCTCACGACAGTCACATTAGGCAATTTCAAGATCATTTGGCAAATTCTCATATCATGTGCTCAGTGGAAGTTGAACATATGATTTTGGTTTTTATGAACAGGCTCCTCAAAATTGAAAGGGAGAGAAATACAGCTTTGGGACCACAAGTACCATATTTTTATTTATCATTTTCCAAGCTTAACTTTCTTTTCTGAAGCATGAGACAGACCAGAATATGAAGAAACCTTAATCTAGAAAGAAATTTTTCTCCCTCTTGAATCTGTGCTTTGACCATAATGGAATTGGTACACTTCAAACCAAAGGACAAAGAGATTCTTACTCCGACAGTTCCCCATTCCTATAATACTTATGTCAGCCCATCTAGTCCTTTTAAACTCTGAACACTGTGGATACTTGATCTCAACTATGTGTTGCTTTTTGTTGTTTTTTTTTTTTTTTTTCTTGAAGACTGGATTAATATTTTATTGTCCATTTTTGTTACTCTTTATGCAAATAAGAACAGTATCAAACCATGCCACAGGGCATTCTTCTGTTTCCATACAAGTCAAGATGGCAGTGTCTGAAGAATGAGATTCAGGTTCTTTTCCATTTTCTTTGGCATGAAGAAAAAAAAAAAGTTTGCTAAGATTTCCTGAATTTTGCCACAGTTATGTAATTTCGAAAAAAAAAAAAAAAAAAAGCTATTTTTGCAGAAGTGATAATAGAAACATACCTGCAAAACATCTTGGTAAAAGAACAGTAACTTTTTAAGTCCGTTAGGAGCAAAGAATTGTTCTATAAGTTGAAACTAAAAACAAAATTACAACAGCATTAATTGTGAAGCAGTTTCAAAGAACTGGAAAATTTGGAAAGGTATTTAATACCAGTAATTTAATGATAATAAGTATTTACCTTGTCATCAGAAATAATGGCCTCCTCCACTTGCTGCTCACTTAAGTCTATTCCATCAGATAACTTTGATATCAAATACTTGTGTCTTTCATCTATCTGAGCTCTTCTCTCCTCTTTAGTGACTTTAGCTTGCTTAGCTAGCTCTTTCCTAGTTTCACTGGAAAGCACTATACTTTTCTTAGCAGTTGTCTAGAAAATAAAAGTTTGTTACAGAGAGATCATTTTTCCCACAGTTATTTTATATTCAATTAAGGATTGTATTTTTTACTGTTAATCTTTAAGGTGTTTTCATAACTACTTAAAGCAGGACCATGAAAAGATTTTATCAAAGGAAAGGAAAGCAAAAAATAAAAATCACTATTACTTATTAAATATCACTAATAATTAACTTGTTAGTTCAAAATTACTTCCCAGCATAAAGCAGTTACCATAGAAACTTCAGAACAGGACCTCAGAATAAGATGTGGATCCTGGCACTGAAATGGCTCTTATTTCAAATCACAGCTTTATGAATCTAGCTTTCAAACTTCTAAATGTCCATACTCCAAATCTGGGACCAGATCCACTTCTACCCTCTCAGCATTTTAACACACAGTATCAAGTTATTATCTCAGTGGAAAAGAAAATAAAACAGAATCAGTCACTGCTGGAACAAGTAAACAATTGATATTTAATATGCAGGTTATATATAGGTAGTAGAAAAGTGGTAAAGAAGAAAATTTATGTAGACAAAAGGCTTTTTAAAGTCTTCATAACAATGTGAACAGACTAAATATTTTTAAGTCAACAGTTAATCTTCAGAAGCTGTACAGAGAAGGAAAGATTTGGGTCAAAGAGTCAATAAGCTAAGCATTCCTCTTTGCACTAGTTCCCAATAATGCGAGTGCCTGGAACACAAAGAGTGTTCTTCTAACTCACAATTTTTAATGGAGAAAAACAATGATAAATTACTTCATCTTTCCAGTGCTCTCAATTAGGAACTGCAGTTGAACAATCCTCTTTTAGAACACGATTGTTTGTAATTGAACAAACAAACAAACAAAACCAACAAAAAGAAAAAAAAATGCCAGTAGCTGTTGGTCAGTACCATTCTCACGTTTCTATAAGCTCCACCACTCCTGATTCAGAGTTCCTTCTTCTCCTGTACAGATCCCTGTCATATATGTCAGTCTCTTATAATCTCTGGGCCCCATGTGAACAGCTGGATCTCTCGTGTATGCCTTTCTTGAGGCAGTATTCAGTTTCTCTTTCCCTCAGGTCAAATGTAATTCAGCAAAAGCCAAAAAATTCCCACATTACATGATGTAAAACTATTAGAGATAACAACAATTTCCATGCTTGTAGTTGTTAAATCTCTATAAGCATTACAGCAAACAGCTTTTACTTTCTCTGGTGGCAATTTCTTTCTTATTTATGTCTTAGTAAGGATACTAGAAGCCAAATACTAAATGTAATTTCTTCTGTGCTGTTTCACCAAGAGTATAAGATGACCAAACAATTTAATAAATCCTGTCTGGGGTGGAGAAAAATACAGTGTTCTGACAGTGTTGCAGAGGAAAAAAAAAGAAAAAAAAAACCTACCATTTTTTAAAATACATTTTATCTCTGATTCACAGCTTTTGGGAGAAACACATTTTGATGCAGCATAGAATAAACTAACATTTGTGCCAGACCTTGACTGGATCCAGAAAGAATTAATATAATCTGAATTATTTTAGTTAAATAAGCCTGCTCAGAGCTATGGATGGAAAGGACTCAACTCCCTCCACAGATTAAGCCAGTTCATTTAAACTAACATGAGATATCGAGATGCTACAGATATGACATTATTCAAGTATTCTTAACTAATATAAATCTTCATCTCAGCAAAGAAAAGAGATGATGAAAAATTCTATGAAACAAAAGCCCAATAACACACATGGAGGGCATAGAAATTAAATGGCCTAACACTATATGCTTTTGAGTGCTTCTACTTCCTTATAGTCAATAGATTAAGTGAACTCTGTACCATCCAGTATTAGATCAAACTTTGTCTAACTTTGTCAATGACAATTTCAACTTGTACAGAGGAAAATTTAACAGGCAAAAGGCAGCTGAGTCACCACCTCTATTAGAATGAATACACTTGCCGGAAGAACAGAAGCCCAAGATGATCCTGTGACAGCAGATTCTAGTTCAGTGCTCCTTGTCTTTAGGACCCCTCCAAGCCTACGATACTTACTTTCTGTGCCTAGGGAAAAAAAAACAGTGTAGAATACATGAGTTTTAGTAGAAACCTTTAGAAACTGTTGGGGGAATATCTTTTAATGGCTTTTATCAATAGCAAAGAATACTTAGAATACCTACTGATAGGGAAAGGGTTTATAAGAAACAACAAACAAGCCCAGTAATTTAAGGTACTAGCTTGAAGAAACCTGATCTGGAAAAATCACAAATTGAAATATTATTGCTTTTCACATCTGCTATTCTCATCCAGTTATTCCTCCTCTATCTAAACTCAGATAGTCAGGCTCATGTCTGGCAAACTTGCTACCTGCAGACACTTAACAACTTGTGCCCGTGAACATCTGAAGAATATGGACTACTAATATTTGCAATAAAAACAAGACATCTGTTATTAGCGTAAACACCTTTTGTTGATTGTCTAAGCCTCCTTTAGAGCTTCTGAAGATTTCTGAATTTTATTTAATCAAAAACTTAGCAAATCCATTTTTTCTCCTAGAAATGATAATTAGAATATTAAAAGTAATTTCAGTGACAAGTAAGAGTATTAATGTTTTTTTGATACTAAATAAAATAACATTACAGTGAGTCACATTATTTATTTTTTTTCGAGTTCCATGTTTTAAATGGTTTCTTCATACAGAAGAAAAAGTAGACAAAATGCACTGTGCTCTCCTTGGCTAACAAGCCAGTCATTTCACTGTAGATTATCAAGTTGGGCAGGTATATCTTTTCCTTGCTGAATCCACACTAGACATCAGTCAGCTCCCTCAGCGTTTGTGAATCCATCCTACCAGAGCCCACTGACTCACTTTTGTTCAGTTTGCTTACGTATTCCCTGGTCTGGTAGAAAAGGATGAGGTTAGAGAGTTCTTAAGTGAAATGGACATATCTAAGACCACGGGTTACAGCCAGGAATGCTGAAAGAGATGGTGATGTCCTTGAGGAGCCACGCTCAATAGTCTTTGAGCTTTGCAATCTATTATCACTGCTAATATTCTTGAAAAAAGAGATATCATGCTATATGCCATACTGTATACTATACTATAGCGTACTACTAATTTTAATTCAAGAAAAAATTGTTCTAATTGCATGACTATGATTCAACACTAGGAACTGTGTTAAGGGATTGGAGTTAGCACTATACTTGGACCTATAAATATAAATATATGCACATGCATGTACTTACATGTACTTTTTCATAAAGCTGAAAAGTGTATGTTGTGGGACATTCCTAAGTGCATGTATCCACTCAGCATATGTGAACAACTGATACACATTTAAATACTTCACTAAATAATCAGTTGCTCACATTGTTCCTGGATTTTTTTCTCCTATATGGTAAACAGGAAGTATCATAGAATCATAGAATGGCCTGGATTGAAAAGGACCACAATTGATCATCTAGTTTCAACCCCCTGTTGTTTGCAGAGTCACCAACCACAGACCAGGCTGGCCAGAGCCACATCCAGCCTGGCCTTGAATGCCTCCAGGGATGGGGCATCCACACCCTCCTTGAGCAACCTGTTCCAGTGTGTCACCACCCTCTGTGTGAAAAACTTCCTCCTAATATCTAACCTATGTCCTATCACTATCCACCCTCGTCAACAGGGTCATTTTCACTCCTGTTTATATGCTCCTTTCAAATATTGGAAGGCCACAATGAGGTCTCCCCCACGCCTTCTCTTCTCCACAGTACTTACCATTGCTCTCTCTCTTACCCTTTTTTAGAGCAATGAGAGGTGGACAGAGTTCAGAGTCAGTTTTGGCTGAGAGCTGCATTCTCCCCAGTTGCTCTGAGTCCTGTTGCACAGGGACATCAGGAGAGGAGTGCAGCCCATCTCTCCCCCTGAACTCAGCCTCATCTCCCACAGCCTCCTCCATCTCCACCGCCACTCAACAATTGACCTAAATCAACAAAACAGAAAATGACTCTATAACGCGATACTGCTAACAACCAATCACACTGCCAGTACGTGCATCCCTGTTGTACCATCACAGAATCGCAGAGCCGTTAAGGCTCGAAAAGACCTCTAAGACCGTGCAGTCCAACCCCCAACCCACTCCCGCCATGCCCACTGACCACGTCCCTCAGTGCCACATCCACACGGCTCCTGAACACCTCCAGGGACGGTGTGCCCCCCGCCTCCCTGTGCATCCTGTGCCACTGCCTCACCGCTCTATTCTCAGAAGAAACGTTTCGCCCCGCCGATCCCCCGCGCCCTGCCGAGCTCCTTGCTCGGTCTCAGCGCTCGCAGCCTCTCCGGCACTGCCCGCAGCTGCTATGGCAACCCCTACACAAACGCGGCTGCCAGGCTGCGAGTTGCAACGCGTTTATCCCCGTTTCCCACGAGCTTCTAATTTAACTCCTCTCCTACGTGTTTCTTAGCGTCCCGCGGTGCTGTGCGACACGAAGCTCCAGGCAAGCAGCAGCCCCGCGCCTCGGCAGACCCAGAGCCGCCCGCCCTCAGCGCAGCACCGCGAAAACAGCCAAGAAGAATGAAACCGACTCATGCTACTGGCTTCTGCATTGAATTTATTGAAGTGATCTGAAAACCACAGGGGGCCGCAAAACGCCCCGACGGCCGTTCCCGAAGGACCAGCTCGCAACACCCACAACGCTCCCATCTCGGACAGAAACACGGCGCAGACGCGGGACAGGCAGCGCAAGGCGCACGCGTGCCCCCGGGAGGGCGAGGGGAAGCTGTGCGCTTGCCCTGCGCCTGCGTGCTTGGCCGTGACGCCGGGCTCCGCGCTCGGCTCATGCGCGCTGCCCGACTGTCACCGCCGTCCCGAGGGGCGGGCTGCCGCAGGCGGTGAGCGGCTCTGCGGTCCCCGGCGCCGGTGAGCGGCTCGGTGTGAGCGGCGGTCGGAGCCCGGCGACGGAAAGCGGAGGGGGCCGATCCGGGGGGGTCTCTGGGGACGGCGGGGACGAACGGGTGCCGAGGGCCCCTCCGGGCCGAGGTGGCGCGGGGGGCCCGGGGCCGAGGGAGCTCGGCGGGAGGCGGCTGCGGGTTCGCCGGGGCGGGGCTCCGGCCTCCGGGCACCTGCCGGAGCGGAGCCGGGGCTCGCCGCGCTTCCTGCCGGCTTTGTTTTGAGGGGCTGAGGCTGCGTCCCGCCGAGCCCGCGGCCCGGCCCTGCCCGCTGTGCTTCGGTGCTGGGGCGGAGGGCGCGCGTCTGCTTGTCTGCGAGGGGTTTTCCTAAAGCGCCGGGCTCGCTTTTGTTGGCTCTTTGCTCGTGGTGGTGGCTGACAGCCTCTGCGGAGTTGGCACGGTTCCCTGAAGTTTGCTCTTCCTGTGTGAGCGTCTGGAGGTTGTGAAACGGCCCAGTTATCTCAGCACGTCGCTGTGTAATTGGAAGGTTGCAGCACGCTGTACTTTCCCCCGTAAGGTATACTAGGTGCTCGAGAGGTGGCTGTGTGTGTTAAGGCTGACCTAACTCTGCTCATACTGTGTACTCAGAGGGCGGTGAGGCGCTGACGCAGCCGCCCAGAGAAGCTGTGGTGCCCCATCCCTGGAGGCGCTCGAGGCCAGGTTGGATGGGGCCCTGGGCAGCTGAGCTGGTGGGGGCAGCCCTGCCCATGGCACGGGGTGGGGATAGGTGGGCTTTGGGGTCCCTTCCAACCCAAACCACCCTATGATTCTGACAGCCCTTCCAAACAAGAAGCATTGGGCCAGGCTTTGCAGACTCTCACTCTGTGGTCATTCCTTCCCATTTGGAAGGAATCAGGAATTCCAGATGCATTTCTTAGATTTCAGTGGATACCATGTTCTTCCATCTTTGGTCATTAGTATTCTTTTCTACCTTCTCTTAAATAGCTTGAGAAAGCAGGTCTGCCTGAGAGCCAGCTCATTTTACCTTTTCTGCTTTTAATGTCTAACACTCGTTTACATGCATGTCTTGACTTAACTACAAATTTTGCTGCAGACTCAGGTAAAGTATTTGATTAATTTTTCCCTGCACACCTGCACTTCTGATACTGTAAGAAGAGGAAATAGAGTGGGGGGAAAATCTTCCATCAAAAATCTAAGCAGAAGTGCTTTATAGTTAAGTCTTTGGGTTTAGAGCTTCCATGGTTATGTTTCTTTCCACTGCTGATACCAAATTTGAGCTGTTGAGAGGGGACTATAGATGTCTTACTATGACTATAGATGGGTTTAAGTTCTTCAATAGTTTGTGCTTTGAGCAGCCACTAGCTTCCTGTATGCACCCTTTTAATAGGCAAACCTACGCTAGATTACATAGTGTTTCTTTTATAAATGAATATTTGCTGTTCTTCTTTTGTTATTTTTATCTTTTTTTGTATATGTGCTTCCATAGAGCAAGGTAAATACAAAATGCTAAACAGAGAACATTTCGGGTAATGAAACAGAGCTAAGTGACTTCAAATGTGATTCCTGGGTAATACCAGTTCCTATTTTTTGTAATGCTTTCTAATGGTGCTTCTGTCAAGTTGCACCATTTTTATAGCTAGAGTTTCTTCCCTAGTTAAGTTTGAAATGATGGAGAGCCATCAAGTGAAAGTGTATGTTCTAAAAACGTTATGTTTATTTTCAGTGCTGTTGAATTATGAAGGCATATTGAGGTGCCAATCAGCCATGGAGGAAACGGATAGGGAAGCGGTTGCAACAGCTGTTCAGAGGGTGGCTGGAATGCTTCAGCGTCCTGATCAGCTGGATAAAGTGGAGCAGTATCGCAGGAGGGAAGCTCGTAAGAAGGCTTCAGTGGAAGCTCGACTCAAGGTACGCAGTATGGGATGAGTTGTCCTTTTTTTTTTTCCCTTCTACTTTTTCATTCAAATAGTTTTATATCATGGACTGGAATTTTTGGTCTGAGTGCAAAAGAGAAGTTTTGCATCCTGAAACTAATGCAAGCAAATGTTTTATATCCTGTTGAAGTTTTGTTCAAGCATTTCAAATGTTCTTATGACCTTGTACTTGTACAGTCCTGTAGCTTGTACAGTTTATCCACAGACAGGTTCCCTCCTGCAGTGTAGCCTGTCAGCCAGCAAATGTTGTGACAATAGAATATTGAACGTGTAACAAAACTTGATGATTAACTCTGAAAGAACGATCGGTGCTGAAAATGTGTTTAGTCTCTGACTTTTATTTGAGCTTATGGTTGATGATAGCTTAATCTTCCAAATAGCGTATGGTGATACGCGTATGGTCATTGAAGGAGAAAAGGTTTCTTGAGTCCTTGCTAAAGGACTCAAAAAATCTGAGGATTTTTGAATGTTTCTGTCCACAGTGCAGCTTTGAAAATAGCTTGCATTCCTTCTTGGCATAATAGTATACAAATACTATACTTACTATAACAAAAAAAAAGGAAACATGAAGTTTAGTGTAAGGAGTTATATTCAGGGTGCCAGCAGGCTTCTTAGATGAAGAATAGCTGTAAAAGTAATTCTTCTGTATCCATCTGAGGATTAAAAACTAAAAACCTCACTGAAAGGAGCATGAGAGGAATTGAAAGCTTTCAAACAAGAAAGGACAGTGGATCCTGATTAACAGGGGAGGAGACAGATGTTTTAAGAATCCAGTTTAAGTGAAGATTCTTGGCTCACTGCATGTTAATGAGTCACTTTATTATTAAGTTATTAATCTTCTTGCTTCTTGAGTCACTGGACCTGACTGGGATCCAGTGCCACAGCTGGTGGTTTCACCAACACAATAAATGTCTGAACACAGCTTTTTAAGTTTTGCCTAAATCCTCTTTATAGTGGATTATAGCTCCATGGAGCTGTAAGGAGACGTTGCTGCAGGGATCCCAGCTGTGTAACTTAATGCTGAGGGCTCTCACTTGAGGGGTAAAAAAACCAAAACTGAAGTACTTAGCACTGTTCCCGATGGTTCCAAATAGTTTTGTTTGGATTTTATGTAAGCGATGGTCAGTTCAATCTAAGGTGAATACGTACTGTAGGAGGAAAAGCCTGCATGCTGTACCCCTGCTTTCCCAGCATCCCCCATTGATTGTTGAAAGGCAAACTGAACATCTGGGTGGGTGCCTGTTGTTTGAAATTTCTTTGGCTGTTTGAATCAGTGACAAAGATTAGTTGATGGTTGCTGTTTTAACATAAGTTTCTACAGAAGTTAGAAGTTAAATATGTAAGAATTTAAATTTGTGAAACTTGGAAGATATGCCTCAGAATAAATTGAAAAACTGAATCAGATGGACTGAATGTTAAATCGTTGTATGATTTGTAAGCTACAGTCATCTTTAGAAACTTGTCTTCCCTCGATGTTGAAGTACTGCATTGCAATTCAGTGCAATGTGAGGTAGGGGAAAATTTGTTAATGTAGCAGTTCTGTAGACAGATAGTGTATAAAAATTCTGTACTGCTGCTCGACTGTGCTGAGTCTGACAAAAAAAAAAAAGCATTTTTATCAGTAAAATCAGTGTATCATAATTTGGAAGTACATAAACAATTGTGGCTTAAGATTGACTGCATTTTCCTGGGATGTTCCCTTTATGTTTAAAACACAGTAAATGTTGTTCATAGCTACCAGGATTTCCTCTTTGGCTTCTAGTAACAGACAAAAACAAACCTGTGACAGCTCAGGCCTTTTGACCTTACATGTACAGCAAAAGTTAGGGCCAGAGCCGAGCTAAACTGTGTGTGCCTCATTGCTTTACAGTTTGTTAAAAGTCCTTGAGTTCAGCAATAGAATTTTTGCTTGTGCCTGGCTTTTGGCTTGTCTTTTGAACTGTGTTATTTCCAGTTTCATTTTCTCTTGCCCGATTTCATCGTAGTTGCATATTTTTTAAGAAGATAGCTATCTAAAACATGGATGTGATCTGATTTCTTTCATGAAGATATGCTTTATAATGCATGTTAGTAATCTCAAGACTTTAAAACGGTATTCAGGAGTAATGGCCCATTTGAAGAGTCATTATTTCAAGTACTGTCTGTCACAAGAGATCTGTATCGATAATCTTGCTGTATTCCATAGCAATCTAGTAGTTGCCTTGTCAATCTACTTGTTTTACATGGACTAAACATCTAGTGTTTGTTGTTTTTTTTTAATATGGCAATACTAGATACTGTTATCTAAGTAAAATTTTTGGAGAAATATTGAAAATACAGTACTTACAATGCATTATGGTTAGCGTGAGAGTTCTCCGTCTTTTTGTTTGCTTTTAAGGCAGCAATCCAGTCACAGCTAGATGGAGTACGAACGGGTTTAAGTCAACTGCACAATGCACTGAATGATGTAAAGGACATTCAGCAGTCTTTGATAGATGTCAATAAAGACTGGAGACAGAGCATCAACGCCATTGAAAACCTCAAGGACGTTAAGGATGCTGTAGTGCAACATAGCCAGCTGGCAGCTGCTGTAGAAAATCTCAAGAACATATTTTCAGGTAATCTGCTATTCTTTATGTAATCTGTCACAGTCTTAAAGCACTTCAAAGTGGTACAGACCATATGGTTATTGAATGATGTGGGAACTTTAAACCTTGCTGGGAATGAAGAATTAAAGAGAAATCACCTACATGTCATGTTCAGCAAAGTAATATTTCATCTAAATTTCTCTGTAAGAGCTTCCAATCTGGCTTATCTTCATCAGTAGAAGTCAATAAGAAGCTTCTTGTTTGTGATTAGTAGCTGGAATCATATTTTTAGTGTAGAAATCTGAACTATGCAAGCAGCATTTACAGAAGGTTCAGATGTATGTGAAATATGCTGGGTATCTTCAGCCGGGCTTGGGTAACAGTAGTCCCAGGTGATCTTCGGAGGTAAATAAGTTTGCAAGCAAATGCAGAATGTCAAGGAGCAAGATCTCCAGTCAGAGGGTTCCCTGGCAATCTTTCTCACACGGCAGTTAAGAACCTCAAGGATGATTTGTATTAAAGTAACATCCAGCAAAGAGCAATGAATCTTTGTATGTTCCAGTGCTAATTTGTTTCAGGGATGTTGTTTTAGTTTACCCCCATGAATGCAATTGAGACCTGAATGCAGTCTTTTGTTTTGTAGTGTCCTGAGAGGCACTGGGTGTGAAGTGTTTCCCCTGAGATTGTTACAAAGTAGAGTTGATGATAACTTTTCTCTCCCTGAACCAAATGTTTTCATTACAAATCAAACATTTTTCACCTCATTGTAACTGTCTTAATGGGCTTTTTTTTTTTATTTGATTGCCAGATTTTATCACTATCTGCTGTTCTTGTGACATTTTCTCCATTTTTCTTCTTCTTGCCACTGAATCCTAGTCCTATTCTGTATTGTTCCTTAAATACTGAATGTAGTTTTCCCATTTGTTACCTAGTGCTCATATTATCTTGAGTTTATCTTTGGAGTTTTGATTTGATTTTTTTACCTCTTTTTCTTCTTTTGTGCCTTTGTTGCAGTTCCAGAGATAGTGAGGGAGACCCAAGATCTGATTGAGCGAGGGGAACTTCTGCAGGCGCATCGAAAACTGATGGATTTGGAGTGTTCTCGTGATAACCTGATGTATGAGCAGTATCGCATGGACAGCAAAAACACACATGACATGAACCTCATCCATACGTACTTTGGGGAAATGCAGAAACTTTCTGAGGAGTTGGCCAAGCAGTTGTGGATGGTGGTTCAGAGATTTCTTGTTACAGTCCGTCGAGATCCAACCTTGCTTGTTTCTGTTGTTAGAATAATTGAAAGGGAGGAGAAAATTGATAGGCGCATGTTAGACCGGAAAAAACAAACTGGGTTCATACCTCCTGGCAGGCCAAAGAAATGGAAGGAAAATATGTTCAACATTTTGGAAAGAACTGTGAGCATACGAATTGAAGGCACTCAAGCAGATAGTAGAGGATCTGACAAAATGTGGCTTGTGCGTCATCTAGAAATCATACGTAAATACGTCCTTGATGACCTTCTGGTGGCTAAAACCCTACTGGATCAATGCTTTCCCCCACACTATGACATTTTCAAAAGATTGCTAAGCATGTACCATCAGGCTTTGTCTACCCGCATGCAAGAGCTTGCTGCAGAGGATCTGGAAGCAAATGAGATTGTTAGCCTTCTAACTTGGGTTTTAAATACTTACAAAAGGTAAAGTCTCATTTATCTTTCTGTGAGAAAATTTGAGGATTAGCATACACAACACAGTCTGTGCACTAATAATTGCACATCTGTTAACAGAGTAGAAGATAAAGAAGATACAGCTGTTTATAAAAAAAAGAAAAAAGAAGAGGAATAATAGTAAAGGACTGTTGATATTTGTTAATGCCTTTTACTTTCTGGAAGCTACTCCTTAAAACTTCTCCAGGTTTTCTAGTACGTGGTTCTGAGTTGCTCTGTAAGCTTGAGGTTTTAACACAGCTCCAGAGCAGCGTGGAGCTGCTGTCAGCCTAAAACAGTGTGTTTGTGCACTGCTTGGTGATGAACTGGGGGGAGCAGAGGAGTTGGAGTGCTTGTGTATGTGAAGCAAAATGTTTTTCGTTGGGCATAGCCCCAGTAAATTAGTGCGATTATTTACTTTCTATTGTTCTCCTTTGTAGAGCGTGGGACTGTTTAAGTATTGCTTCATGACTGTTAAATGGAAAGAATGTAGTAACTTCCTCCAGATTTTATCTGGATTTTACCATGTGACAGTTTGTTTCTTTAGAAGAATTTCTGCCTATAGGTTCTCTCCTGTGATACTGTCAAACTCTTAGTGTCTTTTGAGTGCTGTGATATGTTGAAATAATGTAAGGATTGAGTCTGTCCTCTTATTCTCCTGATAGAAACAGCTCAAATGGCAGTGTTTTAATTTTTGCTGACATATAGTTACTAGGCAACTGATTTATTTGGGAAAAAGTACTGCTAGCTTTTTGTGCTTTATGACTAACCTTGTTCTCAGTAGCTGGCAGTGACTCAGAATCTGCACTGTGTATGGTTTTTGCTGTCTTTGATTGTTTGATCTCACTGTTTCAACAGATAGAACTCCTGGTAGGTTTAGAGTCTAGCACCGTTGCAAATAGGTTGGAGATGCTACTGTTCCAGGGAGTTTTTATGACCTGTTTTAAGATATGTTTTGGCTTACTCTTTGCTTTACTTTACACTGTGACATTCTTCTGCTTTATTTCCCTATAGGGAATATCCAGGAGGAGCCCCTAATGCATGTTTAATACATGGGCCAGAAGGGTATACTTGAGATGCAGCTGATAAGATAAAGGAGCTGAGTTCATTGGCTTCTCTTCATTATTACTAGAGGGCCAGAGGAATGAAGCAATGAATGTAAATCTGAAATGTGGGACTCTCTCTTCCTATGGGGGCATTGCCTGGGCAGAAATCCTGCTCCCAGGTTTTTCATTTACAGCCTTGGGCTGATGTTCCACTGAGATAGTTCTTGGTCTAAAAACTGTCAGTGAGGAAACACCTCAGGAAAAGTTGAAGGCTGTGAGTGTCTCTCTTTCCTAGTGGAGAAGCCTGATAGGGCAGCACAGTAATTGTGTTCTTTTAGGTTACAAGAGAGCATTATATAGATGGCAATTAGCTTGTGTAGAGGGTGGTGGAATCTGCGTGTGGGTGGGAAAGTTGAAGTATTTCAGTGGGATCCTTGCAAAACTTAACCAAATCTCAGTTGCTGGACATCTCTTAACAGTACAATTAACAATTCTCTATAGAGATCTGAATATAATAAACTGTGCTGGCCTGTATGACATCACAAAAACTTCCATGAATTCATGAAAACTTCTGTGCAATCAGTTTAAACTTCTTTTCCCCGAATGAAAAATAGGCTCTGCATTCCTATTCACTTGTATGGAAAATAGTTTCATCCTTTCTAATCTTTCTTTACTTTTAATAAATGTAGTTGAACATCATAGAGGACATAGGAACTTGCACTTTGTTTATGCTCATTACAGCTGCATTTCTAAACTAGCTGAGAAGGTAGAAGCCAATAAAGAGATGCCTTCAGCATTCTTTTTCATGTAATGAATTGATAAGAAGATGGTGCTTAACTTCTATTTATAATTTTGAAGGATAAGAATTTAAAATACACTCTGCTGAAGTAGAAAGTGATCACTTTGTAAGCTGTTTTTAGAACTAGATTCCATTCATAGCTCAGGAATAGCGATCTTCACGTGGATAATAGCCACTACTTTTGAGTGGGATGCAGTTTTTACTGTGCTAATGTATTTGTCTCTCATCATTTCGTCAATGAGAATTTTGAAAACATACTACAGTTAATTAAACCTGCCCTAGGTTGGGATCAGTGCTCTAATCTGTGCTTTAGAAAAATCTAGGTTGTGTAAGATTCTCCTGGTGCTCTTGTTCATGACATCTTTTTATTAGATGCTACAATCGAGTGTTGCTAAAACTGCTGAGAAGAGAGTTGAGCAGCATTGGCTGCAGTGTCAGCGATCTTCACGCTAATGAATGGAAAGCACGGTGCTGTGTGTCTGGACGGCGTCCCAGAGCTGAACACCTTTCTTACAAGATGAGTTGGCATCAAGCCTGCCATGAAAGACAGTATCGAAGTTTTCTTGTGTTAGTTTCCAGGGAATACAATTCTGGCTGAAAGTTCAACTTAATTATGCATGTTTTGTGATGGGAAACAACCCTCTCTCTAATGGTTAGAAGCCTCCTGGCAAGGGTTGTGTTATTGCTTCCTTTGTAACGATTAGGAAAGGAGTATTTCATAGAAAGTCTTTGAGGACTGAAAGTAAGGATCTGTGGTCTTTGTTCTGTGACTTCAGTTGGTATGCCTTAAGAAAAGTGTGTTGTTTCTGTGGTCTTGTGAAGTAGGGATAATGGTGGTCAGTGAGATTAGAAATACTTTCTAATACAGCATAGCGCCATAACCAGCTCCTCATTTTACCCCTATATGACTCTAGAACAGGTCCTGCTATTACTATTGTTGTGTTCTTTATGTGAACAGCGATGGAGTGGGATTCAGCTTTCTGAGAACCTTGAGCCCCTTAATATCTTCAGTCTCCTTTCCTGCACCTCAAAATGACGTTACAAATGTAAAGGGCTCAGTTGCACTGGATTGTGTGCCTTCACAGACAACATGTTTGTAGTGTTTCCTTAGCAATTAGGTAGGGTGTTTCAAGGGCTGCAGTGGTTTTTGTGATGTGGAAGCACTGCTGAGCTGACTCACTGCATGTCCCCATAGGACACCTTGAATTTGCAGAAATTGAGAAACTAAACACTTGAAGAACTGAACTTTTTTTTTCTTTCCCTCGCCGAGTATATTTGCATCAATTGTTAATAAAATGCTCTGAGGAGTGTAGTTTTGCTTTATTTATTTATTTTTAAGCTCAAAATATTAAGGATTCTTGCTATTTTTATGCTTTGACATAGCAAGCAACTTCTAGAAATCTTATTTAGAGGAAAAATCTCATTGTGAAGTATTAGTTTTCCATAAACCTTTTAAAGATGTTCTTGAGGGTTGCTCTAGTTTTTCGAATCCTATGCGATCAAGCAAGTACAGCCAGCAGTGCTGTTATGGCACTGGATCCATGATGTACCCTTTTGATTTAGCTTGTAAGATGTCTTCTCTTGTAGAAGTGAATTCTCTACCAATGCAAGAAGCAGTGCTAGGTTTTATTTGAGTGTACTTTAGTTCTAACGAGGAAGTAAAGTAGCACAACAGAAGATCTTTGAGAAGCTCTGCTCAAAACATGAAAGGGTTAATATTTAAATATTTTAAAATTAAATATTTAAAATGCCTTTAACACTTTTTATGAAAATATGCTGGGCTAAAGTTCCTTAGATCCTATTCTTTCATATATATAGTTTTATGTCCATTCCAAAAACTTCTTAATAGTGGCAATAAGTATGTTTACAAAGAATGTAAAAATTCCTTGGTGATCAGACCGAAAAAGCTATGTAGTTTTTAACTTTCATCTCATTTTCCTTTGCTGATCTGAAATATTGTGGCGTGTTTTGTTTTGTTTTTGAACTCAGTACAGAGATGATGGGGAATTCAGAGCTGTCTCCTGAAGTGGATGCAAATTCTCTGAATCTTCTGCTTTCACAAAATGTGGTAGATCAGCTTCTCAGCAAGTACATGTCAACACTTACTGTAAGTACTAATAATTCAAAGATTCCTTCATATGAATGTATGGCCACACAGGTGCCTTAGTACTCAAAGTGCTGTACTTCCATCAGAGGAAGATACAGTGACAGACATGAACTCAATGCCTTTACTTGTATAAATCTTCACATACTACATGCAGCTTGGTTTATAAAGTTATAATCAGAGAATTCTATGGATGTAAATCATGAAATCTCAAAGAATAATTGTCATTTACAGACCGCAGTAAACACGTTTTGTTAGAAAGGGGGCAATTCCAGTGTTTGTACTTAGAAACTTCAGAATTCACAGCACTCGTAGTTAAAGTATTACTAGAATTAGAAGCTGCTGATTCCTGCTTGGTTCTTGTAGTAACCGGTCTACATTTGATACCAATTTGATCTTTTCAAGGTAATCAGGATGCTCATGGGATATATTTGCCAGTCTTTCTCATTTAATGGTTGTCAGCTGCCTAAGCAGAGCATTTCCTTTTGTGCATGCCCTTTCAAGTGCATTTTAAATACAAAAACGCTGCATCTTGCTTGCAACAGGTGACACTTCATCTTTTTTAAACTACAAGTCATCAAAAATTGGTTGGCTACATGGCAAAGGAATCAGTATGTGGTTGCCAGGCTTTTAAATGATTTTTTCTTTAAAGATTCAATGTTGTTTGCCTCTTAGACTGGCTGTTGGGGTATGTGAAACTTTGGACTGGCTGTTCTTGTATTGTTCAGTTGGATTCCTAAGTCTGGGAGCTCTGCCAAGCAGAGGAGGGAGGTCTTTAGCTGTTTTAATTTGTTAGATACTAAAACATGCCTAGCAACCGCAACCAGTTGGACTTGATGCCCATCACATCTTGTTATCTGTTACTGCACTTCTCTATGACTGCTATTCCAAATATTGCAATATTTTATTTTGCTTTTATTGTGGTGCTGGATTAAACTCTCTCTGCTTTCTCTTGGTTGTTTTATTTGATGTAGTCTAACATCATTGGCTGGCTAAGGAAAGCACTGGAGACAGATAAAAAAGACTGGGTAAAAGAAACTGAGCCGGAAGCAGATCAAGATGGGTACTATCAGACTACACTCCCAGCTATTGTTTTTCAGGTATAAGAAAACTTGTTTATTCTAGGAAAAAAAAATGCACAGGAGTATTTGGTTGGTTGGTTATTATTATTATTTTTTTAATAAAATTGGTGCCAGTGACTGTTCTTTTACTTACCATTGAGGGAGGCCTGCCTTTACAACTAAACTTTTTCCCTTAATGTAGATGTTTGAGCAGAATCTTCAGGTAGCTGCTCAGATAAGTGAAGATTTGAAAACAAAGGTACTCCTTCTATGCCTTCAACAAATGAATTCATTTCTAACCAGGTAAAACAATTATTCAAGTATAAATACTTTATCATGCCTCCAGTTGTCTTCATTGCTTGGTTTTCCTGTGGATGTTTCTTTATTTCTTTGTCTCCTTGTGCCAACCAAGCTTTTCTTTCATTTTCTTTTCTTCCTTCCTTCACCAGAGAAGTTCTGTGTTGGTGAGTGGCATGATGAGTTCCTCTTTGGCTCTAGTTTTTGGAGTCATTTCCTCTTTCTTTGATATTTCAAAGTGGTAATCCTTTCTCATAACAAAGAGAGAAACAGAGAGACGAAACATCACATGAGCAACAAGCCCTTTAAAATACTTTTGTAAATAAATGGCAAGTCCTTATGGAGCATTTATTCTACAGTGTGTAGTTACTACAGATTTTGTGTCTGCTTAATGTTGTTCTTTGTATGTGTTACAGATACAAAGATGAAGCACAGTTTTATAAAGAAGAACATCTTAAAAATCGCCAGTATCCTCAATGTTATGTTCAGTACATGATTGCAGTCATCAACAACTGTCAAACTTTTAAGTAAGTCTGTATTTTCTTGCTAGATTTAATTATAATACTACATGTTCCCAGGACTTTCTTGGGTTTTTATATACAAAGAGGGTTTTTAGGTGAGATAGTTTAGCTGACTAAAGAAAGCCAATAGGTTTAAATGTATTCAACATTTTAGGAAGCAAACTTTGTTACTCCTGTTGGCAAACCAGATCACATTCACCTGTGAAAAGCCACTCTTCTTTCAGAATTGCAATTGTCTGTTTCAATTTGTCTGGGACCAGTTATCTTTTCATACATTTGTTCTCTCCCAGTCCACCTTCAAGCACTGTGATCAAGGTGGATGCAACAGGGTATAGTTGACTTTATTCAGAATATTAAAGCAGGATAAAGAAATTCTCATTGCTCATGTTTCAAAACAAGAAAAGTCCTTCATATGTTTCAGAGTTCAGCAATCCAGTCTCTCGTTCATCTCTTTCTACTGCCATTCTCCAGTCCACAAATGAGCAGTAGTTCTTATTTTTTTTAACCAACATGCAAGTAAGTTAGTGTGGTCACTGGAAAGTCATGCTGAGGAGTCATTTAAGGCTTCCAAAGCAAGCAGAAAACATTGCTTCACCTTGCAAAAGTAAGACTGTTATGTCTGTTTCTGTTCATGCATTCGGAAAATTTAGTAGCAATGCATCTTCTTCAGTGGATGATGAAAGGCCTTGTTATTTGTCACAGAGAATCTATTATCAGTCTGAAAAGAAAATACTTGAAAGTTGAAATGGAAGAGACATTATCAAGCAGTCATGCAAGCATGGATGTGATTTTAGACATCATTGCCAAAGAAGGATGCTCTAGCCTGCTAGATGAAGTCTTCATGGATTTAGAGGTTGGAACTTTTTTCCTCAAAAAAAAACAAAACAAAAACACAAAAAGCATTATTTCCTAGGAAAAATAATTCAGGAATGATCTAGGTATGAAATGTCCTGATTGCTGAACGTGTGCTAGCAAAATGCAAGGAAACTTCATTGGTACAGTTTGAGTGTCAGAGACTGAAAGGATTTTTGATTGTATTTCACGGGATTGTTTCAAGCAGGTGCTTTGTAATAGTGAATATACGTATATTTTAGGAGAGTGTACACAGTCAAATAGTTGCACAGCTGCACTGTAACAATTATTTGCTACTGATAATACACTGCTATCTTTATACAGGTGCCATAAGGAAAACCATTAAGATTGTTTACTGTCAGTAAAGATTGTCAGTTTCTGACTGATAAATTCAGTTCAGGAATTCTGGCTTCTGATAGAATCCTCCTAAAAAAAGGGAAAGGGGAAAAAAAAAAGGGCTATGTATAGTTTAAGAGAAATTGGAAATGTGGGCAGGAAGGTGGAGAAATGAGAGAGATGTGGAAGGAAGAAAGATGTTCTGAGTATTTTGGTTGTGAATGACATTTTGAAATGATTCGCAGTAAGAAAGATGTGGGAGCACTGTTTATTCTAAACCTGGAGCACTTCAGCAAAACTTTTATTTTTTTATTAACTGTGTTAGTTGATTATGAAGAGGCACTCAGTCCACTCAAATGAGCAGTCTTTGAAATTATTTAACTTGAAGCTTTGTGTCTCCATTAGCATTTGTACAATGCTTTGATACACAGAGTATTTTCACTGGGAAAAGGAAACAAGATAGCAGACCTGTGTGAGTGTTGAGAATACTGGAATTGCATGTTCTGCAAAAGGCATAAAGCGCATAGGCCACCAGGTTTGGTACAGACACATGGATGTTGGGGAATAGCCAGTAGCAGCTCAAGGGAATGAACACCAAATTTCATTCTTGCAACAGTTGAAATGTGCATTGTGTTAAACTGGAATTGTCCTCCTAAGGCAACTTTGTTCTTGGACCTTAGTTTTTTTAATTCAACATAGACATTTAAATAGAAGAAATCCTACCTAAAGGATTTTGGAGAACTTGTGAAATAACTGCTTAGGTTAGTGCAGTTGGTTTATGTACACAACTGGTGTGTACATCGAGGTAGCACTCTATGGCAGCTGTAGTTCTGACAACCCATCACATCATTTTTCTGTGTTAACTGTTGTTCTGGTTGAAGGAATGTAATTCAGAAATATATTACACTTAGAATTGTTTCCTTATTTTTCTCAGTTGCACTAATCTGATGAAAAGTGTCAAAAATTTCATCTCATCAATTATAATTGTTATCTTCTCAGCCCCATCTGAATGAGCTGATGACAAAGAAGTGGTTGTTGGGGTCTAATGCTGTGGGAACTATTTGTGTCACTGTAGAGGATTATTTTAATGACTTTGCAAAAATAAAAAAGCCTTATAAAAAGGTAGGTGCAAAATATTCTACAGTACCTTGCTAATATACTCTGAATGTCCTTTTGGTTTGGTTTTTATGGAATGTAGAATTGGAACACAGACATTGAAATTCTAAATTGATTAATCACTGGAAATTAAACTGTAATCATATGGCATTAGTCTGAATTGAGCATTTCTCATCTATTTTGTTCACAGCCATCTGATGTTTTCAGAGAGAGATTGGACTTGCAGGACTTAATACAGAAAATATATTGTAATATTACTAAATTGTATTATTACCAGCTTGAATTTTTCTACCTCACATCAGAAGTTTATAGGTAGATATGTAATTAGCTTTGTTGCCTGCAGTTATTTTTTTATAAATGTGCACACTTAATGTATTGTTTTAATATGTACATTAAGGTGTTAAGGTATTGTTAAGTTGGCAACATGAGGTTGACCAAAGGCATAATACATGTTAAAAATGCTGTTATATCAGTATATTGGGTGGTCTTAATATATTTTTCCCATGGTCTGTCAAAGGATTTTTTTTTTTCATTAGCCTTGAGATTTTAGTATTATTTTACTTAGTTTTACTGAATTAAAGTCAATTTATATGTAGTTAAGATAGCATGTCTTAAAATTACTTACAGCAGTTTAGGAAATACTTGAAGCTAGCAAGATCAGGATTTACATGAGGCCTTTGAAGAAACTCTTGGGAATGTTTGTAAGATACAGAATCATACAGTTATTGTTTCTTACCTGAGCTCCTATGGAGACAGAAGGGACTGCTTAAAGTTTCTCTGACCTTTTAACGTGTTTGTCTTCGGGATCTAAAGATACTGGAGGCCTTGAAGTATGTGAATTATAAGAATTTTCACTCCAGAAAAAATATATAAAAGAAGTTAGGTGGTCACAGAACTAGTCTGTCTCCATGGAACAGTTTTCCAGGACTGATTTGTTACTGTGAGGTAATTGTGCTTGACATGAGCTTGACATGAGTCATTAACACCAATCTCAGAGATCACGTGTGTTTCATCATGTAGTGTTTGTTGCCACCTTAGGGAGAAAAAAAGTCAAACATGACTTTTGGCATTCATTATACCTGCTATTTGATTGCGTCCCAGCACAAGTTTCCTACACAACACACCTGATGTTCCAGCATCAGTAGGACACACTTGTCTTTCCCTGAAGTTAAAACGTTCTTGATTAACTCAGTTCTGAAAGTTCAGGTTTTAAAAGCCATGTGAACAGAGCAGGTTTTTGCTTCTTCATGTTAGCATCGTGAAAATCTGAAGCCACTCCAAGTATATTATATTAGTGAAAGCCGTATACTGGTGATAGAGCACAAAAACGTGTTTCAAAGCCTAATCATTGCTCTGAATGGGGACTTTGGCAGTTATCACTGGCGTAAGCCACCACTTCTTTCTTTCAGACAATGACTATGGAGGCACATCGAAGGGTGGTTGTGGAGTACATCAGGGCAATCATGTTAAAACGTATCTCTTTCAAGAATGCAGAAGAGAGAAAAGAGGGCGCAGAAAAAATGATCAAAGAAGCCGAACAGTTCAGATTTCTGTTTAGGAAGCTTGCATCTGTGAGTATTTGTTTCAATAATGATGTTAACTTGGTAATTTTTAACAATTTTGAATAAAAACGCATTGCTTGGGAGTAACAGCTGGAGTTAGGTCTCTGTATCTCCAACGCGAGTGAATAGTGAGTAACAAGAATGCCATGTGGGGGCGTGGTCCGAGTTCATGAACAAGCACAAGCCCACTGCTAAAGCAGTATCTGAATAGCCTCGCAGTGGCACCTTTTTACATAAACTTTAAGGGGAGATCTGGCTTTCACATCAGTTATTCCTAATGTTTGTGTTGCGGATTAGCAACAGTTATAGACCAGAATACAGAGTTGTGTGGATAAATGCGACATGTTTGTCAGACATGGCTTCCTTTACTGATACTCTGGAGATAATGACTGCAGATGAGGAGGAATAGGGAAATGTAGAAGAGAAGAGGCTTAATGTGACAGTTCGTAAACATTTTTGTCTTAATGGCTAAAGTTTCCACTCTTCAGAGTATTTAACAGCATTGTCAGACAAAATGAGAATAATACTAATTAAAGAATTGTGTATAGATATTAGGGGAGCCACTTTCTTTAGTCATTTTTTAATTATTATTGTTTTATTATTTTTTTTATTATTATTTTCCAGGGATCTGGAGAGGACACTGAAGGGCTTTGTGATATCATTAAAGCCATTGCAGAGGTTATCAAACTAACTGACCCTTCCCTGCTCTATCTGGAAGTTTCAACTTTAGTCAGTAAATACCCAGATATCAGGTAATTCTCTTTGCCTTCAAAGTCAAAAATAGATAATATCCTAGTTTCTTTGTAACAATGGGATAATTTTAAAACAATGTGTAGTATGTTCAAGTATTAATCATATTTTGAAATGTAGCTGCTTTTTTTTAAATAACGCTAATAGCAAATGTACATGTCTTGGACTAGAAGGTATATGCATTTAAGTACTCATTGGTATGGCAAAGAAATAATGAGACTGTTCCCATTGTGTTTTGGGAGGGTGGAACACATCCTAGATTCCTAAGTGTAGCCAGAAATAGTGCCTTATAGATAGCTGAAAAAGCCAGTTCTTTGTGACCACAGATCAGATTAAGAATTAGAGGTCCACGCTGAAAGTCAATGAAAGGATGATCTGTGGTATTTCTAGCATGACGTTACTTCTGCAAGAACCAATGCCAGCCTTACCTTTTTTCTTTGGCAGGGATGACCACATTGCAGCTTTGCTGTCGGTGAGAGGAGATGCCAGCAGAGATATGAAGCAGACGATCATTGAGACTTTGGATCAAGGGCCAAGCCAACCCAATCCAAACTACATGCCAATTTTTAAAGAAATTACAGTTCCTACTCTAAATGTGGCAAAACTTCTTAAGTAAGGGACAGCTCTGTTCATGTGTTGTTACTGGCATGGGATTGACAGGTGTGAAATAGTGAAATATTTGAGGGCGAGTTTGGCAGTGCTGTTTCAAGTAACGTTCAGTGCACACTAGGTATGTTTCTTTCTCAAGGTCGGGATATGGGATATAATCACATTTCTGCAGGTGCTGATACTGTTCTCAGCAAATACATTTCTAGTCGTGAAATATGGCATTGCAAACGTATAAAGATACTTACACTGAAAATAACACAGCTGTGGCAGTGCTGGGTGTGTATTGCTCTTCCAGAGCCCCGTCCCATGGCACAGCATTGGGTGTACATTAATGTCACCGTTCACTCCTACCTTATGCTTGGTGTATGTAATTACTTTGGTGTAAAATAGTTTGTGGCAAAAACCTCGTTATGGAGCCAGCTTCCTGGCCGCGGGACCGCAGAGGGAATCAATAAACAGCTGAGAAGGGCGTGAGGTACAAAATGTCGTCGTTGTGGATTCCCTAAAAAGAGCACACGAAGCACCACTTGTTCAATAAAACGCTAAACCACGGCCACCTTCTGCTGTGTGTTCTGTTTTGGCTAAGGGGAGAACGAACTTCACATTTAAAAGCTCATTTTAACACAGGAGGGACCGGGCCCGCGCCGCCCTAGGCCGCACCGGCTTCTCGTCACCATGGCGACGGACGTCACGCGCCCTTCCTCGTGCTTTCCTGCGTGGGCGCGGTCTGGTGACGTCACTCCGCGCCCCGCTCGGCCCGCCCCCGGAAGCGGAAGAAGGCTCTGTCCGGGTTGGGGCGGCCGTTATGGCGGCGCCTCACGGGATGGGGCTTCCCGATCCCTCCTTCTTGTGGAACGTCTTCCAGAGGTGAGGCCGCGGAGAGCTCGGTGCCGCTCGCCGAGCTGGTGCGGGGAGGGAGCGGGCCTCGGGAGGAGGCTGGACGCCTCTGACGGGCGCTGGGCGTCGGCCGAGGTTTGCGGCTGTGTTCCCGCAGAGGGAATCCCGAGGGAGAGCTGTAAGGAGGGCTGGGGGAGGCGGGGTGGAGCGAGGGAGGTAACCTGGAGGCGTTTGTCTGCTGGGAATCCGGGAGTGCCGCAATCTGTGGAGGGTGAAGAGCCTGGGGAAGCTCGTCCCTCGGGCCCGTTTTGTGGGAGATGTGTCAAAGGGTCCGCCTGGGCTCCGCTAACAGCGAGGCCGGGTATGGAGTAAGCGGACTCTGGGTGTGTTCAGACTGGGGAAGAGAAAGCTTCGGGAAGGCTTTCTGCTATCTGAGATGAGCTTATAAGCAGGAGGGAGGCCGACTTTTTATACCGGTAGATAGTGATAGGGCAAGGGGGCATGGCTTAAACTAAAAGAGGAGTGATTTAGATTGGATGTTAGGAGGAAATTCTTTGCTCATAGGGCGGTGAGAGGGCACTGGCGCAGCTGCCCAGAGAAGCTGTGGTGCCCCCATCCCTGGAGGCGCTCGAGGCCAGGTTGGATGGGGCCCTGGGCAGCTGAGCTGGTAAGGGGCAGCCCACGGCGTGGGGTGGGGCTGGGTGGGCTTTGAGGGCCCTTCCAACCCAAGCTGTTCTGTGATTCAAAGGATGATAGGTTTGGATCAGCAGTGAGTAAGAGTTACTGCCTGGCAGGAGTGACTCAGAGAGGTGGCATTTGTCCACTACCCTTGTGTGAAACTTTATCTGAGAACTTGAAGGAAGTATGTGTGATGCCATTTCCCAGTTTCAGCTGGTCCAGAAGGAAGCAGGTGAACATTCTGCCTTCTCCACCAGGTAGGCCAGTAGAACCATTTTAAATAATGCAGCTAGCAAGGCTAGCTGCATGGGTCTTGCTAGAAGTATTCCTATCTGGCATACCACTGTATAGGTGTGTTGGAATATATTGACAAGAGATTGGTTATAGATATGGATAAAACTGCTACAGTTTATGTAGTCCAAATAGTTTCCAAAGAGGCTTTCAACATACATAAGCATCAAACAGCTTTAGAGAAATCTGGCAGGCATGGAATGAAAGGGAAAGTTCCTTGGTGTATAAATAACTGGCTGAAAGGGAAAGCGTGTGGTTTTCTGTTACACTGATAGATGCAGCGGTTCTGGGATCTTTGTTCAATACATCCAAGAGCACATATACATCTAGGGGAACAGAGGGTAAATGATCAGCTGAAGCACAAGCTTCAGCTTCTAGTTACACAGACTAATGTTTGAGTATTTTTAAGGCATCTGTTTCTTTTTCTACTAACAAAGCACAAATGTGCACTCCAGATGTTGTGGCGGATTCTTGCAGCAAGAGCTAAGCCTGTGAAGGCTTGGCAGGAGCACCCTGCAGTACTCAGTGACCGAGCCGTGTCACCTTCACGGTTGGATCCTGATTGCTGTATCGCGGGTAGCTGAATTCCAGAATAGATACCTGATGGCTGTAAGGAAGATTCATAGAATCATAGAATTGCTCAGGTTGGAAAAGACCTTAAAGATCATCAAGTCCAACCACAACCTAACCATACTACCCTAATTCTAGCAAGCCTCTGCTAAATCATGTCCCTGAGCACCAATCCAAACAGTTTTTAAACACATCTAGGGATGGTGACTCAACCACCTCCCTGGAGAGCCTCTTTCATTCCGTGCTTAACAACACTTTCTGTAAAGAAGTTTTTCCTGATATCCAACCTAAACTTAACCTGGTGCAACTTGAAGTCATTTCCCCTCATCCTGTTACCTGTCAGCAGTGAGAAGAGACCAACCCCACTCTCTCTGTAAGCACCTTTCAGGTATTTGAAGAGAGCAATAAGGTCTCCCCTCAGCCTCCTCTTGCCCGACTCAACAGCCCCAGTTCCTTCAGTCGCTCCTTGTTGAGCATATTTTCCAAACCCTTCACAAATCTTGTTGCCCTTCTTTGGACCTGCTCCAGCACCTCAATGTCCTTTCTGTACTGAGGTGCCAAAAATGAACACAGTGGTGAAGCCTCACCAGTGCCGAGTGCAGAGGCAGGATCTGCTCTAAGCTGACTGATGGTCGGGAGCAAGATAAGCAGATTGTAACTCTGCTACACTTACGTGGTAAGGTTTGGTAGTGGGGGTCTGAGGTGGCTCTGTGAGCAGAGCCCTGTGCTGCCTGTTCAGCTCAGAGCCAGCCCCGGTTGCTCCAAAAGGACCCTCTGCTTCTGCACAGGGATCAGCGAAGCAGGACTTTGGAATGGTTGGAATGGAGAGGGGGTAAACTATCAGGTGCAGGGGGAAAGCCCTTGTGTAAACAGAGGGAAGCCACCTCTTTGAGTTAAATTGTTCCGTTGTCAGTATGTTTGTGTGTGTCACGCATTCTTATGGAGAAAACTTGGAGCTTTCTTAACTCATATCCAGAATGTCTCATCAGTCTGAGTGAAGTATTTAATTTGCAGTGCCTGTGAGCGATTGACTAAGCAGTTATTTATTTATTATTTTTTTTTAAAGACAAATCTTGTTTGCATTTTATTTGGTAAGAACAGAAATGCTGAGGGTTGTAGCTAAATCCTGTTAATTTCAGCAACTTAAGGCATGCCACTTTTTCTCCTCTCCTCCAGGGTTGATAAAGACAGGAGTGGAGTAATCTCAGATACAGAGCTTCAGCAGGCACTATCCAATGGTAAGTCAGTCTGTAAAGGGGGAAGGAGGCCCATTGTGAACTTCATGGTACATTTCATGCCAGTCTGGCTACTTGACTCTTTTGTTCTTGACTTTTTGCTCCTTGCTCATCTCCACTGCATCTCCTTCTGAACCAGTGTGAAGATCAGACATTTGCAGCCAGCCTTTTTCCTGCACGTAAGAGCTTTTCATTCAGTATGGTGCAGGAAGTGAAGGTGGTAATTTTTTATTTTTAAATGAGGCATTTTTTTTCCCACTTTTTTTCCTAACCAAGTAGAAAGATGTACTTCAGACCTAGCTTGAATCATAACTAGGGCATGGTCAAATAACTCGGGGAAGCCAAATAAAAACAGAAGACTTTTTTCCAGTAGTCACATTTTCCTTCCTTCTGGTGATTCCGGATGGTGATGTTGATTTTTTTCCAGAATATATCCTCTGTGGATGGTTGTGTGTCACAGTCCAACGTGGTCCGAAAGAATGTAATGTGTTTCTTTTGAAAACACTAAGAAAGTATTCACTGTTGTCACTAAATATTGAAGTTTAATGTGTTCTTGACAATAAGCTTTTCAACATGTCAAATTTATGCAAATAGTATGGCAAGGATGGGGAATCGCATAGTAGAGTTATTTGCATAGTAAAATCCTGTGCTGCCTTGTTGCCTTTTGTTGGTTTTTTTTTCTCTCCTGTGCTGACATGTTCAGGTATTTGTCGTGTCAGGGGAGGAGGAGGTAGTAGTCTGTTGCTGGCTGTCTGAACAAGCAGAAATCAGTACAGTTCTTCAGCACTGAAGTTGCTATGGTTTCTCTGTATGGAATCTGTATTAGTCTATTGAAATTTTCTACATGAAATAAGTTAATATACTCTGCTCCTTAGAACTTTGGAGTGCTTCCAACCCAGTGAAAACTGGTTCAAAGTGAGTAGCCTTTCCACATTCAGTAGCAGCTGTTCACAGAAGTCCAAAGCTCCTCTTCACATGGCTGTGCTCAGCCCTGTCTAAGCAGTAACATTTATTGGCCTGAAAACACTTATTTAAACAATGCTTTTAATTCAGCATGGTGAGGGATTTATACAGAACTCAACTTGAAGTTGCATTGTGTGGCTCTGTGATGTTAAGAACCTGTTCTTTTCACTCACTGTCCTGTAGTAACCCATCTGTAGAATGGGAATCAGATTTTTAGTTTTACAATGAGAAATGAGTGAGAGACTCCTGACAACCTGGGAAGAAAAAACTTATTCTTGGCTCTTCTAAGGCTTTGGTTCTCAGCTAGATTTTAGTTTGCGTTTTGGGTGGGTGGTTGTTTTTTTTTTTTGTGCAGCGTGAAAAATGTTGGGTTTCTATGCAGTATCAGTAAAGCATTGGTCGGAAGTCATCAAGACCACAGTTATTTCAAAGTAGCTTTGTTAAACGTTAAGGAGCTGACTTACTTAGCTCTGAATTCTCTACTTATGGTTCCTGTGGCTTTTTGTTTGCTTGTTGTTCAGTTGCCTTTTTTGAATGTTGCCTGGAGGAACAAAGTAATTCTTTCTGTTTCAGGCACATGGACTCCATTCAATCCAGCGACAGTCAGGTCAATTCTTGGTGAGTATGGCTGCGTGCTGTGAAGTAAGCAAAGACTCTTGGTTTTTCAGCTCTAGTTTGAGAAAGCAGTTGTTGCAGAATATTTTCAGAGAAACAAATATATACAATTATCATAATACTTGTACATTATGTTTTTCTATTGTAAAGTTGAATGCACATTTAAAGGTCTGGTGAACCAGTCTGGTCGTGGTGAGCTGGTGTGTGACTGTAAAGAATCCGTGGTTTTCTAGTCTTGTTCTTTTTTCCTCAGTAGTTGTAAGATATAAACCAAAGTATTGACCCTTTTGAACTATAAATGAATGCCCTGTGTTTAAAACTTGCTCACCAGCAGTCAAAAATTCCATCCCTGTGCAATGTGCTACCTCCATGAAGGGGATGGTATCTGTAATTTAAAAGCTGATCAATGTTCCAATGCTTCTGGCAGTCTATAGATGTTGTAGGCTTTCTCATGAATCCTAAGAAAAGAGCAAACCCTGCTTTC